TTGCTGCCAACGATACTTCCTTTTTTTTCTTTTTTCTCTATGTAATTGAATTGATTATCGGGTCGATAATCGATCTCAGCTTCTGCCGACGACTGCGTTCAGGCATCCGATCCACCCGCCACCACCGCATCCGCGCAAGCCACCGCCCCGGAGCAGCACAGCTCGATCAGCAGTGTGGTAATCCGTTCTGCGGCCGATAGCGCGGTGGACTGCACTTTGTGTGCGTGTGTGTTCATCTGCAATTGGCGGCATCCTCGTCCCTCGTCCAACCGCCAGAGTACGCGCGCCTCAATCCCCCAATGGGACAGACACCATGAAAGGAACATCGATTTTCAACATCAAGGCGTGGTCTAAGATCCATCCACCACTGCCCCGAACGCCACGAGAATCGCAGCAGCTCCTGAACGCTCTCACGTCGTCCTTTCGTCGTCAGCTAGAGGCTGCAGACACCAACAAGCCGGCACAGTCAGCCGATAAGCATCTGCGGACGATCCTTGACAATCCCCTCTTCCGGGTCGTGCCCTCCAAACCTGCCTATACCCCCGGAGACCCCAATGCCCAGAAGACCCTCGAGAAGAGGCTCGCAGAGGAGCCTATGGCCGTCTTCGATGACCTGGTGGCGGCTGGATCCGCCACCCCCAAGGACATCTTTCAGTGTCTCCAGTCCCAGCTGGCCCTCATCGGCTCGACATCTGGAGACGCCAATCAAGCTATGAAGAGATCTGGTGCCGGTTCTAGGGTGGTGTCGTGGTTCTGGGCCTCCGACTCGGCCTCCCGGAAAACGCTGTTCAAATACCGCCGGGCGACCTCGGCTGCGCTCAAGTTCATGGCAGCAGAGGGACTACAGGATATCATCATGGTATGGCTGCGAATGCTCAGCAAGCGGGATCTGGGTGGCCTCGATGGCCGGATCCCAGAACTTCCCGCGCGACAGCTGTTCAACGAATTCTTGTCAGATTTCATGGCGGCGGAAATCCGCTACGGCGGTGGAATTGCGTCTGCGCTGGGCTACTTCCTGCAGGCATCCCAGATGTGCTCCTTCCTGACGGATCGGCCATCCGCCCGACTTGAATTAACGCGATGCTGAGAGGCGGAGGCACCTATCTGGGCCGGTGGATCGTCAAAAATAGCCAGAGCCAGGGAATGAAGGAAGTACCCCCTCCCATTTACGATCGCTTCTGTGAGGCTATAGCTGCGCTTCCAAATCTGCCATTCCTAACCGCTGCTCTCTCGCTGTATCATCCGACACAGCCCACTGCAGAATTGCTACTGGCCCACGTGAGGCGACACCCGCCAGAGACGGTCAACAGCTACAATGAGTCCAGGCGGGCTTATATGATCCGGGTGTACTTGGATGGATTCCGTCTCTTGCTGGACCAGGAGAAGTACAGGGACGCGTCGTCGCTGGAGCCATACATAAGACAATTGCTGTCCGACGACAGCGTCAAAACTCCCCAAAGGTCGCAGTACTCGGCTGAACAGGACGAGCTGGTCAGTCGATTAAATTTTGCATTGGCCTGAGGGTTTATTATTTCCATTCTTTTCGCATTGCATTGAAGGCGTTTGGAGGTTTATGATGTTGAAATTCCCTCAAATGTGCGAGTATGGCTGATCGCGTGACTCCTGTAAATCAAGTGTCGACCATGTACGACTTGGAATCTTTGGCTGTCATTGACGAGCCAGTGTCTGTCTGCGCTGAAAGCGAGCACAAAGAGCGACAAGAAGATAATGGCACCGCTGGCTGCAAAAATGGGCTGATCAGAGACTGCCGGTACCGGGGCTAGGCGCCTAGCGGTGTTTTGAGGGCCAGGTGATGCTTTCGTAAGCCAGGTCTAGCTCTGGCGGTCATTGCAGCGCTGGTGGAGGAGTTACCATCCGAAGGGCGAGCGCGCGGAGTCGATGGGATTGGTCCGAGCTAGCGTGCAACCACCCCCGGCCTGCTCAGCCCTCTCATATCCCCGGCCTTCTCCCAACCTCACTCTCCGTCCTGCCAGACCATCCTCTCCCACACCCTTCCTCTCGATCGCGCAAGCCATCCGGGGTCATTACGAGGATCGCGCGAGTCCCGCGACCCTGTTGCTGCCTTTCAGCTTCAGCTTTCGTCTCTTGCTCCCCAAATTCCCCCATTGCGACGTCATTGCGAAGCCATGGCCGCTGAAGGTGTTCGCATCACGGCTGGGCCGACCGTCGACGGTACGTAGCGCGTCACCACTCGACATTCATTGTTCGCCAACGCCCCAAGCAATTTCTCCGTAGAGTCACGATCTGTTCTGTCTACCCTACCTCTATGCGCACGCCTTTCTTCTACATACGTCTACTTGGCCACCCTTCGCTGACTATGTCGACCATATAGAGACTACAAAGGTGGTCAAGGCAGAAAATGAGGTAAAAGCGGAAGCCAAGTCAGACGCAGCCGCGGAGAAAGCGCTCGAAGAACGCGGTGTTGATGGTGCCTCGAAGCCCGAGCCGGAAAAGCCCGCCGAGTCTAACCCTGCCGCACAGAACGACGTCCCTGAGGCCACGAGTTCTGAGCAGAAGGATGAACAAAGCGATGCCAAAGAACCTCAGCCAGGTGATAAACGGGGCCACGACGCAACTGAACCTCCGGCTGGAGAGGACCAGACCACAGACGCTCCTCCCGAAACATCCAACAAGAAGCAAAAGACAGATGAAGACGCTAACCCTGCAACTGAGACGGCGAATGATGAGACGGCCACGACTCTAGCGACCAACGGAGAAAAGAAGAGACCCGGTCGGCCCAAAAAGGGCGCAAAAGATGCCGTCAAGAAATTGACGCCTCGGTCCACGGACGGGATTAGCAGCCGGACTCGGAGTCGAGTCAAGCTGTCAGAATAAGAGTGATCACAAGAAAGAAAATTATTAGTCAAAGAGGCCAATGTGCATTCAGTGATGCGTCTCAACTGTATTTTACATTGTTATCTAGGATCTGGCCGAAATCTCTTGGCTGTGAAGAAAGGAGATAGGAGAGGTTCCATTCTGGGACCTCATCAGGAATCCATCTTGCATTTGGCGGGAAGAACTCGGGTCCAGGCATTGTCCGTTTTTCCCCCTGTATCGGACATTCCGGCCATCTGTGGCATTTGTATTTCCTGTGGTCTGGTGTTACTTGTGTCTTACCTGATGTTGTATGGCTTAAATATATCTAAATAAAAGCAGAAACGCAAGACGCGTGATCAATCTGAGAAGTCTTTCTCAGAAGCTTGCTGACATATACTGTTCGCACCGTCTAAATCGTTACTTAACTGATTTATTAACCGTATTCTATTGCAGCAACAAATCCTGTATGAGCGGAGAAGTGGTTGACCTCATCGGCTGTTCGAGTTCGGGTCCTCCTCCGATCCCGCAGCAGTCGAATCCGGAACAACGATCCTCCGCGGCCCCGCGGTGTGAGTAATACTGTCAGGCAAAGCATATCGTGGGATATTTTCTCTCTGTTGCCAAATTATCAATTGAGCACAATCAAGACGTCTAGAAAAAAAATGTCTGGCATTAAGATCTGGCTCAGAGCCGAGACCAAGCCTGCAGAGGCGCGGTCAGCACGTAAGTGCTGGAAATCCTTTTCTTTTCTGTGGTTTTATCGCAATTGCTTTTTCCCCGCGCGCAATCGATAATGGGCAGTTAGTTGATTGACACATCGATTTCATAGTCACGCCGACCACATGCAAGGCCCTTCTTGATGCTGGGTACGATGTCACTGTGGAGCGATCCAAGCAGCGTATTTTTGATGGTACAGTTCTCCGTTTACTTCCAATTGGCATTTCATTTTTTTTTTAAATCAATTTGGTCGAGTATTGACTTCTTTTCTCTGAATGGTAGACGACGAGTTTGCGGCTGTATGTTTCGCATGGCGCTTCTACAACAATGGCAGGCCATGCGACGACGGGATGCTGACTCTTTTCTTCCCTACTACCTAGGTCGGTGCGCGACTTGTCGAGGAAGGATCCTGGGAAAAGGATGCGCCGAAAGATGCCTATATCCTGGGTCTGAAGGAACTCCCGGAGAAGGATTTCCCATTGGAGCACGTCCACATCTCCTTTGCCCACTGCTACAAGCAGCAAGCCGGCTGGGAGAAGGTTTTGAGCCGCTGGCCGCGCGGAGGCGGCACTCTGCTCGACCTGGAGTTCTTGACCGATGAGAGAGGTCGGAGAGTTGCTGGTGAGTACTCTGATTCGTTCTCTTTTCTCTCTCCCCTAGGGTTGATTATGGACTGACTCCGTTTCGTCTTCTAGCCTTTGGATATTCTGCTGGCTACGCTGGTACGAATTTCCCGCTGTCATGGGTTGCTAATGAAACGTGCTGAACAGAGGGTCAGGTGCTGCATTGGCTATCAAGAACTGGGCGTGGCAGCTGACACACCCAAAGAATGAGCCTCTTCCGAGTGAAAAGCCCTATGCTAATGAAAAGCTCCTCATTGAGTCTGTCAAGGAGGCCTTGGAGACCGGCAAGAAGGCAGCCGGTCGGGGACCGAAGGTGCTCGTCATTGGAGCTGTGAGTCATAAGTCTGAAACTGGGGATGAATAAAGAACAAGACTAATGGAACTGCAGCTCGGACGATGTGGCAATGGAGCCGTGCAGCTTACCAAGGATGTTGGTATCCCGGAGAGTGACATTATGCGATGGGACATCGAGGAGACCAAGAAGGGTAGGTCGACCTATTGTGCTTCCCTCATCCATAGTGCATAGGTCCGCTGACGGGTAATTTCACAGGCGGCCCATTCCAAGAAATTGTGGATGATGCCGATATTTTCATCAACTGCATTTACCTGTCCTCGAAAATCCCTCCTTTTATCAATGCGGAAACTCTCTCGTCGCCGAAGCGACGCCTGACAGTGGTGTGCGATGTCAGCGCTGACACGTACGTTCCTTCACCATTTATTCCCTGGTGTTTTCTATTTTAGCTAATATGTGGCTCAGGACAAACCCTAACAACCCCGTGCCTATCTACAACGTCACGACGACCTTTGACAAGCCCACTGTACCGGTCGACCTCCCACTGGGTAACCCGGAACTGCCCCTGAGCGTTATCAGCATTGATCATTTGCCTTCACTGCTCCCTCGTGAGAGCTCGGAGATGTTCAGCCAGGCCCTGCTCCCAAGTCTCTTACAGCTCAAGGACCGAGAAAACGCTCGCGTCTGGAAGCAGGCGGAGGAACTGTTCAAGTACCATGTTTCTACTCTGCCTGAGCACCTGAGGGCTTAAACGGAGGACACCTCTCTCTCTTTTTTTATTATTGCTGCAGTCTTATAGATATACTACTAAAAGCTTTTTGAGAAGATGAAGTGGAAAAATATCATGTATATGCCAACTCGAGTTCCTCTCAATTTTGCACCGAAGAATGGATACCACTGAAGGGTAACGAACGGAGACATTTTTCGGGTTCTCTATTTTGGGCCTTCCGTCTTGGATAGATGCAGAAATACGTTACGATATCTCGCCAACTACAATCGCAAGTATGAAGAGCGGAATCGTCATCGTCACTCGCTCTGTTCCGAGCCAGTATTCCCCATCGACGCTGTTCGACTGCAGACCATACAATGACAGAGGCTGCTAAATTAGATTCTCCCTATGCAGGCTAGCGAGAGTGAAATTTCTAACAGAAGTCCATTGGTAATTCGGTGATTGATTTTCCTCGAATCATTCTCGGAGATCTAGGGACGATCCCCGCGGGGCCATCGTGGCCCAGATCCTCGGGTCGTAGGGATTTGCGCCGCAATGCGCGATTTTTGAAGAGTGATTATACCAATTGTGACAGTAGCAACGGCTTAATTGCACCAGCTATGGGCTTTCCTGGTAATGAGAAGGATAAGGGATACTCCGAACAAAATAATTACTCCGTAGGGAGTTCATGTTGGGCAATAATACGTCGTATTATGAATTACAAATAGGCGAAATAATTTCGGAAGGCTGACGTTCCGCGCTTTGCTTGGCGTAATGATCAGCAAATCTACCACCACCGGTCTCTCTCTCTCCTAAGTCCTTCCTTGAATTTCTCGCTTCCTATTGACAGTGTCGCATAAAAGGGCGTATATTTGGATTCTCTGTGTATATATGTGCGATCGGTATTTATGTGCGTGCGAGGATGACTGATCTCCGCCTTTGTCACCTCTGACTCCAGTTCCCCGGGTTTGTCATCTCATTGTCACCCCCGTTCTCCACAATTAATTGCTCTGTCCAGATAGTCCTACAGGAGACATACTGATAAATTGATCTTGGATAGAAGACAGAAGCAAATTCTGACGAGTTCTTGGTTTTGAACTACTTCCCTACTGTATATACATATCCATCCAACCTGTCCGGCAACTGTCCGCCGTCATCCCCGTCCTTTCCGTCCGCCGCTGCCGTCGCCTTCGAACGGTCGGCGGTCTCTACCCACGCCCTGCCAACCTCTTCACCGTCATACCATGGAGCATTGCCTGCAGAGCGCTTGTATATAACCCTCTCTCCGAAACAAAAGAATACTGTCCATGCCCGATAAGCCCGCCACAGTCGCCGCCTACGCGGTCGGTGCCTCTCTTGCCGCCATCACCCTCTTCTACGTCTTCGGCCCCAACTTTACCATTGATGGAGAGGAGTCGAACAAAAATGGGCGCAAAAAGGGCGTTGTCGGCCTGGTGAACCCGGCCAATGACTGTTTTATAAACTCCGTCTTGCAGGCCCTCGCGGGCCTGGGCGAACTGCGCCTCTACCTCATCCGCGAACTGCACCGGCGCGAGCTCGATGGCCCCGAGATCTACAACCAGCTGCCGGATCCCGATGAGATTCCCCCGGGCCAAAATCAAAGCCCCGACAGGATCAGGGGACTGCAGCAGGGCACGGTGACGCTGGCACTCAAGGAGATGTTGGACCGGCTCAATGAGCGGCCCATCTACAAGAAGACCATCTCTGCGCGGCCATTTATCCAGGCCCTCGAGTATGCCTTCCGCACGCGGATTAGTCGCAATCAACAGGATGCGCAGGAATTTTTACAGATCGTGGCGGAGCGGCTCTGCGACGAATATCACGCAGGGATCAAGGCACGACAGCGGGCACTGCGGTTGGGACAGCTACCAACAGGCCATGAACTGCCCCCTCCGGCTGTAAATGGAGCTACAAATGAGGAGGATTCTGCAGAATCAACAGAGATACCGGTGCACATCGATGATGGGTCCGAGAACGGGTTACCCGCCATCATCGACACGAAGCTGAAGGAAATCGACAACGAGTACGGTTTCCCCTTCGAAGGTCAGCTAGAGTCACAAATCGAATGTCAGTTCTGCCACTATCAATACCGGCCAAACAAGACGTCGTTTGTCAACCTGACGCTGCAAGTCCCGCAAAAGAGCTCCGCCACGCTGAGCTCGTGCTTTGATGGGCTTCTAAAGACGGAGTACATTGATGACTTCCGGTGCGATAAATGCCGGCTGCAGCATGCGCTGGAGCTCAAGCTCCTTGCCAAGGCCAAATCCAGGTCCAAGGATGAGCAGCAACGCTTGGACAGCGAAATATCCCGCATCCAAGAAGCTCTCGAGACGGACCCCGAGCAGCCGCTGGAGGGAGTGAACCTTCCCCCCGCAGACCTGGCGCCGAAGCGAAGAATCGCACGACACATGAGAATCACAGTTTTCCCCAAGATCATTGCTATCCATCTGTCTCGCTCGATTTTCGACAGGAGCAGTTCCACCAAGAATAGCGCCAAGGTATCCTTTCCTGAGCGTTTACCTCTCGGTGGGATTCTTAGTCGCAAGTGGTACAAGCTCCTGGCGATTGTCTGCCACAAGGGCAGCCACAACAGCGGCCACTATGAGTCTTTTCGGAGGAGTCATCTTTACCCTCCATTCTCGACGCCGGACGTCTTCAGATCCTACGCCCAGAGTCGGGCGGCCAGTGAGACACCATCTGCAGCAGCCAGTCCCCGTACTTCCGCAATGAAGAAGTCATCACTAGAAGTGCAACCCAGCCCTCTCAGTATTTCTCCTTCCGCGTCTTCTATCTCTTTGTCGAGCGCATCTCCATCCTCACCGGCTCCGTCCACATCGACATCCACCCGTCCTCCCTCACGTGGCACCTCCCAACACTCCCCGACGACACAACCGTCACCATCTCTCTCTTCCTCGAATCCTCGTGTCTCCATTCAAAGCAGTCGTTCCAATTATACCTCCTCGGGGCGACCTTCCGAAGCCACGGACGGGGCTGTTGGCGGAGGTACTTCCTCTCCTCAAGGCAAATCCAAGTCTAGCTCTTCTACGAAGGATGCGACGGCAAAGACGACGTCGCGCACATCGTTCGACGTCTCCGGCATGAGCACTCAGCGTCTGCTGCGGAAACGCAAGAAGAACGACCGCTGGTGGCGGATCTCGGACGATAAGGTCAAGGAGTGTAAGACGAGCGACGTGTTGAGCATGCAGAAGGAGGTCTACCTGCTGTTCTACGAAATGGAACGACCGACTCCCAGCTCTGCTCCGGAAGCAGCGACAAAGCTATGACGATTAGGCTGAACACGGCCCTCGATATATATTTATCTGCCGCGATAGAGATATATCCGCACATACACGAAACTACCAGGGGACGGAGCTTCCCTAGTCCGATTGTACATGTACATTTCGTTTCAACAAAAAGTGATTACTCGATCATTTCGCAAAAGCCCCCCCCAAAAAACAAACATACATTAGATATGTTGGTCTAGTCCATATTATTCTGGTCTATGGGTGCTCTTTCATTGGTTGGTCTTTGATGTGGGCAGCACACAACTTATAATCTTGGAGTCGCATGGCATGACTGGGAAGGCTCTTCTTGGATGAGGAATGCCTTGCATTGCATTATGTTGATAATAGTTATGGTGTTCTGGATAGGAGTACTAGGTATGTTGATAGAGATGGTTAATCTAGACATCGACACTGCATAAGGACTCGGTGTCTGTCCATCAATTGGATAATAATGATCTCAAATTGTCAAGTCGCATCAAGACAATAATAGAGATCGAGCGGAGTATTTGTTGTTTATTTTCAGGTGCTATATATATCGGCAGTGATCACGGGCATATGGTACCTACCGACCTAGGTAGGTAAGGGACATGGAGCCATGAACCACCCCCAGACAGTGGTCCATTGGAGCACACTTGGTCAGGATTCACGTTTCTGTACTTTCGTCATTTAGTTCAGGCAGAAGAGAACAATCGAAAGGAGCAGAACAGATTCGAATTCGAACTGGGAACTGGCCAGAGGGAGAGGGACTTGATACCCGAGGTTACCCGAAAAACCCGCCAGGAACAGGATGCGCACGGCAAAAAGACATCATCCAGGCGGAGAGCTTCCTCCAAACGGTTCGTTTCAGCGCCTAAGATTTCTGCCGCGATGAAAGGGATTGCCTTTGTCCATAGACGTATATCCGAGTAACTCAGAGAAGAGGTCAATGCTGCTGTGCAAGGAACGAGGAATTACGGCCTTTCGCAGTGTCTGGTAACAGGTTTTCTCGTAGAGATTCCCGCGACTGAAAAGAGACGGACTCCGGAAGAGCAGCACGACGTGATCCTGGACGGATAGAAATCCGCTGCGGACTGTTATAAACCCGTAATTTCAGTATCGGCTTCATGGAAGCACGAGGCTGTCCCGCGGGGCATTTCGGGACGAACACGGCGTCATGCGCTTCTCCGTCGCCTTTTACCCCACCAAACGAGGATGTGGGAGAGGGGCAGGTCGGACAATTATATCACCAAGCTCTCCTGCGGTACATAAAGCTTCGTGCCGTTCCCTTCGCCCATGTCTCCGGCCTGTCTCTCTCTCCCAGTGCTGCCGATTAAACGCATTAAACGCATTGCTGCTGCGACTTCGTCCTAGCCCAGGTTGAATCATCCTGACCTCACCCACGCCTTCTGCCTGGCTAACGCATTCTGCTCCACCTTTCCGGTGACTCGGTGAGTCTCTCCTCCAGTCATCGCTGGCCAGCTCTCTCCATTACCGACCTCAGCTTCTCTGCTGCCCGCTTGTGCCCCTCCGCTAGTGCTTGGCTCTGTCCCTTTGGATGATCGTTGCTGTTATTCGCAGCGACAGCGATCAATCAGTCCATAGCTTAATTGGCAGTCCTGCGATTTTTCTGGCGCGAACCCCTCCTCCCACCTCCTCCCTGCCTCCTTCATATTTTTCTCCTGGTCCCGTCGAGATTTGTTCCCAAGATCTGTCATTATTTTCTTTTCTGCCAATTGCACGCTGCTGACATTCAAGTCCTCTTGAAAAAAGGATTATTCGTCTGATCAGTCCTTTCTGTCACAATGGGTCTCCTCGACAAGCTGTCCCGCAAGAGCGGTGTCATCGTCGGTGACGACGTGCTCCGTCTCTTTGAATACGCTCAGCAAAACAACTTTGCCGTTCCGGCTATTGTAAGTTCACAATCAAAAGTTATAGATCCCTTTACCGCATTGTCGCGATGCTAATTTAGAATGCCTCATTGCGCAGAACGTGACCTCCTCTTCCACGGCCGTCGCCGCTCTCGAGGCCGCCCGCGACAAGAACTGCCCTATCATCCTGCAGGTGTCCCAGGGTGGCGCTGCCTACTTCGCTGGAAAGGTATGGTGATGAGAATGAAACAGTGGATATAGCAAGAATATGGCCTGATGTGTTACGCAATCTAGGGTGTTCCCAACGGCAATCAGGAGGCTTCCATTGCCGGTGCCATCGCAGCTGCTCACTACATCCGCAGCATTGCTCCCGCCTACGGTATTCCTGTCGTTCTGCACACCGACCACTGCGCAAAGAAGCTGCTGCCCTGGTTGGATGGCATGCTCGACGAGGATGAGCGCTACTTCAAGATCCACGGCGAACCCCTCTTCTCTTCCCACATGATTGATCTCTCCGAGGAGCCCGTCGACTGGAACATTCAGACCACTGCCAAGTACCTGCAGCGCGCTGCTCCCATGAAGCAGTGGCTGGAGATGGTAGGTTGACCTTTTTTTTCCTCAGAAAACATGTCTCAGTGGTCTGACGGTTCCTTCCAGGAAATCGGTATCACTGGTGGTGAGGAGGACGGTGTCAACAACGAGGACGTCGAGAAGAAGTCCCTCTACACTCAGCCCGAGGACATCCTGGCCATCTACAACGTGCTGGCTCCCATCAGCCCCTACTTCTCGATCGCTGCTGGTTTCGGTAACGTGCACGGCGTCTACAAGCCTGGTAACGTCCGTCTGCACCCCGAGCTGCTGAAGAAGCACCAGGCCTACGTCAAGGAGAAGACTGGCTCGTCCAAGGACAAGCCTGTTTACTTTGTCTTCCACGGCGGCTCCGGCTCCACCAAGGAGGAGTACAAGGAGGCCATCAGCTACGGTGTTGTCAAGGTCAACTTGGACACCGACATGCAGTACGCCTACCTGTCCGGCGTGCGGGACTACATCCTGAAGAAGAAGGACTACCTGATGTCGCCGGTGGGCAACCCGGAGGGCGAGGACAAGCCCAACAAGAAGTACTTCGACCCGCGTGTGTGGGTGCGCGAGGGTGAGAAGCAGATGAGCGCGCGTGTCCAGGTGGCTCTGGACGACTTCAACACTGCTGGACAGTTGTAATTAATCCATCGAACCCCGCCAGGGAGTGTGGAGTTGGGGACGACTGATCTTCTTTGTTGTACGGGCTTGGCAGGAAAACTGAAGGAAACGCCAAGCAGGTTACTGACAGTGATGATGTACTGTAGATAATCTATCATGCAAATGAGAATGATCATGATGTCACCACAGGCTTAAATCGTGGCTGTACAGTCCTGCGTAGGTAGAAGACTCGGTATAACTAACTAATCCTTAGAGGTTCTAGTCAACAGCACCGCCACGATGCGGCGGCATCACAAGCACCAGGAGATTTAAATGATTTGATTTTATTCGTGTTAAGGGACTCTGATCCATGCCGATGGATAACTCCCGTGTCTCAGACGATGACTTCCCGGGCCTATTATTAGGCCTTTCTGCCTTGTCTCCCAGCCGGCGTGGGTTTAATTAAAGGGCAGACGACCGATCAGCCGGATCTTTGCTTGGATTGGAGGAGCGAGACGAGGCGGTGGATCCCGTGACAGACCACGGCGGGTTTTCCTTAAATTATCCTGTAAGATTTTAGTTACGGCAGTGGTATGGATGCGTAAAGGCATGCACAATGGTCAGATCAATCAGGGCCTGGTCAGTAAAGACGATAGGGATGGAATGGATCGGAATGGGTTTGTTTATTCTCTTGGTAGTAGTGCCCTTGTTTCTTGTTTTCTGCAGGCTGATTATCGCTGTACCTATTCTGTGCACTGCAATCGCCGTGTGATCGATCTTATCTCGTGACGCGTAGATAAAGAGTCCTCGTGGTACACTTTAATAACAATAAGGCCTTCGAGTTTCGCCGTTCCCTGGCTGATCCCTCCATTCCCACGGTTCCGTACACCGTCCATGACCCCGTCGAGCCTGTCCTGACATTTTGCAGCGCCGTCAGGACGCCAATCCTCTGCTACTCAGTCGGTCTCTGACCGGTGGCAGATCGTCGTGACCCGCCAGGCCGGCTGCCCAGTCCGGTCTGCAGGGCTGACGCAGCTTGTGCATCCCCGGCTAGACGGCTGTAGACCCGCCCCCGCCGAAAGTCAGCTCGACAACGTGCAGCAAAAAAAAAAGCACGCCTGACGGGCCCTACGGCGCTGGCACTGCCTCTTCGCCATTCAGCCTTCGTTGTCCTGCTCCATTCTTCCTTTCGTGCGTCGTGGCTTGTCGCCATTTTTGCTTTGTTTTCTTTCGTTGATCTCTCTCTTACTCCACGTTACCCCAACTGCTGCGAACTGTCTCATTCTGTTTCCGGGGGACTCGTCTTGGAGCTTCCCAGGTTGTTTCTTTCAACGCTCTTTATTTTTTCGCAGCATATATCCTCTCCTTCTTCTGGTCCATGTCCTCTCGTTCATTGTGCCGCCGGAAAGCGCTGGACGTTGTCGGCCTGTGAGCTGGCCCTTCGGCAAGCATGGCTGGTTGGGATCACCACCGCAGCGGCGGTGTCCTTGTTGGGCGTGACGACGACAATCACAACCCCTCTCCGACAGACCAATTTCTGAGACTGATCCAGAATCCCTTCAAGACGGAAGTGAGTATAGGCCACTCCACTCCTTCGACTTCCTTTTCATTGCTCTGGAGCTTCGCTGCTTCTTATCTCCGTGTTTGGAACAACCACCGCTGTCCGAATCGCCTGCTAACGTCCGCTCTCTGTTTTGGCCAGTTCCAAGTCAATGCTTTCTGGGCTTCCCTCGCAACCTCCATCGGTCTCTCCCTCTTCCTCACCCTCCTCTTCTCCATCTTTCGACCCCATCATACCGTTGTCTACGCCCCCAAGCTCAAACATGCCGACCAGAAGCATGCGCCTCCGCCCGTGGGGCGAGGCATCTTCTCCTGGATCAAGCCCGTCGTGAACACGCAGGAAGAGGATCTGGTGGACCGGATCGGGCTCGATGCCACCCTCTTCTTACGATTCGCCAGGATGTTGCGCAATATGTTCCTCGCTCTCAGCCTCATCGGCTGCGCCGTCTTGATCCCCATCAACATTAGCCAGAGCAGCGGCGCCGTCGCCCAGGGCTTTTCCGCGTTTTCCACCATGACCCCGTTGTATGTCACTACAGAGGCCATCTGGAGCCAGGTCATCTGCGCCTGGGCCTTTGACGCCATCGTCATCTTCTTTCTGTGGCAGAATTATCGAGCGCTGTTGAGGTTGCGGAGACGCTACTTTCAGACCCCGGAGTATCAGATGAGCCTCCATGCCCGAACATTAATGGTAGGTTTACGATCGTCACAGTACTTTGATATGTGTGGGATTGGCTGTTAATCACGATGCCCAGGTCACCGATATTCCTCCCGGTCTCCGCACCGAGGAGGGCTTGATGCGCTTGACGGACGAGGTCAATCCCACCTCCACCCTGCCTCGAGCCACCGTCGGCCGCAATGTCAAAGAGCTCCCCGCTTGATCAAGAAGCATGAGGAAGCTGTCAGAGCGCTCGAATCAGTCTTGGCCAAGTACCTGAAGCGCCCGGACCGTCTGCCTGCGAAACGGCCCACGTTGCGTCCGCCTCGCAAGCACCGAGGCGACCATTCTGGTGAAAAAGTGGATGCCATTGACTATTGGACCGATCGTATCCAGCACTTGGAAATGAAGATCAAAGACGTGCGACAGTCGGTCGACAAGCGCAACGCCATGCCCTATGGCTTCGTCAGCTGGGAGGACATCTCGCATGCCCATGCCGTCGCCTATACCGCGCGCAACAAGCATCCCCAAGGAACAACCATCCGTCTGGCCCCGCGGCCCAACGATCTGATCTGGGAGAATCTATCTCTCTCGCCTAGCAGCAGAAAAATGAAGCGTCTGATCAACGTCTTCTGGGTCATGCTGTTGACGGTGGTATGGATCGTGCCCAACGCCATGATCGCTATCTTCCTGTCCGATCTGTCGAACCTGGGGCTTGTCTGGCCAGCCTTCCAGACCTCTCTCAATGCGAACAGCCGCATCTGGGCTGCGGTTCAGGGTATTGCATCTCCCGCATTGACGTCCCTGATCTATCTCATCTTACCCATCATCTTCCGCCGTCTTCTGGTCCGTGCCGGCGACGTGACCAAGACCTCGCGCGAGCGCCATGTCGTCCACCACCTCTATTTCTTCTTCGTTTTCAACAACCTGATCGTCTTCTCGCTGTTCTCGGCAGCGTGGACGTTTGTCTCCGCCGTCATTGATGCGAAGAATCACGACGAGAGCGCCTGGCAGGCCATTCAGGATGGCCAGTTCTACACCAAGATGGTGAACGCTCTGTGCCAAGTATCGCCCTTCTGGGTCACCTGGTTGCTCCAGCGGAATCTGGGTGCTGCCATCGATCTAGTTCAGGTGGTCAATCTGGCGTGGATATGGTTTATGAAGACTTTTATGGCCCCGACCCCGCGGCAGAACATTGAGTGGACGGCCCCGCCTCCGTTCGACTATGCCAGCTATTACAATTACTTCCTCTTCTATGCGACGGTGGCACTCTGCTTCGCCACGCTGCAGCCCATTGTCCTCCCGGTGACGGCTCTTTACTTTGGCGTGGACGTTTGGATGAAGAAGTACCTCTTGATGTACGTGTTCGTGACCAAGACAGAATCAGGGGGCCGGTTCTGGCGCATCCTTTTCAATCGGGTCTTGTTTGCCACCATCTTCTCCAACTTCGTCATTGCTATGGTCGTCAAGGCGAAGGGAACCTGGACGATGGTGTACTGTTTGGTTCCGCTGCCCTTTTTGCTCTTGGGGTTCAAATGGTACTGCACGAAGACGTTCGACCCCGATATCTTGTACTATAATCGCGCGAACTTGAGCGACGCGGAAGCTCTCGGCAGCGGTAAGGGCTCCAAACGCGCTGGCGATCGACTCAATTCGCGATTCGGGCACCCGGCTCTGTACAAGCCCCTCCCGACGCCTATGGTACATGCTCGCGCGGCGGACGCGCTGAAGCAGATCTATCGCGGCCGTCTGGGGGCCTCCGATACCGTGTCCGATTTCTCGGACATCGCCATGCAATCCATGTCCAAGTCGCAGCCCGGCAAAGCGATCGAGGCGCCGGGCCCCTTTGAGGTTGTTGCCGAGAATCAGCTCGACTTTTCGTATTTCAAGGATCGAGCTGATTTCCGCGACGAATTTGGCGGTGGGATCTATGGCCGCCCGGACGATCTCATCTCGGAGCGCTCCCAGACCCCGAAGACGTTGATTATGGGCAACAGCTCGCCCAGCTCGTCCCGGGCCTCGTCACCGGGGGCTACGGTCATGCGGAAACCGCTCGAGGGCTTTGATCTGGGTATGGGATATCCTGGACCGCGTCCCAACGATGCGGACCATCCGGCCTTCCGGCCTCCTGTGTCTCGCGGCCCTAGCCCACCAAACCTGTACCAACATTCCAACGAGAGCGAAACGCAACTCTTGAACAACGCCCAGCCCCCAGCTGCTGGAGGAGCTGGACAACCCAACACTCTCGACCGATGGCGAACGGGAGGGTACGGGCCCGTTGCACAGGAGGACGAGCCCAACTTTTCTTCGCATGACTATTACCGAGGCCGACGATGACAATATATTTCTGATATATATTTGTTTTTTTATATGTAATCTATCATCGCGTCCATATATACATATAGACCTATTTGGCAGGGATTGGGTGGTGCAGCTTTTCTTTTTTGGATACTTTTTTTTGGGGCAGATATGGGAATGACTGGGACAGGACAGGTGTTCGCGATGTCATGACCAATTGCATTATTAGCGAGGGTATTTTTTTTCTGTCTTGACATAGACATTTGCTATATTTGCCATATATCATGGGATATAGTTCGGCCTAGATGTTGATTCTGGGTAGAATCGTACTGTGTTTTGTCTTTCTTCCTTCTCATTTTTTTTTGGAATTTCTGACAATTACCATGATTACATGACAATGATCCTTCTTGTGTTCTCTGAGTCTTGAATGACTGACTCTACACGTCCAATGCACTGACGGCATCTGTCACGTGGCGTGGTGATTCACTAGTTACCGAAAGCGGATAGAGTGAATTCCCACAGAGTGAGATAGATACGATGCCTGACAGTCTATCACCTATTTTTACTCCGTCAGCACATGCAATGAATGTGATTCATTACATTTCGTTATTTGCAATCGGATTGGCACTTGCTGTGGGGAAAGACCCTCGCGGCTGACGACTGCAACATTGAACATGGCCATCTCAGCTGATCTGGTCAAGCTTTTTGGCGTCTCCACTGCTGGCACGCTGCCTCCGAATCTAACCCATCGACAGCCACGACTATCCGGACAATGAAGAAGCTGTCTTGGAAGCTGTCTTGACCACCTGCCTGCCTCGTGCAGGGCCATATTCCCTCACTGGGGATGACAATGCGGTGCCGTCAGGATTGAGTATTATTGTGGCTTTGGATTTAATCTATTTCTCGCGGATCTACTGGTGGAGACTTGATATCGGTCCCTGGCCAGAGCTGAACTAAATCCCGATGGCAGATGCTACCCTGGCTCCTCACCACAGGCGCATGTCTCGGGAGTCGCCGTCGGGAGGTTGCAATCCACGAAAAAAAAAATCCAAGATAAGGGAAATTCTGACAGGCCACCGTCACAGTACAAGAAAGAAGGCATGTTTTGTTTCAATTTGCGTTTACTATGCATTTTCCACCAGTTACATTGCGATAACGCAGGCCTCGTCGTGTCCAGGGGCAGACTGCACAGCTCTGTCGAGACTCACCACGGGCCTCACGCTAGCGATGCTTGGTCAAGCTGGATGACACCCAACTCCACGCCCAGACGGCGGCCGGTGGAGTCCCCGGCCAATCACATTCGCCACGGAGATGACGCAAGAACCGCATCTTAAGATAAGCAAGAGATTGACAGAATTGAGGTATGATTGATCTTCATTATTAGGCTCTCTGGCGCATGATTGTTTGGCCGCTTGCGATCCTTCTTGCAGCCGTTGCTAACCGCCGCAACCATGTCCTGAGGATAATTTCCCAAGAACAATCGGTGTGCGGAGTACGGAGTCCTCCGTGCTGTCCACGCATTCGTCAATAACGTCACGACTCCAGGGATCCTTGGCGATAAGCCCGTCCTTGGCGACGAAGCTTAGTCGAGCAATGACAACCCACCTTCTCCTTGTGGACTAGAAGGGTCCACTATCGACAGAACACGAGCTGCTCTCGATCCCTGAGCTAGCTGCCCCGGGTAATAATCCTCATGCCCAAGTGAGGAGCAGATCACGGAATCGCCGGCAGGAAAGCCAACTGTGGACCGCGATAGACACCAGTGACCATGGCATGGCTCTACTCACTAGCAGATCATCCCCTCTTAGGGACCAGCCCCGGGGAGCGGTGCATATAAACGGATGCCTCTGTCCCCGGGTCTCATTCGCATCATCGCCCTCTCCAGCCCACTCATCGTGTGGTCAGCGGTCCTCAATTCGAAATGTTGTTGAAATCCTTCGTGACGACGGCGGTGCTTGCCGCCGGCCTGCTGGCCGACAATGTCGCTGCCTTTGGCCGGTTTGGTCGCATGGCTCGCGACCCTTACAACCTGGCCAAGCGCGCCCAGCGTGCTCCTCCCAAGCTGCAGCAGCGCGAGCAGTCCAAGCAGAACTTTCGCTTCTTGAATAACAACACGAAGCGTAAGTCGAAATGCCGTTGACAACCGTTGTGGTGGTCGAATTGAATTTGGCTGACGGTTCACACATCATCCAGCCTACCTCGTCGAGAGCCTTCCCGATGTGAACTTCGACATTGGGGAGATGTACTCCGGTCTCATCCCCATTGACCCCAAGAACACCTCGCGCGCGCTGTTCTTCGTCTTCCAGCCGACCATTGGCGAACCGGTCGACGAGATCACCATCTGGCTGAACGGTGGCCCGGGCTGCAGCTCCCTCGAGGGCTTCTTCCAGGAGAACGGCCGGTTCATCTGGCCGACGGGCGCCTTTGCGCCCGTGGAGAACCCCTACTCTTGGGTGAACCTGACCAACATGCTCTGGGTTGACCAGCCCGTCGGAACTGGCTTCTCCATCGGCACTCCCACTGCTGTGCGACAGGAGGAGACGGCCGCGGACTTTGTCAAGTTCTTCAAGAACTTCCAGGATCTGTTTGGCATCAAGAAGTTCAAGATCTACGTCACCGGTGAGAGCTATGCCGGACGCTACGTTCCTTACATCTCGGCCGCCTTCTTGGACCAGAACAACACGGATTACTATGACCTGAGAGGTAGGTCTCCCATTTTGGTTTATCATTTTCTCGTTTCGCTGACCCCGATGTAGGCGCTCTTGTGTACGATCCCTGCATTGGTCAATTTGACTACGTGCAGGAGGAAGTGCCGGTCGTCCCGTTCGTGCAGCAGAACGCCAATCTGTTCAACTTCAACCAGAGCTTCATGGCCGAACTGGAGAGTCTCCACAAGTCGTGTGGCTACGAGGACTACATTAACAAGTACCTGACCTTCCCGGCCTCTGGAGTGCAGCCGGCCATCGGGCCTAACATTCCTAATGCGTCGTGCGACGTGTTCGACCTCATTGCCAACGCGGTCTTGGACCCCAACCCGTGCTTCAACATCTACGAGATCAACCAGAACTGCCCCATCCCGTACGACCCTCTCGGCTTCCCCACCGAAATCTTCCTCACCCCGCCGGGAGCCACCATCTACTTTGACCGGGACGATGTCAAGAAGGCGCTGCATGCGCCCAACATCACGTGGTCGGAATGCTCCGAGAACCCGGTGTTCGTGGGCGGGAACGGCGGCCCTGAAGGCGAAGGCGACCTGGCGGCCGATCCGATCCAGCATGTGCTCCCGAAGGTGATCGAGGCCACGAACCGGGTGCTGGTGGGCAACGGAGACTACGACATGATCATCATCACCAACGGCACGCTCCTGGCGATCCAGAACATGACGTGGAACGGCAAGCTCGGGTTCGAGCAGCAGCCCAGCACGCCGATCAACATCGACATCCCGGATCTGGTGTACGCACAGGCGTTTGCGGAGAACGGCATGGCGGGCCTGGACGGTCCGCAGGGCCAGATGGGCATCCAGCACTACGAGCGGGGTTTGATGTGGGTGGAAACCTTCCAGAGCGGACACATGCAGCCCGAGTTCCAGCCGCGGTCGTCGTACCGTCATCTGGAGTGGCTGCTGGGACGTAGGGAGCAGATTTGAGAGAAAAATCTTATCCCGGCGTCATGATTGGGCGCTATATTAGGCTACTATATTATATTATAGATTTTTGGAATTAATGTACAGTACTGCTTTAGTTGTATATACACAACATACCTTTTACCTTGAGCTTCTAGCTGTTGCTGGAAGTCGGGATAAAAAAAGAATAGGTGATTGTCATAAGATAATGTATTTTCTTGCATGATGAGTAGTGTCTTGTAATATATTTTTACCTATTGTCGTATCACTATAAAATCTAATCAATTGTTTAGCACGATCATATTTCAATAGTAATAACATATACATAGATATAACGAAGGAAGAAATTAAATAAATCGTGGAGGTCCAGTCTTCCCTCCGGTCCACCCGGCCAGCAGGTTTCCTTTTCAGGCATGGCGGTCACCCAACCTCGGCATCATCAACAATCTGGTACCAGCTAGCCAAGTAATACTCCGTACTCTGTACTCCGTATTAGCTCCGTGGACTCTATACTCCGTATGCTGTGCAGCAACACCGCATTTCTCAGGCACCCCCCTGCCAAGTCATGGCCGCAAAATGATCTATTATTCACGAGAGGCACGAATGTCCAGCTGGCGAACGTTCCGTCCGGCCTGAACTGACCTGGTCCGAGCTGCAAACTGTACGGAGTGCGGAGTACGTCATTCAGGGGCTCTTCAGGAACAGAAGTCCGCAAGGTGCTATCTACCTAATAGCAAGCACGTTGGATCATACTATTTTTTTTATTTGTTTCTTGTCGAATCTGCACGCTGAATCCGAGACTTGACGTTTGAGACGTTTGAAATCGACGATGGCGTGGTATTCGCTTCTCCCTCCGCATCTGACCGCGTTCGAGACGTGGATCGTGAGGTTTTTTGTACGTGCAAGAATAAATAACTCAACCTTCCTTACATAAATTTTATCTCCACTAACCCTCTCTTCTCTTCCCCTCGCACGTCTATACAGATCCTCTGCGGCTTCCTCACCATCGGCCCCTGGGCCTTCCTCGTCCTCTTCGACATCGTCCTCTACATCTTTCGCCTGGCTACCTATGAGATCCCCATCGTTGGGGGCCGCGCACGGGGTCGTTTATGGCCGCGCGCCCCGAGTCTGACGGAACGACCGAGTGGGCGTCGTCGAGCGTTCAGTTTGCGGGGGGAGGAGCCGGTGAAGAAGGACAAGAATGATGATGATAATACTCGCCCGTCAGCGGGCAGCAGCGGCGACAGCGGTAGCGTCAACAGCGGAAGGGTTGAAAAGACGCCAAGGTCGGAGTGAGCCGTGAAATGATATCGGTCTGAGTTATTAGTTGAAATCGTCAATGTCCGCGGAGTTTGAGGATTTTTTTTTCCCCCGTCGTCGTCGCTGCTATGGCGTTGAGACAGTCGGCAGTTGCGTTATACACATACACAGGTCAGCAGCTAGCAGCTAGCAGCTATTCTCACTCAGCTTTGATTTTTGGGCTGTGGGTAGGCTTGCTATACTGGACTCTGGACTCTGAACTCTGAACTCGTTCTGGGACGAGGGATGATTCTGCGTCTGAAGATGCTTCCTCGACATTAGCTCAGTGATAGCCATCTATCTATCTGCTGAGAGGCCAGCTTCGACAAACTACAGTGATCAGCATATCTGATCTGATCGTCATCCGGTCATTGTCTTGGGATTGGATAGACGGGATGAGCTGGCAGGCAGGCAAGCTGTGCCACCACGCCGGATTATATTACAGAATCAGTGACGGACACGACATGGCACAACACAACTGACTCTGGTCTGGTCTGCACTTGCATTTGCATCACGCAACTAATAAATCCGTCTCATGGGCTGGACACATGATGTACTAGATTATGTGCTGTACTGTACATACATACATAGTGGACATTAATCTCTTTACATCAGTAGAGAAGTTGTAATGTATATATACTTAATAACTCTGTGTGTATTACTTCGACATTTAAGGAGTATTTCATTATTCGTCATTCATTCATTCTCCTATTATTATTTATACTCCGTAATTTGAATCAGAGAGAAATTGTTTCGCTTAGCCTGTACTTAATATCATCGTGTCCAGTTAATATTCTTCTCAGGAGAATGTAATCAGTACCTAGATAGGTAAGTTGATCAGAGATGGAGTCAATTTCTTGGCTGTCTAGTTTCTCAGTCAGTTAGTCATATATAGTTTGTTTTTTCTCATTGAAAGTACTCCGTACTGTAAGAACCGGCTGTCTTGCCGGTGTTATCGCTCGTCGGAAGTCCGCCGAACAGTTGACAGCTCTTACTGATAGATAATATCTAGGATCGGATTTCTTAATCGGCATGCTTCGAGAAGCTCCCCTCCCAGTCCTCCCGGTCTAACCGGATCAGGAAGGCCAGTGGCATCTCCAGTGGGCCGTTTTGATACGGCTGATAAGCATCCATTCTATATCGAATCCATTACAAATTATTCAATTATTCGGATTATTCGCGTGCATCAGCTTATCCTTCCAGGATGGATGGGAAGTCGTATATAATGATCTTTCTGGCCAGGTGCACTGGTCATGCATGCTATACGTTTCCTTATCTGATTACTTCTCATGGAGTTGAATCAATCTCTCGACGGGAGGCTCGCCCATAAGCCGGCCTCCTCTATCGACAACAGCGATGAGGCGCTCAAGTTCCTCGCCCGCGAGCAGCAGGCCGGCGTCGTGCTGGACATCACCGAGACGAGAGCGCTGCGCTGGCGCATCGATCTGCGCATCATGCCCATCCTCATGACCATCTACTTCCTGCAGTACCTCGACAAGACGCTGCTCAACTACGCGGCCGTCATGGGCATCAAGGACTTCCTGCCCGGCAACGACTACAACAACCTCGGCACCATCTTCTACGTCGGATACCTGGTTGCGGAGCCCGTCACGGCTTCATGCAGCGCTGGCCCATTGGCAAGTACCTCGGGATCAATGTCACCTGCTGGGGCGTCCTCGTAGCCTGCCACGCTGCCTGTCGCAGCTATGCGTCCCTGATGGTCGTAAGGGTCCTCCTCGGCGTGTGCGAGGCTTGCGTCGCGCCGTCCCTGGTCCTCATCACAGGCATGTGGTGGACCAAGCCCGAGCAGTCGCGTCGGACGGGCCTGTGGTACATGCAGATCGGCATGGCGCAGATTGTGGGAGCGAGCGTTTCATATGGCTTTCAGCAGGTGCACTCGGACAGGTTGGCGAATTGGCAGATTCTGTTTCTTTTTATGGTGCGTGAGAAAAAAAAAGTCAAGGATTATCAAGCTGATAATACAAAGGGTTGCTTCACAGCCCTAGTCGGCATCATCACCATCCTCCTCCTCCCAGACAACCCCATGACAGCCCGGTTTCTCACCGAGCAGGAGCGCATCGCCGCCATCGAGCACGTGTGCGTCAACCAGACAGGCATCGAGAACAAGCAGTTCAAGCCGTACCAGGTCTCCTGTTCCGGGACAAGGAGACCTGGCCGCTGTTCTTCATCACCCTGCTCGCCATGATCGACAACGGCGCCGTGTCCAATTTCTCCAGCATCATCATCGCCTCGTTTGGCTTCTCGACGGGACGCACCACCATCGTCCAGATGCCCTCGGGGGCGGTCTCGATCGTGGCCACCTTTGCGGCAACGTATCTCGTCGGGGCGATTGGGCATCGTTCGTATATCATTGCCTTAATCACACTCCCTAGTATATTGGGTTGGTTACCTCCTTTCTTTTTTTTTACCTCCTCTTTCTTTCTTGCTTTTCTAACGATATCTCCAGGCCTCAGCGACTCCTACGAAGTCGGCAAGCTCTTCGGCGTCTACCTCCTCAACTCCTGCCCCGCAATGCTCCCCATCATCTACAGCTGGAACTCAGCCAACACGAGCGGCTACACCAAGCGCGCGATGCGCAACGCGCTGACCCTGATGGCCTTCTGCGTCGGCAACCTGATTGGCCCGCAGATGTTTCAGGCCAGCGACGCGCCGGACTACAACCCGGCCAAGATCGCGCTCATCGCGAGCATGGCGGCGGTGGTCGTGCTGGCGCTGGTCCTGCAGCAGCACATGGTGTGGGAGAATGCGAAGAGGGACCGAGAAGAAGAATCGACAGCGGACACGCCGGGTGTCCGACCGCGGGGGGAGAACGTGGGGTTTTTGGATTTGACGGATATTGAAAACAGGGGGTTTCGATATGTTTACTAGACGAGCGGAGCGAGTCGTTAAAGGCTTGTTGGAGGAGAAAAAAATAAAAGAAGTTAATGTATCATTAATTGATGTCGTTACTGCGTATCAGTAGATGTATGTACAGTATAATGCAAGTGATTATATTAAATGATTTGATAAATGACAGGACGCGACTCGCACCGTCCTTCCTAATCAGGATAAGCGCCAGCCCCGGATTCCAGAGATGGAGCTACGCCAATCCGGGACTAGAGCGGGCTGTCATTGTAGCAAATGGGAAGCGCACTGATTCCGTTTATCATTCATTTATCATTTATCATTCTCATTTTCGTTTTCATTATTGCTCTTCCTTTCTGTGGGTTTAAGAAAAAAAATGAATGAATGAATGATACAAGAATACGAAGAAGACGAGGGGAATAGATTTCTGCAGGTTACTTACTTATTTTATTAGTTGTGCTTCTTCTTTTTTTTTTAATCTACATCTACATACGATTTCACACAGACATCTGTCTATACACTCGTCAATAGAGGGAAAGATACAATCAGTCCCTGACTGATTGATCGATTGATCAACATGGCGTCGTCGTCGTGCAGCCTTGATGGATCTCCCCTCTCGCTGTCATGGTCATGGGTCCAGGAGACGGTGGACGTCCTGCGCACGAAACTGGCGGAGGTGGACAAGCAGCAGGCTTTTTTTACGTTGCTCCCGATAGTCGTTTTGTCGTGGCGGTTTTTTGGGACGGCTGTACGTTTGCCCAGCATTTTTCGTGCTCTGGCCGTTGTTGTGTGTTCATTTTGTTTATTGTGATTTCTTTTGTTGAAAGGATAGAAAAGACTGTGGTAGCTGGATGTGCTTCTTTATTGAATCTGGTTGATTGTTTTGTATCGATATCGACGCAACTTTTCTAGTTATTTTTTGATATCTGCAATTCCATCGTTTACTAACAACACCCAGACTCAAGCCCGAAAGACAAGCAAGATTCGCACTCTCAAAGCACCGGATTTCCCTCCAATCGAGCCGCTCGAAAACTTCGACTGGAAGACCACAGAGCCGCTCAAGATCCGGCCGTTCAAGCCAAAGTACCATCTTACCATGGGTACGTTTTCGTTATTCGTCCTTAGTGAGATGTTCTTTCTAGCTGACGAACCAGCCCTCGAGACGCTCAACCCTAGCGAACTCATCCCCATGGACAAGACATACAAGGACCGTATCGCCTATCGTCGCTCCCTCCTCAACCAGTACCACGACACCGTCGTGGCTGTCAACAACGAGGCTGATCCCCGCATCCGCGCTGCGGTCAAGGAGCTGTACACCTTCCTCATGGGCACGTATCTGCCCGGCCGGTATCCGACCATGTTCCGGCTCCACCACACGGCGTTCGAGACAGGCAAAGCGGAGATGCTGGAGAACCTCGTCACGGGCGAGATCTACCCCGCGGAACTGACAGCGCTGACCAGCACGATTCGGGCGCTGGAGACGCTTCTCAAGAACATTGACGAGGATTTCCTCATCCTTTTGCCAGAAACAACGCAGAACGGGCAGACCAAACAGAAAGAAGGCCAGGACAGCAACGTCAAGTACATCCTCGAAGCCTTCGCCACCTGCTACCCAGCCGGCTTCAACCCCCGCCAGAAGCTGGGCAAGCGCCTGGCGGAGATCCACGCGCCAGTGCCGGGATACGCCGACAAGCTAGAGAAGAGCATGGACCGGTTCTTCGAGAAGATCGAGGTAGGAAAGTACGTGAAGCGGGTCAACTGGAGCATTGCGATCGACGCGGAGCTGTTTTCTGCCTTTGGCGGGTTGCACAGTGCCGAGGGCGAGAAGTTGGAGCCGATCAAGCCGGGGGAGTTGGATCTTGATACGGTGGGTATATCCAGTAGAACTACTGGCAAGAAATGACCACTGACACCTGCGGTGATTGATGATAGACCTTCCTCCGCTGCGAACGCCAAACCCTGCATCGCCTCCCGCGCTCCAAGGCCCTCGTCTTCGCCTTCCACACCTACACGTATCCGATCAGGGAGATCAAGGAAGAAGGTCTAGGCGAGGAGCTTGCCACGGCCATCGATGGCCTAAAGGAGGGCAGTACGCCGCAGATTCATTTTTACAAACGTGGACCTGTTTGGGGGGAGGCGGTGAAGGCTTATTTGAGGAGTTGATAGTTAGTTGAAAGTATAGGTAGGTAGGTAGGTAGAGAAATCTGATTTGTTTCTTCTTGCTTGTTTCTCGTTTGTAGTCGAATGAATTGTGGACATGATTGTGATTAATTAAATTTCATTCAGTGTATTGATTTGCAATACATATGTACATACATATCAATCATGATGTAATTGGATATCTACTTTCCCTCTTTTTTTGTTTATTTTATCTATTGCAACCGCTCCAACACCTTGATCAGATCAGCCGTCACCCCCATCGCCGTCACGTCACCGCCCGCGCCCGCTCCCTGGATGATCAGCGGGTTGCTGCCGTACCGCTTGGTGTAGAAGCTGATGATGTTATCGCTGCCCTTGAGCCCCGCGATGGCGCTGTCCTTGTCGAACTGCTGCAGTCCCACCTTGACCTCCTTCTTGCCCACGTCCACGCTGCCCACGTACCGCACCACCTTGCCCGCCTTCTCCGCCTGCTCCTTCAGCGCCGCCATCTGTCCGTCGAACTCGGGCAGGCGCGCCAGGAACTGGCTCACCCCGTCAGGTGTCGCCGGCAGCGAGGCCAGTTCCGCCGGGATCAGCGACTCAACGGGGAACGAGTCCGGACTCTGCACTTCCAGGCCCGCAATCCGCGCCAGGATCGTCAGCTTGCGCGCCACGTCCATCCCGTTCAGGTCGTCGCGCGGATCCGGCTCCGTGTAGCCCAGCTGCTTGGCCTGGGTGACGACCTCGCTCCATTTGGCGGACGAGCTGCCCGACACCGGCGCAAACGTGTTGAAGAGGAACGACAGCGTGCCCGAGAAGACGCCCTCGATCCGCGTGACCTCATCGCCCGTCGCGACGAGGTCGCGCAGGGTCGAAATCACGGGGAGACCGGCGCCGACGGTGCTCTCGTGGTAGACGAGCGCCTTGCCTTCCGCCGCGGCGGCGAAGATGTCCTTCCACAGCGACAGGTCGGACGAAAAGGCCTTCTTGTTGGGCGTGACGATCGAGATGCCGGCGCGCAGGAACAGCGGGTATGCGCTGGCCAGCGCCGGGTCGGAGGTGTTGTCGACCAGGACGGAGCGGCCGGGGGCAGAGGAGAGATACGAGACGATCTCCGGCGGGGACAGAGGGCCCGATTTCGTCAGCGAAGGGTTCGCTGATGCTGTTTGCCAGTCTGCGGGGATGGCGGGCGAGTATGCCGGGGCGGGGGAGGTCAGGGTCTGCGAGGAGCGCGCCAGGAGGACGAGAGAGGGCGCATTGGGCAAGCGAGCCAGTTGGTTAAGGAATGCGGTGCCAACGCCGCCGACGCCTGGATTTCATCGAATTTCATCAGGGTTGTTTATTCATGAGAAAAGAGGGGAAGAATTTACCAATGACGCCGAGATAGATCGGTTTGGAGGACATTTTGTCAGCGGAGTAGATGAGAATAAGCGAATTCTGTCCGCAATTGATCTGTAAATCGAATATAGGATCTCGATTGACTGTATTCAATGAGTTTCAAAAGAACGACGAGACGACGAGGACAGACGAATTGTGTCGGCGATGTGGGCTGTTCTGCGGGGCAGATATACAATTACGCCAGTTGCCGTCTGATTGATTGGCGCTGCGATGATCGGAGCTGGCCCGCCCGCTGCGACACCGATTGGCCCAAGCTCCCGCAGAGTGACCGCTTGGGAAAGTTGCTTGCCTTGCTATCTTCAATAATAATCTCTGCCATGCGAGCATCTCTACTATAGGGAAGTTTTATCTATTCCTTTTACTATCCACAATGGCCTCCAAACCGCCGCCCTCGTCCGCCTCCCTCTACGGCATCCAGCGCCCCAAAAACACCGTCTCGCAGAAAGACCTGACCTCGTCGTCCACCCTCGCCTTCACCACTCATCTCTCTTCGTTAATCAACAAAGAAGCCGCGTCAAAACAGACCGGCGGCGCTGGCGAAGGATCCTCCGCCATCCGCGGGCGTGCTCGCCCCTCCAAGACATCAAAGTCCGACATCTTCTCCGTCCATAACAAGGGCGCACAGAAGCGCGCGGCGGTAGATGAGGAGGACGACGACAACCATGCACTACAGCAGACCCACAAGCGGACGGACGACATCGGCCAGGTGGATGCGGCGACGCTGCACCGCTCCAAACGCCGGATGGAGGAGAAGGCGCGCCTGTACGAGGATCTGAAAAAGGGCTATCATCTGGCGGAGGACAGCAGCGACGAAGACAACAGCCGGGACGACTACGTCGCGAGGATGCGGAGGAAGGAGAGGGAGGCTCTCGTCGATTTCGACCGCAAGTGGGCCGAGGAAGAAGCCGCGAAGAGGGAGCGCGGAGAAGACTCTGACGCGAATGATGAAGAAGATGATGAGGATGCGGATGAGGATGAGACGGGATCTCTGGTCGAGTATGAAGACGAGTTCGGCCGCACGCGGCAGGGCACGAGGGCAGAAGCCGCACGCGCTGCGCAGCTCAGGAGACAGCAACAAGGGGAGCAGGGTCAAGAGTTGCGCGATAGATCCCGGCCTGAGCGACCAGCAAACCTCATCTACGGCGAGACGATCCAGACGGAGGCGTTCAAGCCCGATGCGGCCGTGGCGGCGAAGATGGAGTATCTCGCCTCGCGACGAGACCGGTCCCCAACGCCGCCAGAGGCGACACACTACGACCCGGACGCCGAGGTGCGGACGCGCGGCACGGCCTTCTACGCCTTTTCGCGGGACGAAAAGCAGCGGGAGAAGGAGATGGAGGAGCTCATGAACGCCCGCAAGGAGACGGAGCGGGAGCGGGAGGCGCGCAGCGAGCGGAAAGCCGAGCGGGAGCGACTCAAGGAGGAGCGACGAAAAAAGATCCAGGAGCTGCGGGGGAAGCGCCAGGCGGAGCGATTCCTCGAGGGACTGGGCCAGGATCTGGCACAGACGTAGCTCACCTTTTTCTTCGCAGCATGCCTCTGAAAAATCAGCCTGCAGGACAGTGTATGTTAATCACGTATGACATGATACCCACGCCTGTACAGCTTATGAATGATGGCAAGATTTGTAATGTATGTACAGTATAAAATTACGTTGTTATTAATAAATCCAACTTTGATATGCATTCATTTGCAGTAGATATGAACATGAACATAGTAATACGTAGTTAAACATTCAACAAGAACAAGAAAGCATTGCATCAAACAAGCAAACCATATCATACCATATCATACCAATGATACCAATGATACCAGACCATACCAGCAGAGAACAAACAGGACAGAAAGGGAAGAAGGGAAAAAAAAACAACAAACCCGAAATAGATCGCGCGTGTCGAGTATAAAATTTAAAACAAAAAAAAAGCAAAACCAAAAACCAAACAATGAGAACCATATTATGAGCGGGTATTTGCAAATAATGGAATGGAACGAAATCCAAGAAAATAAAGAAAAAGTACAATACAGAAAAAAATTAAATCATTGCTCAAAGACGCTTTAAAAAAAAAAGGAAAAGAAAAAGAAATGGGAGCAAACTGATTAAGACGGACAGACAAACAGACAACAGACGGTGAGAAATCAACTCAACTAACCACGAGTGCCATGAATGCTTAACTGCCAATATCAATCATGAGACGGTATTTCAAGTTGAATGAGCCAAGAAGGGGGTAAAGAAAGGAAAGGAAAAAAAAAAAAGAAGGGGTAGGGGGGAGAAAAACAAAAGAAATGGAATGAGCGTGTTTGCGCGACTAAGTCAAATCAGATAGATACCCTCCCATGCATAGGCCAAAGGAGAAAAAAAGGAGAGAGAGTGCGTGTGAGTGCGTGTACGGAACTTTTGCCTCCGCGGCCGTAAATTCATCAAGGTATAGATGTCATGGGTGTCACAAAATTAGAAATGAAAAAAAGGGAGGGAGGAGGTATGTCGTTTGTCATAAGACCCATAGGATAGGATAGAATAGGAGGGAAACTCGTAACTTCGTGAATTCGTCAACTGGTCGTGATTCGTGACTCATGACTCGTGACTCGTGACTCGTTTCTGGGTTCTGTTCTCTCGGCAGGAGGGGTTTGATTAGGTCGTTCAGCGTCTCGCAAACATGAGCAGGTCCTCATTATTCATGGAGTTCTGTCGACTTGTTTGGTCATTCATCCCGAAAGAAATAGATTCAACAAAGACGTGTTTAACTAATGCCGGCGAGCTCATCGATGGTCTCGACGAAATCTTCGGCATCTGCATCATCGTCATTCGTCCGTTAGTTAGCAGATAAGACGAGAATGGTGATATCTTTCATCGCTGTGGAAACGCATATGCAACAACACACTGCGAGTACATACCAGAACGACTGGTGAACTTGAGAATGTACTCCCCCCGAGGCGTCCGTGGAGGCGTGTATTCGGCACAGAAAACAACGCGCCGGAGCTCGCTCACATGGATAACCTTGGGTCCGACACGGCGTAGCCACGCAGGTGAGCTGATGTGGTGCGTGATGAAAGCCGTCCAAACAGGCGCTCTAAGCGACGACATTAGCTTGAAGTTTTTTTTTTAATAATGGTCGTCTGCACGACTCACCTCTTCCTCTCGCCCTCGTACACAGAGGCCTGCAAGCGTACAGCCCCTGAACCGATGTCCCTGTAAACACGCAGCGCATGGGGATCGCGCCCCTCGAGGATAAGACTGTAGACACGCGCCGTCGGCATGAATAACTGTGTACAGTCCACAAGACAGCTGGATGATCAACGTACCCGCCAAACATCTCCTCCTCATCATCCAGTTCGTAATCCCGAATGTCCTGGACTGGCTTGTGGAAATCCTGAGACCGAAGGGCGAGGAACGTGCAAAAGAAAATCACCATTTCTAGTCATCTAGTTAGTAGACAAGACAATATAGAAATCGGGCTCTACTTACTTTCAATGGTGTAGAATCGGAGATTGAGCCACGGAACCAGCTCCAACCCAGACCGGCGTCTTCGACATAACCGCAGGCATGCGCCCACACGCTCCACCTCCAGCAGGTTAAGCGGAAGACAGAAGTACTCGCTCGCCCGGCTGGTGTGGCGAACCTTGCACACGATGCGCGCTCGATGGTCATCCTCCCTGACGTAGAAGTAGACCGACAGATTCGACTCGGGCTCGAAGGGCCTGCAATATTGTTAATTAAACACCCACGAACGACTATAACTAAATCAACCTACAAGTACAGAACTTCGTCAAAGCCCTGGTCAAAGAGCCATTGCTTTATATCGGGTGTCACCTTGCCGAAACATTTCGAGCTGCCCCGCATGTTGGTGAACCATGAATTGATAGTGGAATGCTTCCTCGTTATCACTCACCTCTGCCCGCTATAGGGAATCCGCGTAACCGAGTTATCATCCGAGAACACTTTTCTCGCCCAATGATCATTCAAGATAGCCGAGGAGATGTTGGACCGTGTCGCGGTCGAGTTGGACGTCGTCGGTGAGCCTGGCACATCGGGGACATACGGCGGCACGTCTTGGGACGAGGCAGAAGGAGACAACGGGGCCGGAGCCGTGGAATCCGATAGAGGAAACTGGGGCGATCGAAGAGCCGGTCGCGCTCGTTCGTAGGATCGACGCCTCCCCGGACCACGGCTCTCAACGGGGGCTGCAGGCTCAACGCTATTACTCCCAGACCAGTTGGCCCCTTCCAGTGTCAGAGCTCCCAGTTGCGCCGCGAAGCGGCCATCTTGCTCGGCCAGGAGAGTGGTTATACTGCTACGAAGGTCTGCCATGAAGGGAACGTCGGGAGATTTACTGTTCCAGCGCAAGTCAGTTAGTATTTGCTGATGGTACACTGCATCAAGGATATTTTATGTACTCTTGCATCAGGTCTTCCAGTTCCTTCAGGAACATCTTATACTTCCTCAACCGTCGGCTGAGGGAGTAGCTGCTCTCCTCCTCGAAGAACGAGCACAGGTCGAGCCATATGCGCTTATAGGAGCCCCGGCTGACAGTTCCCCTGGCGTCGAGATGGCCAAAGACCTCGAAGATATTCTCAAGCGTATAGTGCAGGCTGGACCGGACCAGCTCCAGATCGGGCTTGACGGCTGGGAGATTATGGCGATACGGGCGCGAGACGGCGAGCTCATCCAGGCTAGTCAGCGTTGCACTGATCGCGTACAGGTCAGACACCAGACCCGTGATCTCGGCAGTATGTTCCGGCAGCGGATCACGAAACTGCATAAAACCGGCAGCGATGTTCTCTGCGAACTCGGCCGTCGTGCGCAAGTCCATACTTGCGGTCGCGATGTTAAGCCATCTGGCGCATGCGGGGTAGAAGGAAGAGACCCGATCGGTGGCGCTTTCATGAAGGTCTTCAGACCGCTACCATGATTGAGAAGAACGCGGAAAGTCAGAGACAGGCATGAGAAATCATACTGTTTCCTTTTTCTCGTGCGGCACGACAAGGGCGGGCAGGACGGTGGGGAGTGCCAGCAAAACGAGGGTATAGAACTATGCTTCTATAAGCGCGATTAGGCCGGAACCCGCATCCAATTACTCCCAGCAATAACTCAGCAGGCAGGAATTGGGATATGGTCAGTGCCACAAGTCAGCGTCTAATTCCGCGGTGATTTGCTTGAGGCTTTGAAAAAGGTAACGCAGAGGGAGAATGGCAGACTGCCTTAGCGTGTTGACGTGTTCATCCTGCCCACCGAAGCAGCGACCAACCCAATAGGAACGGCGCTGGCAGTCGTACCAGCGAAGGCAGCCTAGGCGCCAGCGGAGAAGGCCTTGTGCTCTAACACATCAGCAACAATATCAATTCGGTAACCTGGCACGAGTAGAGGGGAATTGCTGATTAACTTCTGGTTTTATTCTCAAGACCCTGCGGTGACTTCCGATCTGGCAGGACATCGTCTGCCTACTCTGACAGAGACCGCCAAAAGCATCCACTTTTTGTTGCTGAAGACTCCCTTACAGCGAATCGACACATATCGCTGGTCCAGAGCTCACCAGTGGACACGAGAGAGACCACGCCGGTGCTATCACGGGTACAGGACCAGCTGACAACAAGCTGCACATGCCGTGCAGAGGGCTTGGCATTGCTATGCTCGAATGGTCGCATCTGCGTTTGCACTGGCTGGTTGAGTGTCGAGTGACGAGTAATAGTAGATAATGATATCGAGAAGCTCTGCATCACGGGCCCCGCAGCACTGGAATGACAAGCACGAGGAGGATTCCAGGCCTTGTGGATCCCAAGAACCTACTGAGTATGGTAAAACTAAAGTAAGTACAGAGAGCTCGTAGACTCCTCCAGACCTGACCCTACATAGGTGATGTGCAGGCTCGACCACGCCAGCTGCTGGAGCTCTGTTGCTGTTGACCCACGATACGCCTTCCTTTCTCTAAGACATACTGCTTCATGGGAGACAGCTCAATGGTCTCATAGCCAACCAACCTTTGTGGCCTCTCATAGTTGTATAGGACAGTTTATAGCAGTACTAGCAGTCAGTGACATGACATCATGACAGCAGTGTTTCTTCACTTCCAATGTGGAGATATAAAGGAGACGTTCTTTGTCGATGTAGAGACCCTGTCAATTTGATCGTGATCAATGTCTGCTCCAAGGGCAAAGTGAGGCCTGAGGCCATCACTAGCACCTGAGAATTTTGACTCCTAGCTACTCCGTATAAGGTCCCCAGTCCCCATTCTCCCAGGTTGAGGCCCCGGATCGACATGATCTGGCTGCCTCGAGAGAATCGCCAGTTGCCTTGGGCACCCCTCTGAGCCTATCGGGAATGTCGTGAATCTTTTCTCCGACGCGTCGGCCGTAAACAAAGAAGCGCGACGGCGTGGCCCGCCATCCCGGGAGCTTGGGCCAGGAACATGAAAAACCATCGGAAGCTCCTACGAGGTAAGACACATAAACCCAAAGCCTTCGCACATCTTTTCACGCGTCAACACGGGCACGAGATGAGATTGAAGCGACTAAGTCTACAGCAGTCTTATCTGTCCCTCAATGTGCTTCGTATCTTGTCGCGTATTCGGCGCTGCACGTCCTGCGCGACCGCGGCATCGGGCCCTTGCAGACTCCCAGATCCCCGAACCCGTCCGAAATAGAAAAAAAAAGATTTCCCATTAAGAAAACCCCGCATGAAGAAAAAAAAACAGATAGCGCGAGTACATGAAACCCGTCATCCCATACCAGAAACCATTTGAGCTAGGAAAAACAAACGAATACAGGACGAAGAAGCGGAAAAAAAAGACACAGAGAGATGAACGCCATTGCATTAATATTGGCAGGGTGGGCTACCCTGGATAGTCTGTCTAGGCGGATTCCTCATCATCATCGGCAGCCTGGCAGAGACGGTCAGTATAAGGCTTGTGCTTGGCCACCGGGAAGGGTCTCGCCTACATTGTAGCTGGCCTTTTCGTCTTCATACCGCTTCTTGTCGGCCTGGGCCTTTTCCTCATAGGGACGGCGCTCCTCGTCGCTCAGAGCCTTCCAGCGCTCACCCAGGATCTTGCCAACTTGGCCTGGAAATCACAGTTAGAGAGCAGCAAGACATCATGGAATGGGAAGACCAACCGAAGGAAATGCCAGGGTTCTGCTCACGGACGGCTTCACGCTGCTCGTTGGCGAAGAACATATAAGCGGAGAGACCACGCTTGGGGGCATTGGGGTCTGCGACACCAGGTTAGTAGGTTGCGGCAGAGTCGGCGTCATTGAGCGACGTACCCTTCTTCTTCTTCTCGACACCGCGAGACTTCGTCTTGCGAGTGGTCTTTTCCTTCGGCATGGTGACTATACAAAGCAGTCAAGTGATTAGCAGTCGATTCCAGCGTGATAGCAAGTCAATTGCCCGTCAAATCAACTGGAGACGTCTATGCGATCCATAAAAACAAAGGGGAAAAGGGGGCAGGATGGGTGGTGGGCAGATGCGCGTCATGGGGGATGCGTCGGGATGGTTGGTGTTGCGGCGCGCGGCTCCAAACATGCATGCGATCGCGTTTCCCAACCAAAGAAACACCAAGAGAGGAAAAGTCAGGAAAAGGAGCCACTCACAAGAAATTAATGCAAATACAGGAAATTAAATGCGAAATTGATTTTAGGGAATTGACTATATGGCAGGAAGCATGGCGCTGGTTAGTGACGGGGCTCGAGGGCTGGGTGCAGATGCGCGACGACGAGAAAGCATTGAGATGAAGAATAATGAAATCATCACGCGTAGAGGAGAGCAAAGACAGAGAAAAAGAAGCAGGAGTGGTGGGAGTTGGGGGGTGGTGGACGGGGGCGAGGATACGGCGCAGGAAGGGAAACGGATGTTTATGAGGGAGCTCACCTATACAGAAGCGCGCAGTACCTGGTTTGTATGGGAGAGTTGTATGGGGAGAACTGGGTGAGAGGGAGAGGGAGGGAGGCGGCGGTAGTAGAAGAAAGAGAGAGCAGAGCGAGCAGCAGCGCAAGAGGGGGCAGCCGCAGCCAGGGCAGCCAGGCCTAGAAGGTAAGGGCTCGCTCGATTACACCGAGAGCCACCTGCTGCCGGGCAAGCGCCGCTGTCACTGGCTGCCGCCGCGACAGAATGGGCGTATGGTGCCGTACCGTACCGTACCGTCACATGGCCAGCGGCCGCCGGCAACGGCCTCTGCAGTGGGTGGGCTGCGCGTCTGGGCAGTCGGCAGCCGCTGGTCTGTATGGCAGAACCACACAATGCCCTTGCCGCACCCGGCGCGTTCTGTCACGTACCATACCAGGCCATTACGTACAGAACCGCCTCTGCGCACAACACGCGCAGCACCGCACACCTCGACCGCCCACTGATGACCGACCAAAACACCCTCGAAGTCGAGCAGGTTCAGCTCTGCCACTGGTATGGCCGCAGGTCCCGTGCCGAGCCTAGGTACGGCTGCCGTCCTGGATACAGAGCACAGAAGCCAGCATCCGCCACAGAATGTACGTTACAGAATCCAGAGCTGGGTGATAGAACACGTCCCCTGCGTCCTCTCACCGGAAGTGCAGTGCATTACGCTGATGCGGTCTGCCCCCAAGTCCTGATCTTAGCATCAGAACGCCTGAGGATTTACGTTTAGGCCGATTTGATGAGGAAAAGGTCTTCTCTCAAAGTGCAATTGGGCCGAGTTACGCTACAGGAGCCCATTTTACGTGATGTACTGTACCGTACCGACTGATACCGCCTGGCCAGGCAGTATGAGCAGAGAACCCGCACCAAAACCAACACCCACGACCAGATTCGCCTGACCTTGTTTCTTTTCTGCTTTTCATTTGGCGCATTCGGCTCATTAAGTAAGATCGTTGGTGCTGGTCCCCCAAAGCCTGGACGGTAGTATGGAGCCTAACGCGGGCCTGCACGCCGTGACCTCCGGCCCCCTCTGGTAAACAATAATAATGTCAATTTAGCAGAGCAGCAGAACTTTATGGCCCTTGGTTGGTAGACACGCAACTCCCCAGGAGGTACTCGTCACACTGATTCCTACCTATCTTGCTCAGAAGCTTCAATATAGTTAATAGTCGGTGGCTCTGCTGCGTAACTTGCACTGCTTGGCTTTTATCTTTTTCTATGGGCGCAGTTCGTCCTTGCTGCTACCAACCTAATCTGCTCGAAGCATATTTCCCCCATCTTCAATAATGCTGAACTATAATTACAATAATGCGACCCTGGGCTAGTTTTATGGTGAGGTAGGCTGAAGAAGCTTGCTGGTCTGAACTTTCGGGCAGTGTAAGACGCAGCACGCCCTGCCCTTCTTCTCTTCGAGTTTGGTCTGGCTTTCCTATCCCAGTTGGAAATCATTAATAATCATGCATTACTTAACTATTGTTATTAACTTACTTTGGTCACTTCTGCCGACAAGTTTTGGGGTGTTAATGCCACACACGTTCCAGCATTCCTTACGCTGGCAGCCAGATCGGAAGAGGCAAGGAAGTACGCAAACAGTCGAGACAGAGTTGGTGTCATTGGCGGCGCGGGCGCTCTCAGTCTTCTCAAGCCTTTCCTTCTAAACTTACCAGATGCCCACTCAGCTTGCTCGAGGCCCAGAAACCTCCGCTAGTGAGTGGATTTCCTGCTCCGTTAATCCTGGTTTCCCTGCATCCATGATAAGACTGTTGAGGTAATTGATCCAAGTCTGAGACCATCGGCACCACCTCAACCGCTCACGCGCTTCTTCTGCCGAGGTTTTGTCCCGACCCACGACGATCTGATACACTAGTAGCACGCGCGACAGGGAGAGGGAAATTTGTCATTATTTTTGGCAGTTTGGGAATCGGAGCTGCAGATCGGACGGCGTGGAGGGACATCAGATTTATGTCACATGCAGGGCCGTAAGCAACCAATTAGGAGCTGCATCCAGAGCCTTGGTAAAGTTGCCCAAGTAACGAAGGCTAGTCTCGTAGGGCTACATATTAGCTGCCCAGGAACGGATTAGAGAGGCTTAGCAAATGAATACTCCTAGATGTCGATTTTCCCGTAGATTAATCAGAAAGAACAAAGGAGGACCGGGGGAATAAATCAATCTATGGGCAAACTGCTGAATTGGTAAATCAAATCACTAGGCTAGATCACCGATATTGAAAAATTTACGAAGCAAAGAGCATAATAATACATATAGTATTATGCTTCAATCCGACTCGTCCAGCACAAGTTTACGGAGCGTGTCATCTCGTGCCCAGTCGACTCCACTGCCCACAATGACAGCACTGACCACGCCTTTGATGACGTCCCACTTGGCCCGGCTCTTCTTGCGGTCTGCTTCAACCTCTTCTATTTGCGCTTTGAGTGTCGCATCGGTGATTTCCTCCCTCCACGAAGACTCCTGCCGCGTCAGATCCAGAAGCTCGCGCACAAGCTCTTGGTTCCTCTTCGTCACGCGCAGATTGTCAACTTCCGCGTTGGACAACGCCTCTAGCGTTGCAGCATGGGCATTTGCCAGGTTCTCGTGGATCAGGGAGAGCAGGTCGCGTCGGTGGATGAGAGGCAGGAGGGCCCTGCAATAGAGACGAGTTAAGACAGACATCCCATTGAGAGAAGATACCATAGCAGTACAAACCTCTCGGCTGGTGACGCGGCTCTCAGGTGAACTGCCTTCAGACTAGGATCGGTCATGAGAACGGTCTCGACCGCCTTCCTCCTGACTGAATATGTAGCTCTGGCTTCTAGAAGCTCGCGTTCCGCGACCCGGAGCTGCTCTTCCACATCTTCGCCGCTGGGCTCCTCCAGATCTAAAGATCGCCGTTAGTCAAGGGACATCGAACCCAAATGATGCGGCTATTGACTCCGTACCTTGCTCGAGCACGGCTTGCTCCAGCTCCAGCTCCTGGATCTGGTCGTAGAGGCGCAGGATCAGCGTCTCCTTATCGGATAACGACAGGGCATCGCGGCGGTCGTCGGCTGCCAGGTCCAGCAGCGCAGACTCGGCGTCGTCGAGGAGGGCCGGATAAGAGGTGCGTTGCGCACCTTCATTGGATGCCATGGACTACGGGTGCCATCCAGAGTCAGCGCGAGGCATCGTGTGATCTCCGCTGCTGGTTCCAGAAGACAGGAAGATGTCATTCCTGGCGCCGCACGCGGGGCGGTCGGCAGCCCCGGTGGGCCTAGCAACAGGCTCGGAAACGCCCGCTAAACCCTAGTTGGCGGGGGAGCTGCGTCAGGTTGCAAGGCACCCGACAGCTTCGTTATCGTCACCGACTTTCAAACTCTCCCAGACCATCGCATCGGACAGCCCTGGGTGGAGTGCTCAGTCTGGGAGACGGCAATGTCGTTGCACATCTACATCGCTCACACGGGTGAGCATTTGCTTGCTGACCCTGTGTCGTTTGCCTCGTATGTCTTCTTCCCTGTGCAGTGATGCTAGGCGCTCTCCGCCGATGGAATGCAAGCTAACGCCATCGCCTGCTGTTCAGCCCAGATGCGCTCCGTTCATGGATCGCTCGCAATACATCCATCTCCCCGCAGAGGCAGATCTTGATGACTGCCCGTGGGAAAAATGTCAAGCTGCAGACGCTGGCTACGGAGGTAGGAACGCTACGAAGGCCCTATCCTTGACACTGGATAGCCTTGGATATTGACCGGCAATAATAGAACGAGATTTTCGTCTACGATAGGCAGTACGTCAGCGAGCCTGGCAATGTTGAGCTCCCGGAAATCCCTCCTCCGCCACCGTTGAAAGTAGACAATCCTCCTGACACCCTTGCGGATCAGAATGACCTCCAAGCATGGCGGAATCTCTACATGGCCAGGAGGACGTGGGCGTTGAGTCTAGCGGATCGTTGCATCCCGATCGACGAGGCCATCCAGGAGCACAACGAGCGAACGGACATCATCCACAGGGCTGTTGGTGTGGCGCTGGAGAATCTCAAGTCTCACGTGGCCAACTTGGAACACAGGTTTCAAGAGGCTCAGGCCTGGGCGAACGATCTCCTCAAGGAACAGAAAGTTGCGCTTGATGGATGGCAACGGGCACTGGAGAAGCTGGAGAGTATTCCGGCGAGGAAGGATTTCTCCTTTCTTGGGCGACCGTCTACGCCAAAGAAGGGTAAAGATCGCTCCACAGGGACGTTACAGGATTTTCTGGACATAGATGAGGTTCGTCGCGCGGCATCGCAAGGAGTAGCCGTGTCCCAGCGTTTCGCCCGTCGAGTAGACGAAGTGGAGAAGGCTGTCAGCAACATCGCATCAGACACTCAGCTTTTGTTGAATCAAGCGCAGCCCCCTCACATCGACAGCGTCGATGGGCTGTTGGAGGAAATTGAGACTCTGGCCAAAAAGATCAGCTCCGACTATGAGCACGTGTTGGGGCTGCCCAACAATCAGAAGACTTTAGCAAGCATTTCCAGAATGGCTCTGGGCCATACTAAAGACCTATTACCCTCGCTGTTAGAGATCAGCCTAGAATTACAAACAGGCCTGGAACAGGCCGTACGTTACCGCAATGCAGCAATGAAGGCCGCGATATCCCATTTGCGGACCGTATCGGCCCTCGAATCGCGCCTCGCGGAAGTGCAGGCACAGATTGCCAACCTTGATGTTGTTGACGGTGACGTTTTTGAAGTCCTCTATGCGGTCTTCCGTATGCCGGTTGTCTACGGTTCCGTGCTGATTGAAGCGGTGCGACGCCGTGAATGGAGTGAGAAGTTGAAAGCAGACTCCCTTACTCTCGCAGAGGAGATGGCCGTGTTTAGGGACGAAGAACAGCGTCGAAGGAGAAAATGGATGAAGAGCACGGGAGATCTGGTGTCGCTCCCTGACGACACTACTCCTGGTCTCGAGATTAATCTACAGGGACAGGAGCGCGAGTGGCCAGACGTGTCTCGCAAGGAGATCGAATCGTATATCGAAACGCTCAAGTCCAAAACTGGAATGACCGCTGTGGTCGAGGAGTTGACTCGTCTCTACGCGGATCTTGACGCTCCGACTCGACAGCAAAGGCGGCGGGCAAAGGCTTTCAAGCATGGCAGTGTTATTGACGTGGGACGCAGCTCGCTCTTAATCCGGGGTGACGATATGGTTCGCAGTTTGAGAGAAGAGAAGGCCAAATTGGAGGAAAAGTTAAAGGGCTCGGAGAGCCGGATCCGCAAGCTCGAGGATCTCCTTCATCGCCAGAGTCACATTACTCGACCTGTTAGCGCTAATTTTGGTTCTGACGTTCCTCCTTCTCCAGCTTCACCGCTTCCCGACCCTCTTTCAAGGCGATCTTCTATATCTTCTAGACGAATGTCATCTAACCAATCTCCGGAAGATAAGGCCCTAATCCAACGGATTGTGACCCTCGAAGCAGAGCTACAGGCCGAGAGAGAAACCGTTCAAAGACTTCAGAGAGAAGCTCATGTCGAGCGTCAGTCCACTACAGACAAGATGCAAGAAGTACAATCGACGAAGGAGGATCTGATCAAGAATCTCGAAGCTAGACAACGAGAATTCGAGGATGAGCGCAGGTTCCTCGAGTCTGAAGCTAAGAATCTCAGAATTCGTGTCGAAGAACTTGAGGAAGAACTTTTTCGCGTCCTTGATCGTCACGATCACGAGAAGCAGGAGGCAGATGAACGTACCCAGAAACTCGAGGAGGCTCGAGCCAACGCTGTGGAAGAGTTGGAGAAGGCAAAGGCTCAGGTCGAAACGCTGCAAAACGACTATTCCTCAGAAAAGAAACGAGCGGACCGTCTAAATGACGAGGTCCAGACTCACAGAGACCGAATTTCGCAACATGAAGTGACGATTTCGGAGCTCCAAAAACAAATTGAAGATCTGAACAGGCAAAAACAGGAGGATCTTAATGTGCTTCAGACAGCGCACGCCCATCTATCACCGGAAGGCGCCGCACCATCCGACTTCGCTGCACTGGTCAAAGCGATCGAAATCCTCTCCGAAGGGTTAGCAATCCATGCAAGAAACTCGGAAGACACTGCTGCAAAGGTAGCCTCTGAAAAGAAGGAGTTAGAAGTGAAGTTACAGCAGTTGGAAGCCGACGCTGAGGGGTTGCGGAAAGTTGTGGAGACACGAGAGTCGGAAGTCTCACAACTCCGCAACGAGCTGTTGCAAGAAAGGTCGCAGATTTCAGTTCTTAAGGCTGAGCTTGGAGAGGAACGGGCACAGCTTCATCAGTTGCGAACGAAGTTTGCAGCTGGGGAAACTGGTTCTGAAGTACTGCGTGAACGCGTTGCGGAGGAGGAGCGGAAGGTGGCCACTTTGTCCCAGAAGCTCATCCAACTAAATGCACAGGCTCACAATGCGGAGGAGGAACTTCGGGAGTGCCAGGACAAGATCCAGGCTCTTCAAGAATCAGAGCAGCGAGCTCTTGCTCTACTGGAGGCCCGTGGATCAAGGGCTCAGGAAATTTCCCGAGAACTTTATGCCCAGGCAGAGAAGCTTGGACGCATGCTGGAACAACTCGGGTTCGCACTTGTCCGACAAGATGATAACATTACTGTCCAGAGAGCCTCCAAGGTCAACAGTTCTTCTGGTGCGGGCGAAAGTCTGACGGCTTCCGGAATCGCCTCCGTGCGACCCGACCCAGCACTGCTGAATTGGATTAATAGTGAAAATCCAGAAGACGAAGCTAGCAAGTTTGCCGGGTTCGTCGAGTCCCTGGCGAAGTTTAATGTTGAGGTCTTTAGCGAAGCAGTGGTCAAGAGGGTGAAGGACATCGAAGTCCTTGCGCGGAAATGGCAAAAGGAAGCACGCGGATATCGGGACAAGTATCATCGTGCCCAGAGTGAAGCTCACGACAAGATCGCGTATCGATCGTTCAAGGAAGGAGACCTGGCCTTGTTCCTCCCGACGCGCAACCAAGCCATTCGGTCCTGGGCCGCTTTCAATGTGGGTGCGCCGCACTACTTCCTGCGTGAGCAGGATGTGCACAAGCTCTCCACTCGAGACTGGTTACTGGCTCGAATCACCAAGGTCGAAGAGCGAGTCGTTGATCTCTCCAGGTCCATGAATGGCGCCAACCCGGATCGCCGCTCGATGGGCGAAGCCAGCGACGGCGCATCCTTTGACGACGAGAATCCGTTTGAATTATCTGATGGCCTCCGCTGGTATCTACTGGACGCCACAGAAGAGAAACCGGGAGCTCCCAGCACTCCAGGCCTAGGCAAGAGCACCGTGGCATCGGCGCATGTTGATGCCAAGGGCAGCATCCGCCTCAAACGCCCGTCGGCCGGTGGAAACGTGGCCAAGACGCTGACCAAGAGCCTGGACAGCCGTCGAAACAGTTCTGCTTCCAAGAAGGGCGCTCCCGCTCCTGCGTTGCCATCTGGCGAGTCCGCTGGGGACAATGTGCAACCCGCCGAGGCGGATAGCGGATCTCAGCCTCGGGAGTCGGCTCCTATCTTTGATGAGGTTCGCCGAGACCTGCTGCGGAGATCTTGAGATCTTCGTCAATTCTGTACGTGGTTCGGAGGTGACTAACAGACCCACAGGCACAGGGCATGGAACGGGAGCACGAGCCTCGATCGCAACAGAACACGCCTGCGTCGCCTTCTTCGGCACGAGCAGAAGCAGAGACTGCCTCTAGCAGTTCATCACCGAGTAAACGGTCGTCACTGAGGATTCGACCATGGGAGAAGCTTTGGTCATTGGATTATCGTCTAGAGAGTGGTAAATAATATAATAATTGACCGAACGAAGAAGGCTGGGGAGAAAGAAGAAAAAAGAGATCAGCTTTGAGAGGCGGAAAATGAATCAATTTCATCACGACTACTGGTTTGGTCTTCCCTCAAGTCGGTAAGACATGATATTGATGATGATGATCTTGATGTTTTCTGACTGTCATGTTGGTCCTTTTTTGGGAGCTTGTCACGCTTGCCTTCTGGTCGGTCTCTTGTGTTCTTTTTTTGTGAGAGATACCCATTTTCTTGTTCTCTTTTTTTGTGTGTTTCATTGGGAATGGCAATGACATTAGAAAGAAACAATGGCTTTTTTCCTTTTTTTTTTTTTGTAGAATCTTGATGATGATAGGTATATAGATAGGGAATAGGAAAGAGAAAAGAAAGTCATCTCTATAATAAGAAGGAACCAACTAATTATTCTCGCATGATGCGTCCGTAAAACGTAAACGTCTATCTATATATAATATATAAAATACATTAAAAAAAAGAACAAGCAGGGGGTCTCGTTTCATTCCTCATTGACCAGGACTCTATCTATGTCAGGTGTATATCTCCTTCCATCCCGCCAACTTCCTGCCAGAAACGAGAGAAATCAACGTTTTCGGCTTCGAACATCTCCTTGGCCTTCAGCATGGCGCTGCGTTGCCGCTCCGGAGTGAAACCGCCCGGCTGGGTGCTCTCGAACTGGATCATTTCGACCCATCGGAAGAAGAGGTCTTCCTTGCCCATTGAGGCCAACTTCTTCCGGAAAGCGAGGATCTTGTCGCGCTGCTGCTCCTTCGCCTTGGACTCCTCGTCGGCGACCCGCCAGATCAGCCAGCCGTCGTCGTCCGTGTGGACCAGCACCGCCGTCCGGAACTCGTCCAGTTGGATGCCCTCGCCCTTCCGGGTCAGGTCGATCAGCCGGTGGGCGCGCACCATGGCGTCGTAGTCCAGATCCCAGTTGGCGTCCACGAGCAAGAAGCCGCTCTTCTTGACCCTCTCGGGGGATACGGCGGGCACGACCTTCTCCCGGACCGTCTTCTCGTCGTCGTAGATCCAGCGGTTGCGCACCAGTTTCTGGCTCCAGGGTTTGCGACTCTGACGGACGACAACCTCCCGGTCCCGGAATCCGATGGCGCGGCGCCATTTCACGGGGCCCCGGATGAATCGGATGGGCCAGCCGAGAAACAATGTGACCAAGAAGTAGTCAATGGCGAACATCACCGTCCGCCGGAGGATGTGGCCCCAGAACTCGTTCCAGGAAATCACCGATGTGTCAACGCTCATGGACGTGGTGAAGCCGAGGGCCGTGGCCACGAGAGCTGGGTAGACGAAGGCGCCCTTGTAGACGCGGTACGCGACGAGCAGGAGGATGGCGGTGTTAAGGAGCACGGGGACAATGAAGAGCTGCTTCTTGAAGTCGGGAGGATGGGTGTCGATATGGATGAGGTAGATCTCCTGGGTGGAGAGCGGCTCGAGGAACGGCTCGAGGATGGAGGGAGCCTTGACGAAGGGAGTGAGAGGTTTTTCGGAGGAGGATGAGTAGGAGGATTTGTCCTTTCCGGACCGTTTCGTGGCTTTGGCCATGTTGATGCTGATTCTGAGTGATCTCCTCTGTTATCCAGCAGAACGGTGGTGCAAAGGCGGTTCAAATGGATATGGGTATAGGTATCCAGGAACGGACTGGATGGTGAAATAAATGCCAGATGGCCAGTGAAACAACAATCAGCAGGAAATCTTCATGGCAAATAGCTGTCTGTCACCTCGAGGAGGAGTGAGCGTAAGAAATGCAGGACCCTGATCCTGCTGTGTCCCTTCGGATGGTCAGTATAGATGTCAACCACAACATGGGCAATGTCACATGCGTGTCGTTATTCCCACCTGCAGTGTTTCAGCCAGTCTGTGCTTTTTGCAAGGCTGTCTTCCTCCTCTGGGTTAATTTGTGAAGAAGAAGCGTCTCAGTAGTTGGTGATGATCTCCACGTGCCAGTTGGGAGGATCGCCAATCGGCGGGCGCTCCGCCCGCTCCAGAACTAAGTTAACTCCGATGTTTGGCAGACTAATCATTATCGCAGAATGATCGCTTGACGCGACTTTGTTTGGTCTCCCCTCCATTCCCTGGAACAGAGGCACAGGCTGTCCCCTCCCGTGAATTCGCTTTGTTCATCATGTTTCTTATGGGTGTTCTCCTCTAGCAATGTCCCCTCCCGACAGCACGACCAACCGTGCCTTTTCTCGTCGCCGCGACGACGAACTGCAACACAACGCCTCCCCTTCGCCTTCTCCCTTTCATCGAGCGCGCCGGAACCGCGGCCTTGACGAGATCGATACCTCACGTATACCCAGCCCGACGTCGAAGAATGGCGCGCGGCCCCGGAGGGCTTTTGGCCAGACCAGGACATTGAAAGGCGCGTTCGAAGCGACGTCGCGCCCCATGACGATGGCGGACGGAGACGACCAAAACACCCCGCCTGTTCCTCCAGCGGGGCGAACTCCAAGTCCCCGGAGCAGGCGACAACGCAATCTTTCTGTGCCGTCGCCCTTGGCGGAGGTCACCAGTCCTCCCCCGGGAGAGCTGCTGGAGACGTACCGGCGGATCAACGATGCAGATGATTTGGCGGATTTGGTTTCGCAGGATGAGATGGACCTGCCATCGGATCCCTCACGACGGCGAGAAAGAGGAGGAGGGCTACGACGTCTGTCGCCAGTGATAGACCAGGGTCAGGAGGAAGACGAAGACAACTTTGGTCCCGGTCTGAGTTTCCTGGACGACGTCACGGATGACTCGATGCGCAAGAAACTGGCGAACCACGTGCGAGACGAGGAGCGCCTGAAACGCGTCGTGTCCAGAGAGTCTCCGGTCTTCAGCAAGGCCAAAGTCGGTTCCAAAGCCGCCCTGTCTGCGGAGAATCTGCAACGGCGCTACCGGGAACGTGAACAGGAACAAGAAGAGGAGGTGGAGGATTCTGATGATGGTCCAAAGCCTGGGCTCAACGTTCCCAAGAGCTGGGCTAGCCGGTCAAGAAGCCATCGAGCGTGGTTGGATAGCATCACGCGAAAGAATGGGAACACTCCACGAGAACGGGAATCCAAGCGCTCCGTAGAGCGAGAGGTGGATGCTGATATCGACTTTACTGCCCGCTCACTCCAGGTTTCCAACAGTCCACCCGTGCGACAGAATCTGAAAGACCGTGAGAAGGACGCAGAGAGTACCACTAGGACGGCGAGTCCCAGAAATGATCCGATAAAAAGTGAGCTGCAGGAGAGCCAGCCTTCTACGGAAGGTGAAGCAATCCCCAACACGCCGATCGTGGTCTACAAGGCTTCGCCTAAGGACAAACCACCCAAGCCCCGGAGTGATTCGCGCGAACTCCTTCGCAAACTGGCTCGAGCCGAAAGTCCCAGTCAAAGCAGCACACCGGAGCAACCAAAGCCTCCAGAGAAAAATACACTCCCCGACAAGACACCCGTCGTCATCGGAGCGTGGGTGGATACTCCTATGACGGAACGAGCAGCCGAGTCGACAGAAGACTTATCGAGGGAGATTGACTCTCCGAGCAAGCCTGGTCCTAAATCGAACGCCGTCTCCGCAACAATTTCTACTGATACTACGCCTCCCGAGAGCAATAACAATAGCTCTCTGGTTCCTTCATTGCAATTACCGGATAAAAAACCTGAAACGGAGCCCAAGCCACAGCCTAAGCCAGAGACCAAGCCGGAAGTAAAGACAGAGAAACCGAAGCCAGAACTGGTCAAGCCCAAGCTGCCCAAGAGCGCCTTGGAGATGGTTATTGAGGACGCCAAAGTGAACGGGAACCCGCTCGTACTGGGGGATGACACCATCAATTCCCTCCAAGAGATCTTGGACGGCGAAGACAAGCACGCTTCACCCGGAAGTGAAAGTGAGAATGCTGTTGCCGAATCCAAGAGAGAGAGTGATGATGCCGTCGCTGGGATAGATGCAACGGATTCTGAGCTCGCACAGCATCAGACGGAGACGGAGACGCAGAGGCAGCCGGCAGAAAAGGACACTGAATCGCTCGACCGAATGAACTCGAAGCTGCAATCCCTCATCCACAGTATCCACGATGCCAGAACGGGGCTTGACGGGCTCGAGCAGCACATCTCGCCCGGGGGCAATGCCGACTCAAAACAGCGAGAAGGACACTGCGAGACGTGCGGCGCCCACGACGACGGACGCGTCTACGTTTCTATTCCTCTGCCACGACTATGGCGCCGAGATCCCGTCTCGCAACGCATCCACCTCACCTACCAAGGCTGGGGTCTCCTTTCCGTTATCATCTGGTACATATCCGAGAGCACGATGTGCGACTACTACTGCCATCCCACCGTCGCCGAGGTGTGTGACGGCTACTGCCTGAGGCCGGACGCGCCGCGATTCCCCTTCACGATCCCGACCATGCTCTGGCGCTGGTCGCACCTGTCGGTCATCCTCTCGCCATTGTGGACGATCGTCGTCGCGCTCTTTCGCCTGCTGGCGCAACTACTAGGGTTATGGGATGGGTACGTCGACGAGATTCCAGCGCTGGCCGACACGCCGATCGGCAGTAATAGTTATTATCATTATGGCGGCGGAATCCTCCCCCCTAAGATAGTGACAACTACTGCTGCTGCTGCTACTTCTCCTTCCACACCGACCATCCTCCAAAATATGGTCCCAGACAGAAGCGGTAGTAATAGTGGCGGTAAAGGTGAAAGATGGTACGGGGACGGGGATGATGGCCTTACCATGGATAATGACGAAATATTGTAACCCTAGCCCTAGTTCCCTTTTTTTTTAAAAAAAATGAATTAATGAAAACTACCTAGCAAGCTTTGACCTTTTTTTTTCTTTTAATTTTTTATTGCATTTCCCGGCGACAGAGGCTGAAAACACTTTTTTTTGTCCATTAATGAGATGATATCTCCCCATGGGGTTTTTCTTTTCGAGGGCATGGATGTCTTATCTCAGAGAAAGGGTTGGTATAATAGGACGGCGAAAAGGGAGTCTTCTTTTTCTTTTTCTTTTTCTTTTTCTTTTTTTTTTTGCCCCTATCTTTCTTGTACTTTTCTTTCTATGGGTTAATAGGGTTAACAGGTAGAGGTGAATGCATGCAATGAAATGACTGAATGGATGGTATGGGCATGGATGCAGTCAGTTAGTCAGTCAGTTAGCTGGATTGGTTGGTTCTTCTATTGTTTATTTTATTTTATTTCATTTGCATTTTCTCTTCTTTTCGTCTACCTACTTACCTAGGTCTAATCTACAATGAGCGACCCTAATGACGTGAAGTGAAATTATCGATTAAACAAAACTTTTTTCTTTATCGAGAGGTAAACTTGTTGATATGTCTGATAGATGATATAGTAATACAGGACTAGAACTCTATATATGTGGATATAGATAGATATACAAGGATTACAGTTACAGTATTCATGCATACGACAAGCCGGGGTATCGATAGATGTGTACCGTACATACAGACTTTATGGTGGTGATATGTCACAGCTTCGCTTTCACTCGCCATTCATTCACAAGCGCCGTCTCGCCCTCGACGCGTCGCCTCATGCTGTCGTGAATCCGCCTCTCGACGTCCTCGTCATCAAATGGGTGCACGTCGTCCAGAGGAATCTGCTTCGTCGACCGCAGCCCGTACCGGTGGACAGTCAGGTATCCCACTCCGGCCTTCCCTTTTTCTTCTTCTTCTTTCACCCGGCCGGCCACGGCGTCTCGGCAGAAATCCGCCCAGTTTTGGTAGAATCGCCTGCCCGCTTGCGTTCCGAGCATGATGAGTCCGAAACAATGCGGCATGCCCTCGAACTGGTCCACAATTACGGAACTGCCGGCTTGGTGCACCTTGCGGGCAAGGAGCAGACCCTCGTCAGTCAGACCCTCCTCACCCATTCCGATATACAATGGAGGTGCACCCTTCCAGAGCTCCTTTCGAGCAGCAAGAGGAGATACTAATGGATGCGCCACCATGTTGGCGTCCGAGTACATGTCCACGCGTGGAGGCGACCGCGGCCAGACATCGTCCGGTTGATGCGGAGGAGGCGCATAGAGAGTCTCTGGCGGCTCGTGTGGAGGAATGATGTAATCGAATTTGGCATTGTCGCGCACCGAGGGCATGGACCTGGTCAAGTCGCACCAGGGCGAACTGAGGGCCAGGCCCGCTGGCAGCTCAATAGGGATATCCTTGCCGTGGAATCGAATGCTGGGGGCTATCCGACGCAGCGTGAGGAGTGTCTGTAGGAGTGCCAGACTCAGATTGCCGCCAGCAGAGTCACCCGCAAGGACGATCTTGCCGGCAGGAACCGCGTCGTGCAGAGATCCCGGTGGTGGTGAGATGAGAGACAGATATGCCACCAGAACGTCCACCAGCGCAGCCGGGAATGGGTTCTGAGGTGCCAGGCGATATCGCACGGACAAGACAGGAGCCCCGGTCAATTTTGACAGACGCGCAACGGGGATACGGTGTGTAGCGGGATCCATCAGGCTGGGCGAGTTAGTTATGATCCCTTTGTTTTCCTGCAGATAGATTGACATACTACAGTGCACCTCCATGGATATACAGGATGACCATGTCCGACTTCGACTCCTTCCGGAGCTCCCTGTATTTTTCTTCCTCTGACAAGTTGGGCTGCGGGGCCTTCTTGTCGACACCGCTGCGATACCCCGTCCATTCTGCTTCGACGGGACGCACGGGGGGTACTTCAAACGTCTCCGCACCGGAGGTCTTCAACTCGTCGATCGCCTTGATCACTGCATCCTTGACATCGTCTTCAGGTGCCGGCAGGGTGACCTTGGACACCCACATGGGTCCCTTGATCCCCGGGTCGCGGGTCAACACCCGCTGCTGTTTGCCGACAGGCATGGAGATGTCGAGAAAGGAGCGGATAATGGCGACGGTCAGTTCCGTGCGCAGATCCTGTTTGCCAGAGACTGGAGACAGGTAGAGTCCATGCAAGACGAGAGTCTTGAGAATCAACGGAATCCTGACCAGCAGCGCCTTGAGCATGGCGACGGATTTGTTGCGGGCAGCCATGACGGCGCCGAAGAAGAGCAGAAATAAGAAATCAAAGAAAGGGACTTATGTCAATGTCATCCAGAGATGTGGGAGGAAACGGAAATGACAGAGAAAATGGAGTGTTGTATAGAGATATAGTTTTATCCATGGTTAGCAAACCACTCTAGGCGAGGTCGAGATGCCTCGGCCCAAGTCATTAACACTCCCTAGGACTGGCGTATCAATGGAGGACCCCGCTCCAGACTCTAGTCTGGATTTAATTTAATATTATTCCCCACTCTCAGCAAATCGGATTTCACGAAGATCAACGTGGAGAGCAATACGAAAAATGACGAGAGAAATTGGATTGCGAGATGGACTGGTTAATTTACAGGCTATTGCGGATTGTTCTTGTCCGCATCACGTGCAAGAAGTCTTATCGGAGTTTATCAATCAGTTGGCAGAACTCTTGATATTTGATATTATTTATCTCCGGTCGTATTGTTATTTATTTCACTTCCATATTTTTAAGAGTACTAGATATGCTGCTACAGCAAATGATGCGGTGTAGAGAAGTAAATTTCTATATCTAAGCTGTACATTGTCATGCTCACTGTAATGTACAGTACAGTACATACATGAAAGGCAGACTCTACCAACCATTGATAGACCTCCCAGACGCCGTTCGCCGTAAGAAATCAAGGGCAGTATATACAAGAAGAAAGTCAATCCTGTCGTCAAATCCTCATAACTGTAAGTGTTCTCATAATCATCGATTGGTATCAGTAGACTCGCCGGCCTGAACCCGATCGCCTTTCGGTCCTGCCCGGTGATGAAAGTTCAGAAAATGACCACGGCGAGGATCAAGAACCTCCTTATAGACGCTCTCCTCTTCCTCCTTCAGCCCATACCCCGATGGGTCTCTTCGCATCAGGAAGTCCTGCACACGAGCCTCAGTCGACTTCAACTGATCCGTCTGCTGGCGGCGTCCCGCAAGCAGTCGAGCAGATTGAGCGTTCATCTCCTGGATCCGCTGCTCGAAGGTCGTCTTGGACTGGGTTATCCACGACGCCTGGGCCACGCCCCCAAACAGCGCAAGCAAGAGGATAAACGTGACGAAGGTGCGATGCGAGACCACCTGCACCTGCTTCGGTTGATGGCGGTTATACCATCTCTCCCAATCTTCCCACGTGCCATTTGCGTAGATGGGATCCTCCGGCTTCCTGTTCCCATGCGGAGTAGTATATCGCATGGGATGTCTCCTTATCTCCGGCTGGTCCGGATGACTGAGCCATCCCGTGCCGTCTCTATCATACGCTGCTCGTTTCACCGGATCAGACAGAATCTCATGAGCGGCCACGATGAGCCGGTATCGTCGCAGCCTCACTTCCTTTGGGAGGTCCTTGCACAATGGGTGACCATTGCATGGCCGATCTGGGTGGTACAATTTGACAAGCTCGTAGAAGCGTTGCTTGGAATACGGAGCATTCCGCTCTAGTCCGAAGATGTCATAAGGGGTGAAAGAGGCGGTAGTCGGCCAGGAAAGCTCAGTCTCCGAATGATCTGAAGCCGCGGCCGATGCGTAGAGCCTGCATGGTAGATGCTGAGCAGACAATCGACGGCCTCTGCGTGCTGAAGACGAGGGGCCTTGGGCGCGTGGCCTCGGAGAGGGATTCAGCAACGGCAGTCCGCCGCAGCAGCAGAGGACAGTCTGTTTTCTGAGCATTGCCTCATGACTGTGCAAGGCAGTGCATGGAACACTGCCCGTGGTCTCCTAAAGCAAGACTGGAGAAGAAAACAGTGTGAAGACAGTGTTGCGGGGGGTCGTTGAAGCGGAGTCCTGGTCGGAGATCCGGACTTAGCCCGCCGTCACGTGCGTTGCGGCGTGTCGCTTGACAACTTCTCGTAACGCAACAATTAACAGCGAATGACTGCTGATCGAATCTATCGACCATGCCACGGTCAGACTCGGACTATCGGGATCGAAGAAGATCGACCCGTTCTCCGTCTTCAGATATCGATCGAGAACGACGAAGAAGGGACCGAGATGACGAGTACTACTCCAGCAAATATGACCGTTTGAGCTCCAAAGACGAGAGGCGCAGAAGACGCTCTTCTCGCAGCCCCGTGGACAGTGACAGAGATCGGCGAGATTATCACCGTCGCCGGGAGAGGCAACGTTCGGAAAGCGTGGATGGAAGCAGCAGGAGGCACAGAAGTCCGGACGAAGACTACGATTCTCATCGCAGACGGCACCGCGAACGCGATGACTACTACAGTGATAGAGACAGAGAACGACGGCGCAGCACATCGAGATCCCGTTCCCCCACGTCGCGACGACGTCGAAGATCGGTTGACCGACGCTCGCGCAGTCGCTCTCCCCGTGCGCCCGTGCGATCGCGGGACCCTCTGCCATCGCAAAAGGAGGCGTTCACCTCGAAGGAAGTTTCCAAGAAATCCTCTCCCCCTCCCCAAAAAGAGAAGCCCAACTTTGCCAACACCGGTCGTCTCGCGGCAGAAAGCAATGCCGTCACCGTCAATGGCAGCACCGTCGTGTTGAAGTACCATGAGCCTCCCGAGGCCCGAAAGCCCCCTCCGAAGGACGACTGGCGTCTGTATGTTTTCAAGGGGAATGACCTGCTGGAAGTGGTTCAGCTGAGCGAGCGCAGCTGCTGGCTGATCGGGCGGGAGAAACTGGTGGTGGATTTCCCGGTCGAGCACCCGAGCTGTTCCAAGCAGCACGCGGCGATACAGTTTCGCTACGTGGAGAAACGCAACGAGTTTGGCGACCGACAGGGGCGTGTTCGACCGTATCTAATCGATTTGGAAAGCGCCAACGGATCGATGGTGAACGGGGAGCTCATACCGACGGGGCGATATGTCGAGTTGCGGGACAGGGACGTGCTGAAGTTTGGACTGAGCACGAGGGAATACGTGCTTATGCTGTCGACTGATTAGGGAATTATTTAATTGAGGAGATGCCTTTCTTGACTTCGGCCGGACAAGCTATGGACATTATCTATCCGCAAGAAAGGGCAGGCCTTTGCAGCCGATACAACATGCAGTACTGTACATTGAGGTTCAAAACACAATTCACCACGAACAGATCCCGATCTGATATGCTCATCATCGTCCTCAACAACAGAGGGAAATCAACATCAAATACGCGTTTGCCATCCGGCTCATGACGATCCGCCTTTCTAAGATTTACACTGGACCTTGCCCGGCCTTCTCCTTAGGGTCTGCCGTGATCCCTTTGGCTTTTGCTTCCTCCTCCTTATACGCCTTTGTCTTATAGCCTACCGTCTCTTTGACCTTTTGCGTGGCTTTTTCTGCAGGCAGGCAAAATCAAAAACCAATTAGCGAGGCTGCAAACGAACAACAACTCCTAGTGCTATGTTCGCTTAGCTTTTAGGGGTCATACCGCCAGTTTCGATCCCCTTGATCGCTGCATTCGCCACTGTTCGGTCTGCCATCTTCGCTGTATCCTTGGTGGCTTGGATGGGACCTTTCTGGGTTCGGACGGTGGTTGAGAAACACCGGGAGTAGCAGGACGGAGCGATGCGAGTGACGCGCGTGAAGGACATGACGATATCGATCAATCAGGACTTGATAGATAATATTTGTTCTGTATAATGTCGGTACGAGATAGCCTAGCTGGTCTGCAGTTTGGTTAGCTGCAGTCAAGAAGAAAGCCGCAAATCTCGAACATTCATACCCAAGAATGACCAAATAAACAATAAATAATGAATATAAACAAAAATATCTACAGCATTTACTGTATTCAGAAAAAAAAATAAAGTATCCGTTTTATCAGGGGGGAAAAGAAAACGCCTTAATTGCCCGCAACTATGATATAATATTAATTAATTCGTACTGTGCCACTCCTCATACATAGGTAGTCCATGCAATCATGGATGGAATCGACGTCATAGCAGGATGCCAACCCCGTGACTTGGCCACGACAGCCACGCCGGACATTTATTTTACCTCTGGTATGTACATTAGATTAGGTAGGTAGGGGACTTTTAATCCAGTAAGAACTCGGATGCACTGATATTATGCACTGTGTGTCAGAATTACGCCGTTGCTCTGTCATTGATAGATACTATTATATTATTATTTAATATGACTACTCCGTGTTACTCAGCCAGTCCTGCCCACCTACTTGCCTACCTAATAAGGTACTCTACTGTACTGTACTATACTGAGAAGGGCTGCAGCAGTGTAAGGAGGTTGTTGTGACAAATTTCCTATAATAGTAATAATACGGAGTGGAGTAACTAGAGAGAGGGGATCATTCATTTGTGATGACGTCGAATGCAAGCGGAAAAGCAACCTATAATATATATCTCTATACCTCCTCACTATTATATTATTTTTTTAATTCTAATTTTAACTACGCAGTAATTACCCGCTGAACATTTAATTTATGAACGCCTGTGTTATTATCACCAATTCGCATTCTTCTGCCTTCTGTACTATTAATACATCCACGTAGAGAGAGAGGTATTATTAATCATTATGATTAATAGTATGCAGATTGCAGCATGGTGAAAGAAAAGAAAAGACAAGAAATCAAGAAATTCCACACTCATCACATATTATCAAAGAAAGAAAGAGAAAAAAAAAGAACCAGTCGAAATCCACTCTGAGAGCATCGTGCCAAAATCAAAAAAAAAAATAAAAAAATAAAAAAATAAAAAAAATAAAAAAATAAATACAAGAGGCAAGAAGTAAAAGAGACAAGACATATGGTCAAGACTCAAGAACGCCAGGCCAATTTAATGTGCTCAGCTGTGTAATGCATGCAATGCATTACCAATATCGATATGAATGTCAATGAACCAGCCGGTTTGAAATCAATCGATCGATCCACTTCTCAAGAACGCCTGTTCGCTCATTTATCGCCATTGCCCCTCCCCCCAAAAAATACAGTCAATAGTAATACCCATGCTGGCAATGATTTCCGTTTTTCCGTTTTCCGTGCAAAAAGCAAAAAAGAAAGCAAAACAAGCACCAGCACAAGCAAAAAGAGAAGAAGGGGTATCATATCGTATCGTATCGAATTTTCCGGGTTCCTTTCCTTTTCTTTTTCCCACGCCTGGTTTTTGAGAGCAAATAAAGAGTTTAAAAAAAAAGGAAAAACGCCAACGAACCGCAAACCGCAAACCGATGAACCGATGAACAGATAACCTGGATATGTACTCCGTATGTATCGATCAAAAACCTCATCTTCGCTTTAACTCCGTTGTATCTATCGTATGATCAAGTCGCCAGTCTCTCTCTGATCGAACAATTCCTGTGATGCTATGCAATGCTGTACAATGCTGTGCTATGTGGTTTGAAAGTGATTCCAAGTAGAAATGCTTGTGTTTGAATGGGAAATTCCGGTACACAACTTCGTTGTTTCCCTTTATTCATTCCGGCTTTTTTTTGTTTCTGGTCGAACCGCCTAACGCTCACGCTCACGCTCACGCTCAGGAGCAAACTGCAGACCAAGTCCTCGGTAGTCAGGGCGCGAAGGAGATATCCCTCTCCGCAGACGACCATTGTAATTCTCCTGCGGTGCGAAATACGCTTGTCCCTGGCTCGGTCCCATCATCATGGAGCCCACGTCAGGTCCTGTTGCGTATTCCATGTGAGGAAGGATAGGTCTCGACGACAATGGTGGCGCTTGATGCCTTTCCCAGTCCAGCACCCGTTGACGCGCGCCCCTAATGTCGACCTCATGCTCTCCAAAACGCATCAGCTCGGGCTCGCCGCCATAGTCGAATCTGGTCCACCCAGTCGTCGCAGAAGAAGGATCGAAATGAGCCGCGTGCGGGGTGGCAGCATGCTGATACCCGTACCCAGTCCCCGGACGCTGCAGCATAGTCGGTGAAAATATTGGCTCCGTCTGCCACGAGTCGCGCGACTGCCACGACGGATCTCGAGACATGGGCGCTGAAAGTGGCTCAGACATGTACCCCGCTGGCAACGCTGGTGGTGAGGCTCCAGGCATGAACGCAGACGGATGCGCAACCGAGCTCGGCGTCGTACGCGTCGTCCGAGCTGGCGACCTCATTCGACGCTCAGATGTCACCATAATTTTTCCTTGGAAGGTGAGATCATCGATGCCCAGTTCAGCAAGGGGCGCGTTAGCTGATAGTCTCCGACCCCGACCAGGATCCGGTAGGACGAGGGATGAAGGACGCCGTGAATGGTGCCACGACCCTGGCGCTGAACTGACGTCCCTTGCCCTAGCAGGGTGTCCTGGAACCAGACCTGGCTCGCTGCGAGTGAGCTGGTTCGGCTTGAACTCAGTGGATAGCGGCGACGGCTGGATATTACTGGAACGACTACTCAGCGACTCCCGTGAGCTCTTCGTTGAAATCCCCAGTCTGTTCACCGAGCCTCCAGAAACCGACCCTTTCTTTGATGAAGTGGCTCCAGTCGCAGGTGGAACCGCTGCCACACTGGCCCATGTCCGCTGATTCTCCTTCTGGCGCTCGGAAGACTTAGAGGACAAAGGTGGTTGCGAATTATGGACTGCCGTCAACAGTGATATCGCATCCGGGCCCTGCGTCGTCGAGCTTTTGGCAGATCCGTCAGAAGAAGCACGGCTCGAGGTGCCCTTACCCTGAACAGACGACAACTTCACCAGCGCAGGAGCCGGTCGGAACTCGCCCAGGTTGCGAATCGTTCTACGCTTGTTCTGTTTCTCCCCAGAGGGGGAGTCTTTTGATTTCCTTGTCCTGATGACAAGCTGCCAGCCCGAATCGTCGCTCGTGTGGCCGCCGCTTTGCCTAGACGACCTGGGTCTCTCTGTACTCTGGGTTGAAGACAGTGACAGTCGACGACTGGCAGCCTTGCTACTTTCCCCATCGGTTATGTATCCGTCGTCCCTCTCATCGTCTCGCTCTCGGTAAATGCGCGGGGGGAACAACTGAAGACGGACACGGTGCCGATGCGTCGGAGAGCCGATCTCCTTCGGCGATTCTACCTCTGAGGACTCGCCCTCATCCGGACTCCACGTTGAACTGTGCGACCCTCCTTCCTCGAAAGATGATGACGGATCGGACGAGGAACTGCTCGAACGATCAAAGATGGACTTCTCGTGTCGAAGTGATTCCTCTGATGCATTGGGTGACAGCTTGTCAATCTCTTTTTTGATACTCTTAATCACTTGATTAAGGGATTCCCGCGCTTCTCGAAGAAGCGGTGGACGGGTATGAAGTCTCTTCGGGTATAGGTCGACGAGCCGTTGGGCATGCGTCTCATATTCACGATAGTCTTTGACGAACCCCGAGCCCGGTAAGCGATCCATTTTAGTCTTTGCATTCTCATACGATTTGCAAAAGAGCTTTGTCGCAACAGCTAGCCATGAATCGTAGTGTCCTGACTCCTGTTTACCGGTATCGGCGCGGCCGTCGTTGCTATAAGACTCAGCCTCTTGTTCCCTCTTAATTTCTTCGTCCTTCGCCTTGAGCTCATCGCGACAGAAGCCCTGAAACACACTGTGGATTTTGATCACGTCAACGGTGCTCTGATACACGGAAGCGATTGCCTCCTGGCTGTTTTCGGTATCGAACGAATCAGACAGCTCCGGAGTTGGAGCGCTCTCGTCGTCCGACTTCTGGTCCCTTGGATATGGATCGGACACCCTCTCGATCAACCCGTATCGGATGAGCACGCCCAGGGTTGTGTCAATATCCTTCCGTTCGCCTGGGCGGCTGCTGGACAGAATCTGAACGTTGAACTCCTCCAAGGCACTTATTCCCAAACTGATCATACCAACAGGCACATTGTGGCCAAAGAAGGCCAACAGGTTAACCAGATTCATAGCCTCGAATTGCTTTCGCACATACAGATCATACATGATTCCCAGGAAGGGATCTGCCAGCTTCTGGTCCGTGAAGTGCGATTTGAAATGATATTTCTCAATCGGTTTTCCTGTCTCCTTGAGGCGGTGACCAATAGCGTGTATCGCCAGTGGCAGACCGTGATAATGCTTAACGAGCCTAGTCGCCTTGTCCAGCTGATCCTGTGTGGCCTTTTTGATGCCCAAGCTTTTGAAGAGGAGGCGACGGGCGTCATCGACTTTGAGCGGTCGCACGGTAATACAGTAAGGCTCGAAGAGGCGGGTCTTTTTGCTCAGAGTCCGATCCACCGAGGTGTATATGATGCCGCTATTCTTGCTAAAGGGCAAGAACTTTATGAAGCTGTTGATGTCATCGTCATCCTTGAAACTGAGTCCATCAAAGACCAAAAGCCAGTGCTCCCTTGACTGGAACCAATTTCGGACATCGTCAATGTACGTCAGCGAACTCATCGAGCTGAGAAGTTTCTTGAAATACCCTTCGTCAGTGAGGGCGGCTGCTTGGGCTATATCCCAAAAACACTTCTCGCATGACTCGCGAGATTTCGCATCTACCCAAAAGATCCCTCCGGGATAGTCCTTGCGGTGTTTGTGTACGTATTGCCGGGCAAGGTGCGTCTTCCCAGAGCCGGGTCCTCCACAGATCAGTACCGCCACGAGACGCTCTGCCCGCTTCTCTCTGAAAAGCCGCGCATGTAGCTCTTCGAGCTCCTTCTCCATACCAAAGAAATTCGCGTTGGGATGGAAGCCAGGTGGGACGACGAACAAGGGCACTGGCTGAACGGGCAGAGATGCTACAGTTTGGACCATTCGCTGTGGCAGGGAGTCTTGTGAAGATTTGGGGGGTGCTGGAAGGGACACCACTGAAGTGCCTACGTCGAAGAGAAAAAGTCAGTATGCATCCTGACTGCGAACGTAGATTAATTGCCTCGAAATGAACAGACGATCAATATCAACAGAATGGTGTCGATCATCACCAGACAAGCAACAAGACGGGAAAAGAGTGGAGATAAAAAAGAAGAAAAGAAAAGTAAAAGAAAAAAGAAACATCATTTTTGGGCTACAGGAATTTTGTTTTCCGAATCGGCTTCCTCGACTTCGTATGCACTCAAAGTGATTGAACTTTCAGACTCAGTAAGGAGATGCTGTGCCCTACCCAGCCTGTCCACATTATCCTCCGGTTCGGTGTCTTCTATTGTCGATGCATCATCAATCGTCGCTGTGCCAGTTAGCACTGCAGCAGGCCCGAAGAGAGGGGAATTCACGGGACTAGATAACTTACAGCCAACAATTTCCTGAGCCTTCTGCCGACTCTGGAGTTCACGGCGCTTCTTCTCTTCTTTCCACCTGCCGGCGATGAGGGCTGGCGCCTCCCGCGAATATCGCACAATGGCCTCTGCCACTGCCTCGAAACCCTGGGCACTCTCATCCTCGAACTTACACATGGTACTGTGGTCACCTTCGATTCCCATGCGCTCTACCCCTTCTAGGTCCGGGGCGGCAGATTTCTCGTCAACTATGAATTCACGGGTGCCTTTCAAGTCAACCGGCTTGGTCTCATGGAAGAAGAAAACATGAAACCTGCTGATGTTATCGTTAAATAGCCGGCTGACATTCTGAAGCGTCTCGCTGTCAGTTTTCAGGGCCTCAATCAGCTGCGGAGAGGTATCGATGAATTTCTTCGGGAACACAGCGCTGCAGATCTTCTGCAGCAACAACCCCCATTTTGCCGCTTCGGAGCCAGCGTGCGGGGTCCCCATAAAGAGAATACCGAAAGTTGATACCCAGATCGACCGGAGATGTTTTCGCTTCTCGTCCTCCACATTGTGGCAGGAGACGATGCATCGTTTTACGATGATGCCGCCTAGGGAGTGGCAGACGAAAATCAAAGGTCGTTCTAGGGCATTTCGCAGCTAGATGATGAGAATAAGTTAGTAAGTGACCCAAACTTATCTGACACATGTGCCGGCTTTTTGTGTGACTCACATTTCGGTTAGCAGTCAGATCTGCAGCCAGAGTCTCTGCATGATGATGAATCCGGTCCTTAGATGTGCCATTCATAAAGGAAGTCACATCGGCATTATAGCCGTATGTGAGTATGCGCACCCGGAGACCCTCCAGGAAAGGTGGAAGGAGATCGGCCGGCCAAAAGACACCGTTCTTGCTGGTCCATGTGTCCTTAGGATGACCGTTGAGTCCGTGGACAAAGACAATGCTATATATTCCACCATGTTAGCTCCCACGGCGTTCGGAAAGGAAGATCCAGGCAGACGTCCTATGCTGGGGGACTTACTCGACTTGGGCCGGCTTCTCTGGCGAGCTGTAGATTTCGGTCAGCCCGATGTCTCTAATCTTGCGACTCGGACCGGCCATGATGGTCTGAATCATCCAAAAACCGGATACGGACACCGGCAGACGGTCCGTGGAACGTTCCCGGGTTGCGCCCACGGTCAGAACCAGCTCCTCATAGAGGTTTCAATCGGTGTAGTGATGACTGCAGAGACAAGAAGAGATGTGAAAGAAGTTCGTTTGAGAGTTCCGGAGCGGCAACGAGGGGCGAGCGTGTGAAATACAGCTCCGGAGCAGCTGACTGCGGCAAAGTGACTCGCCTGCCTACCGGGCACGCAGCACGGTCCCGTGAGCCGGCAGGGCAAGGAAAACCACGGGCACAGAGTTACAGAACCAGCTTTGGCAGGGAGAGAGAGAGGATGAGTAATTTGAAGAAGAAGGATCAGGACAGTGAGGAAGGTGAATGAATCGTCGTCCCCTGCACCTGGACCAACCCCCTCCACACGCCCCTCAGATGCGGCAGGGCCATCATGCTCAGCCGCGCAACGGCGGCTCGGCGGGGATCAGCTTGTGCCTGAGTGCTGACCATCTGCGGCAGTGCGTGCGCCAATAATGAACAGTTGAGCATTGCTGCACACCTTGTTCATCTGCTAGCTGGAAGTTAGAAGTGTTAGAGCTGGCCTAGGAGATTAGCGGGCGGAAGATCTGGCGCATCCGAACCTTGAATAAGATCCGCCAGGCAGTAGTACCGCTGATGAATGCGGAGTACATACATTTATTTTATTTATTAAATCAACAGGTAGTCCCGATTGATAATATTATTATGTGGAATACTTGAGAACTTAGTCTTTGATGGAGGGCCTTTCCTATTCTACTGTGTAGAACACAGACTGCATACGGAGTACGTACTATCTCAATAGATCAGGACTAATCGGCCGGATGTTCTTGTTCCGCACTGTTACCCCAGAGAGGGACCAGAGGGGCCAGAGGGGCGCTCTGTGGGCCACCGTGGTCAGGCTGGTCGAGATGATTGACACAGTAGTGGATCTGCATGCGAGACATGACTGACTGACTGACATAATGGATCATGTGCAACAGCAACCAGTACGATGCACAGAGGCGTTCTGCAACAGGAGCGATTGGGTATTGCCCAGGGACTTGTGGCTAGCCTCCAGGCCCTTGATCAGGGGTCACAGGCGGCTTTTTTGGTGGCCTGGGTGAGACCTTGCAAGTTACAAGGATTTAAGTCGTCTAATAGGCAGTCAGCCCTGCAGCGCGGTGGATCCGGGGTTGCTAGCAGCGATCCATGGGTCCTGCATGATTTACCTAAATTGTGGCCAGATGGCTTCAAAAGGAAATAAACAAACTCGGGAACAATAATAGAAACCGATATGAGTGATCTGCATCCTTCTCCTTAAACGATACACAAAAATATGAAAATGACACAGTTTCCTTCCTTGGATCCGTCAGTTGCGCCCTGGTGGGTGGCCAAAAATTAAATCTACTTCGTACACACCACCAGCACGGATGACGTACTCGTCAACGCTGAGTCAAAACTAAGTTGCTCTAATTCTTCTTCTTCCCTGGATTTTCAAACCGGTAAGCGTAAAAAATGTCGCATTTCCGCCTTATTTTATTTTTTTTTCTTTTTCTCTCTCTCTTTTTTTTTGGGACAGCTGAACAGGCCTCAGGCGAGCACACGGTGGGGGCCGGTCAGATGGATACACCTGTTTACATATAGACGCCTAGCAATACAGCCCTATTGTTAATCTATCTATCTATCTGGTATGTGGCATAAGAAATGTAATGACTTGATTTCCATGAGATTCTGCGAGGAACCGTCAAATTCGCAGAATATGGCAATGCTCCTGTCCCAAACCGTCGGTAGCAATGAAACCAGACAATATCCCTCGTTGAGGAACTGACTGCATATGACCACCCTTTGATATGCTGAACGAATCGCACTGTTCGCCAAGACACACGGCTGTATCTATTTGAGCCTCTTCGTCATCTGATGGCCTAGTCGGTTCCCGTAATGGGGCAAAACCTAATTAATCCTCTGAAGAAGAAGGCCAACTGCTCAGCTTCAAGGCCCCTGAAGGTAGACAGACATCTGCTGTGGCAATATTTCTATTCATTTGCCTCGAAACACTGGTTTCCTCTTCTCCGCAAAGGCCCGCAGAGCCTCAAAGCGATCCTCGGTGTCCACCACGCCCACATACGCCTCATTTTCCGCCTCTTCGCCTCTCTCAAACTGGTTCACTGCCTGCAGTGCCTGTTTGATGGCGATAGGACCTCCCTCGCAAATGTCCAGGGCAAGCTTAATGCTCTCGCGGAGCACCTTGTCTCTCACAACGCCTTCCTGGGCCTCCTCCTCTGGCGTCACCTCGACGAGTCGGTCACAGAGCCCGATAAAGTATGACTCGGCGCCCGTGACCCTTCGCCCTGTGAGGATCAAGTCTCTGGCACGGTTCACTCCGACCACTCGAGGCAACCGGTAAGTCCCGCCAGCGCCGGGGATGATGGCCAGCCTCGTCTCGGGCAGGCCTACGATGCTTGTAGATCCAAAGACACGCAGATGCGTGCACAAGGCGAGCTCAAGGCCACCTCCTAGCGCCATCGACGAGACCGCGGAGATGGTAGGTATCGGAAGGGCTTCTAGATTGGAAAAAGTCCGTCGAAGTTTCGTCAGAAACGCGTTCGTTCTGCAGATAAAGCGCAAGTGGTCAGAAACGCCATAGACATAAACGTGGGAGTCACGCCAGATGCTAGATAATCCCGTACTCTTCTTTTGTCATCCCCTTCCTCTCCTTCAGATCTGCACCCGCACAAAACGCTGAGTCCACATTACTTGCTAGCACCAGCGCCCTCGTCGGTCCATTGCCCTTTTCCGCTGCAATCGCGTCCACGTGTCGCCCTAAGGTGTCCAGCAGTTCTCTCGAGATCGCGTTCCGGGCCTCTGGTCTGTTTAGTAGCAGGACCCTAACGTGACCAGATCCTGGAGCGGGGATCTGTTGGATGTTGATTACGCCGCCTTCCGCGCTGGTGCCAACTGTGACATTCGTGCGCACGAGCAGTGATCGGGGCAATACTGTGGACGGTTGTGGACGCGGTACCAATGCGATGAGAGAGGGAACGGAACCGGAGCGGAAGGACGAGGAGCAGAAGGCAATCCGCGGAGGCATTATGATGACAAGCTATTGTCAGAAATAGTTTTTCGGAACGATAAGTATAGAAGGATCTAAGGGAAGGTGACAGGTTGAGGTTGAACGGTAGGTTGGTCAGTCAATTGCTTGCAACGGGATCGAGCTATAGGTTGCAATATTGGCACAGAAAATGATTGTTCATTCAAGGAGAGCAATTGATCGATATGCTTTCAAATGAATATGCTGAAATGGCCGACCTGTGCAGGTGGCTATGAAGTGGATGTGGAGAAAGAAGTAGTTCACAGCTATTACTATTGCGGGGAGAAGGCCTCGGGAGTCGGCCCCGGCGACAAGGAAAGCCGACGACAGCCGCGCTGTTCCGCAGTTTGATTAACTACCTACATTAATTACAGCGACCAACTCGCTGATAGAGTCGAAATGCATTCCAAGGCGCAAACGGAATGTAGAAAGAAAAGAGAGAGAAGAATGGATGAATGGGTATCAATTAATTTGATTAGTTAAACACGGGTATATATGCTAAATAATACATATACTATACAATGACTGTGGTTAACACTTCACAGTCTACTCTTCTGCGAAAGGATGCCATGACAGATACTGCCGGACCTCTTCGTCCGTGGGCCAAGGACCCCAACCCTCCGTGCTCTCGATAATCTTGTACGCCTCTTCAACATAGGGGTCAGAGAAAGTCGGTCTAGAGTCCTGATCAACCGGGACTTCTTGCCTCTCGGCGTCTGGTCCACCCGCGGCCTTGCGCATTAAGACTTCATTCTCCCAGGAACCCTCCAGGAATACCCGGACGGCGACCAAAGTACGCCGCATCATTCTCTCTCCGTTCGTCAACTCGTCGGCCCTTTCTTTTAGGACCGGGGCGAATCGACTCATCCACTGAAGGAGATTCAACAGCCCATCATAGTCTTCAGCTGTTCCCAGCGCCCGGACAAATCCATGCAACACAGCAGGGGCTGGAACTTGGAACATAGGAGGGACAGATGACCCGGTAACAGCATCCCGGTCATCATTTCCATCCACGTCTGTGGACAATTGGGGAACTGGAAGAACGAGCCGATCAAAGTGAGCCTTGAGAAGACGCAATCCCTCATGTACCATCTCTTCGAATGTCCGAGGGACAGACACGGACAACACTCCGTTGCGTCGCAAAGCTCCCCTCACCGTATGCAAGCCTTCCTCTGCAGCGCTAGGGTCTCGAATCCCAGCAGCGACAGCGTGAGAGAATGCATTGCATAGAATCAAAAGTCCATCCATTCCGGGCTCGACGTCGATCTTTCTCATCCATCCTATTACCTCAACGACTTCATACCAGGCAAGGAACCGTTGCACATCCCGTCTCATCTTTCGATCCTGGACTGTTACTCGAGGGGAAGCGAGAGCGCGGAGCAGCGGAAGCCAGGCAGACGTATATCGCGGCTTCAACGTTCTCAGCAGCTGCACCGCATGCGCCAGGGCCCGTGGATGATGGATCTGATCATTCTCACCCAGCACATGACCGTATGAAAACAGTGTAGTCTTGGTCGAAGAGACATGGGCGTCCTGCATGACAACTGGGAAAAGATCTGCCATGCGAAGGTTATATCCAGCGATATATAGGGAGTCAAATTTCGAAAACTTGCAGAGAAATTGAATGAACGCTAGGAATAGATAATGCGGCAAGGTCCGGATAGTATTCATGGCATCTGGGTCATACCGGTCGGGCCACAACGTGCACAGTGCCCTCACCTGCTTTGTGGATAGGGTACTGCAAGACAAATAGTCCAAACCTGAGCGAAAACTCGTGCAAGACCCAAGCAACAAGGCCAGAAAACGGCCAGAGGGTCGAATACCCTGCGAAAGCATCTGCTTGAGAAGATCATCTAGCGAAGGGGGTTCACTGCGCACATATATCACATCGCGGGCCGAGGATGGTTCAGGAAACACCTCTAGTCCATCGCCCGGGAGAGAGAGGCTGACACGGTCAAAGTTCCTTTCTATTGCATGCCTCCTAAACACCAGCTTCTGTGCCATTGCATGATAGATGCGCATACAGGGAGGGAGACCCTGGTCTTGATAGGACAGAAAACACGCCCAAGCTTCGCGAACCGTCCTAGTGGCGCGTATGCGAGCTACCCAGATAGCAGGGTCGTTGGGCCTGCTTTTGGCGGATGTTGAGAGCTTGTCGGGAGAACTGGTCAAGCTTCGCGTCTGAATAGTCGGGCTCCCGTCTGTGTCCCAGCCAGCCAAGATGCTAGCAACCTCTTCCCAGACAGTGTGGGAATAGCCTGCTTCTTTCATCTGAGACATGACTTGCATCGCACGACTTCTCATTCCTTCGTTTCCTCTCTGCGAGTCAATGCCCAGTTTTTCTTCTTTCCAGGGAGGCCAAGACGCCGCCTTATAGCTGGCAGATAGCTTTTCCGCAGCCGTCTTCTTGTGGGAGAGTTGGACTGCTACAACTGCCTGATAGCCTCGCCGATTGACGGGCAGCACGGGTCGGTGAGCAGCCATTGCCTTGAGGAGTTCGAATTGTGCCCGTTGTTGAATGGAGGCGGAGACAAACGGACTATGCTTTGATGGTATGGAGAGCAACCAGAGACATGCATTAAAATAATTAGCGCGCAACCGATTCAGGCGCAAAATATGTTTAGGGGTTGCATCCTTTTCAGTAAGTGTATGAACCAAGAACGAGGCGAACGAATGTGCAATACTGAGTTGTGCCGCGGGCCACAGACAACGGGCGTGGTAGAGTAGAAGCTTGACCATGGACATAGCTGTGGGGGCAGATACTCGCGGCTGCTCTCTCTTTGATGGCGACGTGATCTCGGGCTCAGAGCCTTTTGAGATTGATTCCACGACTGAAGCTATGGTTGGAAGCGGTTGATGGTTCATAATGTGTAAAGAATAGAGAAGTAATACCCGGAAAGCCCTGACATCTAGATGCTTTCGGCGCAAGAGGAGAAGGTGAATAAAAGGCGGAATACGCTTTGTTGTGTTCTGTTCTTGCAGAGCATAATGTCTGGCCAAGACAAAAAGTCTTAGGGCCGCTTGGAACGAGTGGTTAGCCTTAAGGATCCATGCCCATGCCATTATATCCTCTGCAGAATATCCTTGCGCGGACAAAAGCTGGAGATGCCTGTCGTTGAAAACCCGTTCGACAGCTTCGTCGACCTTGGATGCATGATTCGAATCATGATCCCCCGGAAGGCGATTCCGAGAAAGAAGTGTATCAAGTGATTGTATATAATCCGCCAAAATAGTTTGAAGCGACACCCTCGACGGTCTCCTGACAGCCATCATAGAGCGATGTTTTTGACGTCGCACTGCAGTACTGTGAAGAATTTTTTGCGATAATAACCCCTCTCGATGAGTATGTCGCCGACGAGGTTGCTGATAATCGAGCATCGGATATGTTTGTTGAAGCGCAGAGATTAGATGCTCCGTCGGTGTCTGCTGTAGATCCTTTCGAATTCTTTCGTGCTGGCTCACGCTCTTCTTCAGTTCGGACGAATGACCCTCGCGACTTTGGCCATCATACGGGTCTGGTTGGCCGGTTGCCGACGTTCTCTTGAGAGATTCGGTACCGTCTCCAGCCCTCCTTGACGGACGCCGAGGTCCATTGTCGCCCAGGCCTTCCACTGCATTGTTCCGGTGAATTCTTTGAGAATGAGCGGCCGGAGAAAAGGCCTGGCTCAATGAGCACTGAGATCGCAGCTCATCCCACCAAGCATTGGAGTCAATGTCGGTTCTCACTGCCCGATGCCGTCGAATCTCATGTTGCTGGTCTTGTTCCACCCCGGTACTGCGGGCTGTCGAAGTCGATTGAGTCCGTCTGAAATGGAAGATCTGGACACCGGCGCTCTGCAAACATTTCAGGGAGTTAGGGGAGGACAAGGATGCCTAGATGAAAGAAGAACGGATTAGGAAAGACGTTTTCGGGGCTGGGAAGTTCGTATGCCAACCTGGTGCAGACGACCGCTGCTGGGGAGCAGATGGGCCCCCGTCCATGCTCGCACCCCCAAGTGGTACGAGACATTATTGAAGACCGATGACATCCATGAATTGTGGCGGAATGGTCAGGTTCACAAAGGCCCGGTGTTCTCAGCCCTGGACTAAAATGTTAATTGGAACGCGAGTCGGAGTCCAGACGGCTCGGCGACGCCTCGGTCACGTGAAGCGCGGCGTCACGGGCGGCGTCGCTAACCAGATTTGGCGCGCCGCAGAGCGAGAGCGAAACGAACCTCCTTCGCTGAGGGCCCATCCCAAGTAACCCTGCGCTCCCTTCAGGATCCGCCTCAGTCCCCGTTTTCTTTTCCATTCCTTTTTGCTCGTCTTTTCTGTCGCGCGTGGTGAGCTGGAGGCGCTTTTCCGCGTCTGCCGTGGCTGTGGCGTTGAAGGCCGTGAGGCTACGGTGCAGAAGCGTCTTGCGAATCCCGTCTTCCCCAAGCGCGCGCTGGGTCTCGCATCAGCATCCCGAGTAACTAGATTCTAGGCGGACTCTGCGACGGTATCATTTCCCCAAACTGGACGCTGACGCGCAATATCGCGCTCTGGACCGGCTGCAAAATTTTCCACTTGTCCCTCAGTGTGGATTGAGGTGAGATTGTGCTGCTGCCGTCTTCTGTCCAGGCGTGTACTGGGCTTGTCCGCCGCATCCAGCAGGGTTTCGGAATAGCGCAACTTACGAAGCATGGCCAGTGACGAGGGAGGGGAAACGGCCACCATGCCCGTCACGAACGGGGATCTCCATCCGCCTGCAGCCGACTCTTCTGCGCTGTCAACCCCTGGGAAACGGAAGCGCGTGTCCAGTCCAGAGGACAAATCTGCGCAAGACAATGTTCCGTCTACCTCCCCGGAACAAGCCAAGCAGGAGCTCGATCAAACATTACGATATCTCCTGCAGATCTTGGCCAGGTTAGCCAGACCATCCCCTTCCTTCCATGCCCGCGATTTGTTAACAAAGTCTCCAGCGACGATGAGGATATCCACCTTTTCAAATGCTCCCTCGTTCCATCCTCTCCCGCGAAGCCCCGTTCCAAGCGCGCGAAGCTTTCGGGCGACAACGATAAAACTGCCAGTATAGAGGCGCGAGTCGCCGCCGGTCGCTACAACTCGCTGCAGGAGTTTCTCGATGATGTGGAGAGGGCATCGACTGCCGTGATTGGGAAACAGCAGTCTCAGACCGTGCATCCCGACGCCAAAGATGCCGAGGACTCGATTTCGAATTTGAAAAACCGAATCATGGCGCTGAAAAAGCGCTTGAATAGTCTTCTAATTCAGGTTTCTTACAAATCCTCGGCCGTCAAAACGGAGCCATCGGATGAAGGGGCGGATTCTTCTGTGCTCCGACCTAATACCGGTACCGGTCGCGAAGATAAGAGGGTCTTGACGATTTTTGGAAACCCTTCAAATCCGAAGCAGCTGTTCTCGAGTTTGCAGCACCCGATCAAGGTACCTTTAGGCTCAGATAAGCAGCACCAGGTGGAGATTCAGCCGCCACTTCCTGAAGACAAGTTGCCAAACGGCATTACCGCGATCAAGGCTGCTCCATACAACCTTAGTATGGATGAGAAGCAAACAAAAACCTTCGGCGAAGTGTTTGCGCCTCGTCCGACCCTGCCTCAACTAGAGCCTCCACGCCGAACGAGATCCTGGGCCAGAAATCCGTCGGCAATGTGGATAGACCATTTCGACGCCGTGACGGATCTTAAAGCTGTGCTAGGCGAGAAAAATAATTATTGTTTCGCATCCCTTCCTTCTGTCAGCTGGCTGCACTATGGCGGGGCCACCTCGTCTCCTTCATACTGGAGCCGGAAACAGAAGCAACTTGAGAACAGTGGCAAGGACCAGTCTCAACAACAGGAGACCTATTCTACAACCAACGACGATGACCCGGCTTTGCTCCAGGGTGCATATTCGTCATTCGCTCCGTCGATCGACAGCTCCAGTTCTATTGTGCAGGCGGACGCGAAGAACTTGGTCTGGTGGGCCAAGCGCGGGGCAAGGCGCTTCAAAACATTGTTGGCATTACATTATGGTGCTGGCGAGCAAGATCAGGAACCGCCACTGCCTGAACTCGATGAGGCAACCCTCGAAGAGGCTGTCAACTCATTTAATCCTGAGGAGGTCCCGGAAGAGGTTTCTCCCAAGGCAGCTGAGTCAGCTGAGTCTGAGGCCTCAGAGACAGAATCCAAAGAAGTCGATGAAATCCTGCGAGAAGTTTCGGAACTCATGGAAACGCTGAACTCTTATCGTCAAATACGCAATTTCGATACTACTCATGCAAGCGCTTTGCATCCGGACCTCAAGGACACCTCTCCCGACGCTAGTACACCATCCCCAGCTGAACGCGCTCTTTACGAGACGCTCAAGTCGAGCTTGGCAGCCATCATCGCCAACCTCCCACCATATGCCGTGGCTAAACTAAACGGAGAGCAATTAGCAGACTTGAATATCAGTCAGAAGATACTGGTTGAGAATCCAGTATACAATGGCACTATGGAAGAGGACGACTATACGATTATGCAGAAGCGGATCGCGGCTTCTACTCCAGCTAATCACGCAGCAACGCCAGCTCGAGGTTACCAGGGCTCTCCGGCATATAACCAGCGGATGTATCCTCACGCGAGGCCGCAGCAACCAGCAGCTGGCTACCAAGGCTACTACGGTGGCCGACACCCTCCCCCTTCGACTCCATATACTCCGGGCACTGCACCCCAAACTCATGCACCTCGCCCTCAAGCATCTCCATCGCAGCGTCCGAGTCACCTTCCGGGGTATTCGCAACCTGGGGGTCAGTACATGCAGCGACCGAATGGTTACAGTCCTTACCCGGGGCAACAAGGGGCGCCGCCTCCTCAAGGCTCTCCACAGCCTTATGCGCAACGACCTGGTCAGCCGGGATACCAACAGAGCCCACAATATGCTGCAGGGCGAAGTGCCTCACCACAGAAGCAGCCCGGGTATGCCACACCTCAACCACGCACGCCTTACATGAACCCGGGCACGAATAATCCACCACGATACTATCCGCCCCAGCAACAGCCGCAACAGCCTGCACACTACGGTAACTATCCGCCGGCCCAAACCCCATCTTCCTCGACACCGTATACCAACTCTGCCGCGGCGGCAAACTATCCCCGTAGTGCCACTGAACAAGCTGCACTGAAGGGCCAACAACACCAGCAGCAATCAGCAACACCCAACCCTCCTGCTTCACAGCCGCAGGCGCAGCCTCAGCAAAACAACGAGCAAAGCGCCTCCCAAGACCGGAGCGCTAGTCCAGGAAACAAGCAAAGTAGCACTCCAGTTTCGACGTGAATGACTCAGGAGCGATGATGATGATGACGATGACGATGATGAGTTGTTATCGAATTAGTTGCGGTCGCTTGCTGGCTGGCGGTAATAATTTAACAAATTACATTACAACTTATTTATTATTTACCTACCTACCTAAAGTCTGAACTTTCAGAATTGGACTGGACTGGACTGGATTGGACTGGACTAGACTACTACTGTTACCGGGCACGGCGTAGTATGTGATTGATGAAGGTTATGTGTATTAGTATGTGTACTAGACTTTGAGCTCGATCGAATATTCCTTTTTTTTTCTTTATTTCTTCTTTTGTTGTCTTGATTGACAAGAAAAACCTTCTTCACCAAGGAAAAGAAAAGATTCAGTTTCAATTCCTGTTTTGTGTGGCTTTTTATTTTTTATTTATTTGGTCAATCAATGGTCGGGCGGTCGGTTGACTGGCTGCTGGTCAGGTTTTGCTTTGCGTTGCCTTGTTTGTTTCCTTCTTTTACCTTTGCTTCTTAAGGATTTTCTTCTATCCGTTCAGGGAAGAAAGAAAGGTGGTGTGGTGTGGTGTGGTCTGAGACTGAGGTTTCTTTTCGTTTCTTTTCTTTTCTTTCTTTTCTTTTTCTTATCATAATAATTCGAACCTCTTTCTTTCCCCCTTGGGATGGGAAAGGCGCTAGCTGCCAGCTATACGGAGTACTGCGCCGGTACCATTTATTTAGATTTTAGATTATTAGAATGTGTCTACCTAACCTACCTAGGTACTATGACTATGAATGTGAACTATCTAACTGATCGGTTGATTGAATTGAATTGAATTGAATTGATGTGTTTGAATGCAAGTTCATTTCTGTGCCCGAAATACCTCCTTTCATGTCATGTCATGTCATGTACATTCTTCGCCTATCATCAAATGTTTCTTGGACTGTGGTCGTAATACTATCATAATACATGGACAAAAGCCTGGTCACTTTGAACCAACCGTAGAATATGCATGCAATGGGTTTTGCTGTCCTCTCGGGACGCATGGAGGATGAAAAAGAAAAAAAAAAGATGTCATCCAAGTAATCAATACCAGACAGAAATACTAATAGGCCAGCAGAGGCAGCAGCAGCGCAGCAGACAGAACACCAATGATGAAATACAGCAGGCTATTGTCGTGTCGTGTCGCAGAGTTTGGTGACAGTGAAATGAGGTCTCGGTTGTGATCGAGGAAACGTGCTTCGGGTTTGGCGATGGGAGAATGCTTCTGCATCCACGCACGATAGAATTCGACATCGCGGTCAGATGCTTGAGGCAAGGTTTGAAGCACTTTGCTGAAACTGCAGAGTGCGTCGTCTGTTTCATCGCAGTGGTGTCCTTGTCAGCAATCAAGAACATTTGCATATGCAAGAGAGAAGAAAGTGCTTACTGTATTGATGGGTCTTATAGGTCAGCTTCTCCAGAAGCGCCATTCGTCGAGAATGAAAGGAAGAATACGCCTGAGCCTCGGCATCCATCCGGCGTGACGCAGGTGCAGGCTTCGTCCCATCACGCTGCGCTAAGGCAATACGATGCTTCTCCTCGTATTCATCCAGCCTTTGGAGCTCCTCTTCCATCTGAGCGATTTCGTCCTGGAGATAGAGCAGAACCCGGTGGTTGACGGCCTCGAATCTTCTGTAGAGAGGGGGCAGTTTGTGATCGTCTTTAACCGATGAATCCAGTTTGGACGCCAGACACGCGTACCCAAATGACGGGCCGGGAGACATGGCAGCCTTTTTCGTTTTTCGCTTTCCAGACGGCCTCAACGACTCCGAGTCCTCCGTTGGAACCTCCGACGATGGCTGATCTCGCAATAAAGGATTCGCTCGGGAGGGAATATAATACGTTTCAGGAGCAGAATAGTCGAAGTTGTGGTCAGGAGGAGGTTCTGGGCCTCCTGCGAGGCTCTCAGTCTCATACCCTCCAGCAACATGCAGTTTCGAATGGGCAATGTGACTGTGAGCTAAGCGCAGATGTCTGGTTTCCGGCGAAGCATCCGGCAGTGTAGCTGATTCGAAATCGGTTGACGTCGAGTCTTTGGATGCCACCGAAAATGTCTGATCCGGACTGCTCGTTCTGAAGGATGAGCCTGGCTCCGAATTCAAGTCGGAAGGAAGGCACGAATGTCTGTCACCGGTAACAGAACCCAATCCTGCCCTTCGCGTAGGCGACTCCATGGCGGGGATGCGTCCGTTATCGTTTTCCTTGCTGCTGCTGGTGCTGCCGCTGCTTCCTTGGGAGGAATCGCTATCCGTCTCCTCATTGTCATCGAGAAAGTCAAAGACATTGGGTTTCGATGGCACATCCTTCTGCGGCACTTCCGTGGTCGGCTTGTTCGAGGATGTTGACTTGCGCTCAGCATCCTTGGGCGTAGCATCCTTGTGCGCAGCCTCATTTCGTACATGACTGCTTGACTGCCCCCGGGTCGTGGATTTGGCCGATTCGGAGGCCGCAGTCAAAACAGATGCTGGCCGAGAGGCATTGGAAGTTGTTGAGCCTCGCTTGGCTTTATCTGCCTTGCTGCGCCTGTTACGACCCACCGTCGGCATTGTGGAGGAGATCGACGATTTCTCCAAGCGCAGAAAAACGAAGCAATTCGATAAGGAAACCGTTCACATCGCAAGTCGAGATCACGTGGGGTTCTTCGCACTCAGAATCGACAGCTTCCAGAGATGTCGTCCGGCAGTAGAAAGAAAACTAAAAATATCTCCTTCACATTCCACTCATCGCTATATCGGATTGCTCGATAAAATGCTGCGATATTCCCACATTAGTCCCTACATTCCTTACAGTGACTATAGCCTCGATCAGCGGCCGATCTCAAACCAGGAGACCTTTCTTTGGGGTCCGTCCTTGAGGCCGGATGGTTTGCGTCCAGCGCCTGTCCAACAAGACGACTCGACAGATTGGAAACTTTCTGGCCCCGAAGCAGGAAACCATGAATGCTATATTAATGTTATGTTACGCGCTTGTCACCCACCTTGACGTCGCGGTTGATCAATGCGTCGCACGAACGCGGGACCTGGGGATGTCGCCGTTTGGGGAATTCCAACTGAAACGATTCGGGCCACGGCCCCCAACACCAGCAAGGACTTGCCTTGTAAACGTTCGCGACGCGTTATGGTCAGTTTGACCACTGGGGGGCGAGGGGCAGCCTCTGCAGGGAGAAAATACTACGGCGAAAGCCCAAGGCGCCTGCATCCTTTCTGCAGCCGAATCGGCCTCTGCCCACTGGAGACATCGAGTGGGCTGTGCTGCGTGGCTGGCCAGATATGGCTGGCATTGAGTTCAGAAGACTGCTGTGCTGGCCATCGTTCACTCGTCTGCCGGTATCCCTTACGTCCGGTTATGCTGACACCAGTAGGAGTGATTTCTATTGCAACCCGGAATACGCGATCCCCGCTTGGCAAATTGTTACGCACCGAACCCATCTTGCTGGATATGTACGGAATGACTGCGGAGTACCGGCTGCCACACTCTTAAGCATACAGCTCACCGCTAGTTATCGATAGAGTTGGGCCCATCTACTCCGTACGCTCTCGCCATCAGTGTCGGCATGACGGTTTCTAGACAGGCGAACACGCGGGACAACTGCTCTGCAACTGCAAGTCATTTGGATGGCTTGCAGCGAGTCCGGCATAGATCCGTAGGAATATTTAGCTTCGAAGACGAACTGTTTTACTATTTTTGCTGGCAACTCAGATCTCAGTTGCTGTAGAAAAATTACCCGTGACATGACAATTACGGACATGATAATCGTAGTGTGTTCCTATTGAGAAGATTGAAACACAATTATATTCAGAGTGAAAAAAATAAAAACCATTTCAATAGACCAAGAATGTCATGATCCATATTCCCCATTTTCCGGAGTCTGGAATATATCGTTAGTCTCCATCAAAATGGATTATGGAGCTTGAACCTCGCCTCTTTACCGGCGTAATACGTTACAGAGACCGCCCTGGAAAACCACGGGCGAATCGTCATCTCGCAGCAACCGATCCTCGCAAAACAGGTCGAATTAGACAACAACGGCTAGTTTTAATTAATATCTTCGACATCCCCCAACTCTCAAAGCGAGACATTGCTCCCACATGCTACGAACATGGCTCCTCCGCAACGCTGGAGTAGCTCGCCCTCGACGGTGCTTGCATCGACTACGTGAACAGCAGCTTCAGGCCTGGATTCCCGGCGGCAGTCACCTCGCATCGTTTCCCCCCATTCGCCGTTCACTCACCACCGAAGTCGCTTCGGAGCGTCGCGAAGAACGCGTCCCGCTACGGAAACAGCTCAAGGATGAGGCAAAGAGCTTGAAAGCCCAGAAGAGGCAGAACAAAGGAAATGACGAACCACAAAGACACGAGGGATGGGAATTGACCGTCGGGATCGAGATCCACGCCCAATTGAACACGGAAGCGAAGCTCTTCTCAAGTGAGTGCGGTGGCCTATGCCATCTCGACTGGAGCGACGTTTTCTAAATGATTGAGCTAGGAGCCCCGACCTCTACCAGCGATGTGCCAAACACCAACGTCGCCTTATTTGACCTGGCATTCCCAGGGAGCCAGCCGGTTGGTTGCTCTCAAAATGACGTCTTTGCCAGACTGCAGGCTCATTTCTCTTAGGAATTTCAAGTTGCGACCTTACTCCCTGCCTTGCGTGCGGCGATCGCCCTCAATTGTGAAATCCAACCCGTGAGCCGGTTCGATCGAAAGCACTACTTCTACCAGGACCAGCCGGCGGGATATCAGATCACACAATACTATGGTTCGTGCATGCGTCTGCGGTGGCCGGGTTATGAGTGAGCGATGGCGCTAACTGCATAGTGTAGAGCCCTTCGCAAAAAACGGCTATATCGATCTTTACGACTACGATGGAATTGCGCCGGAGGATGGCAAGAGAGTCCGCGTTGACATCAAGCAAATTCAGCTGGAGCAAGACACGGCGAAGTCGCAGGAGTATCCTCCTTCCATGCAGCTCCTGGATTTCAATCGGGTCTCGCATCCTCTCATCGAGATCATCACCATGCCCCAGATCCACTCCCCAGCGACGGCGGCCGCGTGTGTCAGGAAGATCCAGGCACTGTTGCAGGCTACCAGTGCTGTCACGACAGGGATGGAGTTGGGTGGCCTGCGAGCAGATGTCAACGTTTCCGTCCGTAAACGCGACGAAGGCCCTGGAGCGCACCAGTATCACGGGGTTGGAGGGCTTGGTCAGCGCACGGAAATCAAGAATCTAAGCAGCTTCAAGGCGGTCGAAGACGCGATTATAGCCGAGCGCAACCGCCAAATCGCGGTCCTCGAGAGTGGTGGAACCGTGGAGGGCGAAACGCGGGGCTGGACCATTGGCAGTACTGAGACTCGCAAACTCCGGGGCAAGGAGGGAGCAGTCGACTATCGCTACATGCCCGATCCCGATCTGGGCCCTCTCATCATCGACCCCCAGCTCGTCTCCACTCTGGGGGATACGCTCCCTGTCTTACCCGACGATCTACTGAATATGCTTATTGGCCCCACGTATGGGCTTTCCATTGAGGATGCGAAGCCGCTGCTCGAACTGGATGAGGGCTCCAGGCTCGAATACTACCAAGATGTTGTTGATGCCCTCCGTGCCCTCCAACAAGATGAGAATGAGACTCCCCAGAAATCCCTCGGCAGGGTCGCGGGGAATTGGGTTCTACATGAATTGGGAGGGCTCTTGACCAAGGCAGATCTACCATGGGATCCGGAGCGAGTGCCCGCGCAGAAACTCGCGGAGATTATCGATCAGCTCCTGCGAAAACGCATCACCGGCCCGACGGCCAAGCAGGTGCTGGCGATGGTCTTTGACGGAGACCAGCGGCCGATCCAGCAGCTGCTCGAGGAGGAGAATCTCATCCTGCGGCCGCTGTCACGAGAAGAGTACCTGGCGTTGGCCGAGGCAGCGATCAGCAAGAACCCGCAGCTGGTGGCACAGATCCGCGAGAAGAACCAGCCGGGCAAGCTGGGGTGGTTTGTCGGGCAGATGATGCGGATGGGAGAGAAAGGGCGTGTGGAAGCACAGCGGGCGGAGGAAGTACTGCGAGAGATCGTTCTGGGGCGTGGCTGAGGGATTGCCGAGGCTAGAAACGTGGTTCCTGGGGCTGCATGTTGTACAATAGTAAATAGTGGTCTTTATAGACGGCAATTTATGATACCCCTGCACACAAACACTATTTCTTGCTGTGAGACCTGGAAAAAACCAGATCCACACGGAGAAACGCGAGAATAGCCGCCCGTGGAGCAAAATTTTTCCCCTTCCACCTGCTTCGATGTGATTCGTGATGATCCAAAGGGCGGCCGGTTCAACCTGTACTTAGGGGAAACACGATGGAGATTCTGGGCGTTTGGTTACGAGTCCGGCGCGGCTGCAACGGGAAGCAGAGCACGCTCGACCGCTAAAAGCAGCTGCACCCGACCTCGCCGAGCTTCGTTATTCATTCCAACCCTTCAGAATGGACCACCCCCACGAACCGTCAGCGGCCATTTAAGGGCCTGCTGCCCGGGTTCCGTTCCCTTCGCGTCTTTGTTTTGGCGGTTGTTTGCTTTTCTGTTTTCTCCTGAGCGTTGTCTTTCTGTGGCTTCCTGCGGGGTAGCTGCTGTCTCCAGCGTTCTGCGCCAGTGGACCGTCCTCGAAACACCCGCCCAGTGCTTTATACTGTCCTTTCTATTCTAGACAATAGAGATAAGAGCAGTCTCCAGGATGACGTCTCCCTCTACGATTCACCAGCGGTTCCTTTCCAAGCCCAATGAGTTGGGTGTGGTTGCCGTCGGCTTCTCCGGCGGGCAGGTAATAAACCCCGCATTGCCTTCACTCTGTTGAGATGTCTTCTTAGACATCTGGTGATCCTTTATTGACTGATCTCTAGTGCAAACCAGGAGTGGAAGCCGCGCCCTCCGCGTTGATCGCTTCCGGTCTTCTCGACCAACTGCGCGATGATCTCGGGTATGACGTGCACTATGACAGCAAGGTCCACAACTATACGGATATTATTCCCGCGCCGGACCAGGACCCCGAATTCAGAGGGATGAAGAAACCCCGCGCCGTGAGCGCAGTCACGGAGCGTCTGAGTCAGCAGGTCTACGAACACGCCAAAGAGGGCAAGTTTGTCCTTACTCTGGGCGGCGATCATTCGATCGCGATCGGGACCATCTCAGGGACTGCCAAGGCGATCCGGGAAAGGATGGGCGGCCGCGAGCTGGCGGTGATCTGGGTCGATGCGCATGCCGATATCAACACGCCTGAGACGAGTCCTAGCGGCAATATCCATGGAATGCCGGTCGCGTTCCTCACGGGGCTGGCCAAGGAGGAGAGAAAGGACATCTTTGGCTGGCTGCAGAAGGAGCATCTGGTCAGTGTGAATAAACTGGTGTATATCGGTTTGCGGGATGTCGATCGGGGGGAGAAAAAGATTCTCCGAGAGAACGGCATCAAAGCATTCAGTATGCACGACATTGACAAGTGGGTCGACAGAGTAGTCTCCTGTCAGGCTGTGAATCCGGCTGACTGGTTGTTACAGGCATGGCATCGGGCGCGTAGTGGAGATGGCCCTCGCGCACATTGGCAACGACACTCCTATCCATCTGTCCTTCGACGTAGACGCTCTCGACCCGATGTGGGCACCGAGCACCGGCACGCCGGTCCGAGGGGGCTTGACACTGCGGGAGGGAGACTATATCGCCGAGTGTGTTCACCAGACAGGGAATCTGGTTGCGATGGACATGGTGGAGGTGAACCCCAGCCTGGAAGTGGGCGGAGCGACTGAAACGATCCGCACGGGATGCTCCCTGGTCCGCAGTGCGCTGGGAGATACCTTGCTGTAGTCGCCAGGTGGCAGTTGAGGTCACTCAGATCTGCCAGCCTTACTTGACAAGTTCGCTGATAGAGCATAACATGTGATGCGAATCATACAATTGTACGATAGTATAAATTAACTAAATCAGATTCTTATGCACGGATACATGTAGAGCATAGTCAGATCGAACTCGACGCATCTAGATCTGTAGCAGCCATATCATATTATATCATATCGTATCATATCATATCGTATTCTCTGACTCGTGCAGCAAACTGCAGATTGCAGACGCAAACGCAGATAGATACCTTATTCTCCGTACGGCGTACAGACTACTCCGTAATTACTCTACATGTAGTTTCACCATCTACCTTATCTAGTTAGGTTGGTAGGTACATGTATGTACAACGTGGCAAGCGGGGCGGTTGAATCGACTGATGTCATGAAAGTCAGCAGGTCAGGTCAGGTCAGGTCAGGTCCCACACCGCAAGTCGGGGTTTGCATCACGAAACCCGTTGCTGTGTACTTCATACGGAGTGTATGTACAGTGTGTTCTACAGGTCACATGAGTCAGTCGTTCGAAGGAGGAAGTTGAAGTTTGTTTGTTTTATTCTTTTTTTAACCTTTGTTAAGAGTACGCAGTATGGAGTACAGAGTATGTTTGTACAGGTCTAGAGTCTAGACCGGTAGTTAGCCAGGCACAGAGGATACATAATGATGTCAAGTAGCCAGGTTATATATAATATGCGGTGTGTAGATTACACAGTACAGTGTACAGTGTACGGTGTACAGTATATACTCTGTACTCCGTACGGAGGAGAATATTTATTTCATTTAATTACGACTGACTAACTACTTGAGCGAGTGCTTATTTTATTTTCATCTATCTGCTAGGCATTTCATTTCATTTGCTAATTTTTCCCCTGCCACCCTATTTTTCTATTTTCCATCTTCTTAGCAAGAACTTTCCAATGCAGAAGGTTGGATATTATGGATGTACTCCGTACGTACCGACTTAGTCTGATTGGCGGGTTCTCGCCCAACCTCACTGTTTTTTCCCAGGAACGGGCCAATCATACCCCGAGTACTAACTCCGTACTCCGTACGGAGTACACCATGCAGAAGAACAACAGGATGATGATCTGGCTGTCTGTCTCACGAGTGCAGCAGCAGCAGCACTAGGTAATTAATATACTTCGTACGGAGTAGACTGTGTGCTATTTTCTGGATCTGCTGATATATTCTGCGCTTCTGCCTTATTACTACATATCCCTGCTCTGGTACGGAGTACAGTACTCTGTACTAAGTATTCCTTCAGTATAACTCTTTTGGGCTGCTGGGCTTACGTAAACCGTGCCTGTCCCTCATCGCATTGCCTCGTGTTCGTCTCCCATTGATAGCTCCTAGGCCCAAGCCTTAGGAAGGCGGTCGACTGGTCGTCCTCTCAGCTGGCGCTGGCGCTGGCGCTGCTGCGCCAACTGCTGGCAGTACCTACTATCTAGGTCTTCGGTCAGGTGCCTTATTATCGATCATTGACAGATTCAACTGCTGCAGCGCGGCCCAAGGCAAGGCAAGGCACTACACGACACGAGACGCCCTAGACGCCCTGCTGTGGCCCCTCTATTTATCTACTTACCCCCTACATTACCTACGCCCGCAGATACATATCTATCTGGTCGATCTGTTTTAGATACATACTCGACATGGCCGCCTATCGAGAAGTTCGCCGGTACCAATGGCCGGAACTGCAGCTGAACATCTGGGTGCTGATCGTGCTTGTGGGGTCGGCCACATGCATGGGCGTTTTTGCCTGGTTCATGGCGGTGCAGTCGCAGCTGCAGCTGGGGGTGCCGTGGTATGTATCACTCAATCAGTACCGTCTGTTTAAAACGTGTTTTTTTTTAACTACGCCGTCGCTAATCTGCTCTGATAACAGGCTCTTCCCGTATATGGTCACCGTCGGCGCCCTCGGCGTCGCGTTCGTCATCCTGATCCTCGTCCTGGTTGCGCAGCGGTTCCTGATCCCCGGCATCATCATTCTCGGCAGTTTCATTCTCTTCGTCTTGTGGTTGACGGGGCTGATCGAGACGGCGCTGCAGCTGTACGGCGGCACGGCCAACGTCAACTCCAACTGCCAGAATTACGTGACGAACCAGCCGTACAAGGGGAATACGCTCGAGGCATTGGCGTGGTTGACGCAGAATACTATCTGTACGTTTTACCCAATACAGCCTGCCGCGTGTGTGTTGCTGTTTACGTGGTTATCTGGACTAACACTGTGGCATAGGCAACTGCTGGAAAGCCGCCTTTGCGTTCGAAGTGGTCAACACGACGTTTTACTTTTGGATGATGGTCATGGCGTGGCAGGTTCACCGTGATGCTTTATGACGTGAAAAAAATATCCATCTGTCTGAGACGTTTATGACCCTGACGATTATCACTGTGATATTTATCAACGAGGACTGATGATCGGCGTTTTGCGTTAATGTATGGAATATATACTGTCTACTGTATGTACATGGGATGGAGTCACGTTGCTTTCGAAGTTTCAATGATATATTGACGTATCTGTGTATACATACAGCTCGTGCTTCCTCTTCCTTTCTCCAGTTGTCTTGCAGGTTTGGATTCATGGGTATCATCGTCATCGTCATCATTGGAACACACGTTTCGTTCGATCCAAAATCCAGCATTGGATCTCTCTGCCGCCTTGAGCACTATCGCCGATCGATTCTCGAGTCGCAGCTGACGGGATCCGGATCCGGACCCTTGGTCAAGCAGAAAGCAAGGGAGAAGCAGAAACTCTTCGAAAGATGAGCAGACGCAAGTTTTGGCAAAGAGGGAGAGGGTAAAAAAAAGAGGCGTTCTCATTTTGCCTTCGTATTGCCAGTCGGATGGCACAGAAGCCATTGCGTAAAGAGTTTCACAACATAGTTATTCTTTTTCCTAAAGTCGTACAGTTTGCTGTACCGCACCACAAGATTATCGCCGTCAAAGTGGCCTTGTAGGATACGACCATGCTGCGGCCCCATGTAGGAGAAGAGCAGTACCTACACCAGGTAATTAATTATTAATTAGTGCTACTGCGAGGAAGATTTGTTAAGACTTACTGGAGTAATCAGATGGTCAACCAATGACGTGGCACTTAGGACCCCCAGGATGATTCGGATCAGAGCGAGCAATTCACCACGGAGCAGTCTATCATCTCCATCGATATTGTAAATCATGTCGCACTGGATGTGGGGTCGATCCACACTAGGAATATCACAAATCGCCATCGCCTGCCAGCTAGGTTTCTGGTCAGGAGGGACTTGGATCTCGTCAAGAGGCTTGAAATTGTAATAATCCTGGCTGCACATTCACATGAGTACAAGATCATCGAAGAACAACACATTCAGACAGGGCAAATTAACTGCTGCTTAAAAAAATAGAGACTGAATGGTGAAACATACTCATGAAAGCTTCATGGTCCCGGAGAATGTTTCTTTGCCTGTAGACTGCACTGAGACTCATATTCAGAGAGGTAGCGCCACACATCCCGTGCGCAATCGATCGGTCTCATCATGTCCATGAAAGGTCAACTCCCGGCCATGTTCAGGGAAGCTCGGAACGTCATCAGCGTCTGGACTGACAAGAAGGTCTGCTGGATATGGTTTGAAGAAACACGGTTTGAAGTCCAGCTCTCCGTTTTCTCGAAAGGACATTGGCAGCGTGCGGATCTTAAGTTGCTGGAGCTGGGCAGGCTCGAACCGGATGGTTTCGAGATTGGCGATTTGTTTCTCCAGGGCTCGCACCGCAAGGCGGCGAGCGCGGTGCTCAGGGTCTTCTTTGACATTTGCCATTTTGTTAGACAAGAGGAGCAGCTTTGGATAGGCGATGGATGGAGCGGTCAACAAGATGACCTTTATAGAAGTTGGATGTTTAGGGTTGGTTTGTTTTGGAAGGAAAGTGCCGGATCGGCGTGGCCGCGGGGGAGCTGACCCAGTCAACAATCCATACGGTGATCTCCAACTTTACAACCCAAACGACTCCTCGAAGGGACCTTCTCTCTAGTGAGATATTATCAACTGGAGGCCGCAAAAACGGAAGGAGATGTCAAATCTAGTGTCATCGTCTCTCCACTCGCGCATCACACCCATCTGACAGTGAACTGAATCAGCCCTTCGGCAGCAACAGCCTGAACCCCGACTAAAAAACCGATTCCAAAATCCACAAACATTCTTGGGGAACCTGAATCCTCCGAATCCGATTCTGAAGAGTCCATGAAGACCCCCTTTCTCGCATCAATCAGTCCCGTCCCCAAGGAACTTGAGAATCTGCTGTACCCGCCAACGAGGGATGAACAGATTGTGAATGCCGCCCTTGTTCTCTTTCTGAGTGCCCTTACAATCCATTTTCCCCTTTCCAGTGGATGGACTCTGCATAGAAGGGTATTTACTGCCAATTTTCAAACTGCATCCTTGGAGCCACGCACAGATGGATATCTTGAAGATAGACGTCTTGGAAATGTGCGCGCGCTTATCGAAGTCAAGCCGCCTTGAGAAAGAAGAAGCCGCAGAAAATACGGATGCAGGAAAGTGCACAAATGGTGGCATGGATATTGGACGATCCACAGATATCTGGGGCATCGCCCGGTCGGTATGTGTTTCTTCCCTCTGCTTATGGTTGGTCAATACAGCTAACAGAATAAATAAAAGCCGCATTCATTTATCTCAGGACCGATATGAGATATACCTGACGTTCGCCGAATACGGCGAGACGTACCTAAAGTACTTGAAAGGTAAGCTCGGTCCCAATGATCCGGTCTCGTTTCTGACCATGCATGAGTTCGGGCCATGGGATACCCAAGACCAAAGTCATATGAAGCATCTTGCAGAAATCCTCCTGGCAATCACACTGTGTGCGGATGCCGACGCGGAGTCAGCTGGACCAGGGAAATCCGGGCCACCAAAAAAGGGCGGACTCTTCTAGTGATCTTTGCGATGAGTATGTCACCAGGCAGATAGTGAGGGCTTAGAAAAAATGCAGATAACAGTGACCTGAAAGGATCATCTATACTGAAAAATGGTCATGGCAGCCAATCATCGAAAGCTAGCAATCAAGGAAATAAAGTGGTACCACATGACATGAAATCCAGGGTGATACCGAAAAGAAACGTAGATCTGCCCGCAGAGCCTGTCATCTGTCAGCAGCTATGAATTGCAGCCAAGTTAGAAGGCATACTCTGGGAAAGACGGGAACAGTAGAGCCAGAACCAAAGTCATATATTGGAAGAAAAGAAAAAGCAAAGTCTGGATCCATCATCCAGATGAAGCTCGCCTTTCCGGGAACGGCAACGATCTGGCGATACTGATAGGCGAGTCCGACGATACGATAGGCGACGATAATAGGCTTCGATCGATCTCGATCTATCTTGCAGCTAAAGATCGGCGATGCATCTTTATCTTGGACATGGCGACGGTGATTGGACAAAGGCGTTCTTGGCGTGACGACAGCGTAAACTGTAACGATTCCCCAGTAGCCAACTAACCAACTACTCAATAATACCTGCCGTAGTATTAATCAATTTCACGCGAAAGTAAAAAAAAAAGGGGGATCATGCGAAGCTTAATCGGGAGTCTTGGTTAGATGGGATGAGGGGCAGGACAAGGAAATAAATCGGCCAGCAACCCGCCTTTACGATCATAGACAATTGACCTACCTCTACGCAACCTCCATCCTTCAACAAGAAATCAAATCCCTTTCCTCCAATCTATATATCTATCTATCTATCTGTCAAGATGAGCGACAACCAGCAGCCGCAGCAGCAGGGTGGTAACCCTCCCAGCGACAACAACAGCAACAACAACAATCAGCAGGAGGACTACCTTGACAAGGGTACAGCACAACACAATGAACTCCCAAACTGCATTTGTTTTAAAAGATATCGAATAACTAACTCAGTGCTTTCCTTTTTTTATTTTGCTACAGGCCTCGACGCCCTCGAGAGGAAGTTTGGCCACGGCAAGATCGACCCCGCCAAGATGCGCGACACCAACGAGAAGATCACCGATGCGGTGCGCGAGGGGTTTGAGCAGTGGACTGGGTATGTGTATCGAGATCCCCCTCTACATTTCCAGCGATTGACTGTAATGTATGGATGAACGAACGCTAATGATGGGGTGGAATGAAAAACAGGAAACACGTTCCTAAGGAGTTGTCCAACTAAACGAAGGTCATTTATTTATTTATCGAATCGATGGATGGATGGGACTGGGTTGTATATACTACATATATACTTGCTATACTACACTATCTAGGTGTGCATGTTGTACCTACAAAAGCACAGATATTACTACGTAGTCGACTATGACGACGTTGACCAACGAACAGAATCCATAATGAACGAACAAAGCGAATAATAAATAAATAAATACCTTAATTTAATCGATCGATCGACAAAATCCAGATTGCCTAAACACATACATCCATCCATCCCATTGTCCCGAGTAGCAATGACATTCATGTCGTGAACTCCGGTAGGGGAAAAAGAAATGGAATATTAACACCAAAAACATGGCGTAGAATAATAATAATGTTCAAGGACAAACACATAGTAACCAATATAATATAATATCATATGAAAAAAAAAATCAACAAGCTGATTCTGGACAGAGAGAAAAAAAAACATCAGATAGATACCTCCACAAGGTGAACTCCAACAAAAACCTCTTTAACAAGAGATTACAAGACAACTCATACAAACGCCTTCGCTATGCAGAGCTAGTATGCAATCATAGAAGCGAGGGACTGCAGCGACGCAGCGACAGAATACAAAACTCGACGCGACGAGGTCACCCATTTTCCTCTGCAACCTCCTCCTCTGCCGCCGAGTTATAGTTGCCATCCTCAAACGCTGCCAGCATCTCTCTCTCGAGCGCGTCATCGTCGTCGTCCGGGTCCTCGGGATAACCGTCGCCACCGTCGCGCTCACGATCGCCGCTGGTGTCCGGTATCCCTTCGTCCTCGTCACCTTCACCCTCGACAGGCCCCTCCTCGGCAGTGGCCACTTCCTTCAGACCACTCGTCCGCTCGCGCGAGAGTTTGATGCGCTGTGACAGTCGTGATCCCAGAGCTTCGTCTTCCTCCCGCTGCTCGTCGCCATCTTCACCTTCGCGCTTCCTCTTCTTGGACGCTGACGACTCGCTGCCCAGGAATACATCGCTGTCACCCTCGCCATTGTCGTCGAACTCGCTGTCACTCTCGGCATCACTGCCCAAGAATTCCCGGAGTTCATCGTGCACGGCCTTCTGCTGCTCCGCATCGTACCCGATCGGTGAGTGCGCCGTCATCCCCGACGACTTGAGGATCTCCTCATCGGCTTCTTCAAGTTCGTCAGTGTCAATCTTGTCCTCCGAAGCTGCATCCTCACCTTCGTCGTCGGTGAACGACACGCCTGTGTCTTCTTCTGATGACGAAAGCCAGGAGCTTTCAGCTTCGGCGGCATTCTTCGACCCCGGCGAACTTCCCAGAATCGGGTCCCCTCGGTCCTCTGGATGTACCGGCACCAAATACGGCTCTTCATCCAGATGTTTCCACTGAGTCAGAGAATCCAGGAGCCATTGAGTGGTGACGATCTTGATTTTTGGATATCTCGTCGCTTCCCGAACCTTGGCCGTTCGGTTTCGACCCGCCACCAGGTGCGTCGTCTTCGACCCGATCTTGGTTGAGATGACGGCTCCAAAACTCTTGGCCCAGAGAGAGATGTCAGCATTTTGCGTGTCAGTCCCCAACGGAAGCACCCCGGAAAACACCAAGTTGACCCCATCGAGGACTTCCCGCTTGATTTGCGGCATTATGGTCTTAATATCGGGAACTAGCTTCAGGTCAATATCTTTATCCTTGGGCAGAGCCTTGTCACCTTTGAGCGCAGCGACCCTGCCTCCCAACGCCTGACTGCGTCTCCGATCGTACTCCTCGAAGAATTTCTGGTGTACTCTCTCCAAACGCTCTTGCAATGCGTACAGTTCAGTGTCGTGGTCCTCAAGCAGGTGATGGCGATGCCGGCCCACTTCCTGGGACTCATCCATGCTGGATGATGTCTCGCTGTCAGCACCCCCTTGCGACTCTGCTGCCTCCTCTTCCGCATCCAGTTCCTTTGTTCTGGAGAAGCGGCCGATCCTCTACTTGCTGCAGGATGGTCTCTTCTTGCTGCACAGCCTGCTCCTGAAGCAACCTCGGATTGTCACCACCGCCCATGGTTACCAGCTGTTCCAAGGCGGAGACTTCTGTTTCCGTGTCATTATTGCTCGCAATTGATCCATTGACACGGCGCTCCGCCGCTGTTGCTTGCGTCTGCTGCTGCTCCTTCTCACGCTTCCCTTTGATCGAACCGGTCCCCGGCGTCAGCTCCGGCTTCTTTGGCAGAAAGCTGGAGTTGATATCGCCAATGCCAACGAAGAAGTCATACGGAGAGACCTTGATTAAGTTCGGATTCCATCTCCACACGTCTCCACGGTCGTCAATGATGACCACCATCTTGGTGTCCACAGGGAACAGACGTTGGAGGTTCTTGGCAGTGAGACTCCCGCTTTCGTCGCGACTGAGAATCCGGTCTCCAAAAAGCTTCCGGTCCGGATCGATGATATTTGCAATATTCTGCGCATACGCCCTCGTTCCCATGGTGTAGATATGTAGCTCATAAAGCTTAGATATGTTCTGCAAGAACTCTTCCAGCCCTGGCCGAAGCTTGATGTAGTACCAGCAGCCACGCATGCCGGGGCCGTCGTCCGTAAGTTGAAAGCAGCGAACGTCCTTCACGGCTTCGTGGTTCGGATTATCCTTGTCCTCTTTCCATTCACCGACCGTTGGATCAACAGTAGCATGGATGATTGTCTGGTCTAGATCGACCACGAGGGAGAGGCGCCTAGACGCAAGCAGGCGGCGCTTTGCATCCTCCTCGACTCGTGTGGCTTCTCTTTCACTGACCGTGAGGGCCGTGTTATCGTGGACCATCTGAATGGGAGCACGCATTGAATCCATGACATCTGTATTGTAGGTCGCACTATGACGTACGCGCAAGAATGGTTAGTGAAGCAGGAACCTGGCACACACCGGTTGACAAAGCTTACGTAGTCATGTCTTGCCCACACTCTGCACACATCCCTCCGAACTGGATCTCGTGGGCGCATGGCTCTTCGATCTCGACAACCGTGACACTATTCAACATCGACGATCAGCCATCGATCCTTCATTGTCTTGTGTTGATAAGACGTCACTTACGGCTCTTCAATGACATCGCCCTTCGTGATCTTCCATTCTATAACCTCGCCATCGACGGTCGATTCGAATTTGGTCGGATATTGCCTCCGAACTTCAATTTTGTTGCCGAGGCCATCACCCTCGGTCACGGTGGTCTCGTAGACATACCAGAACAGGGCCTCATTTCGCTCGACCTTATCCCCCGGACGCTTGAGCAGCGACGTCACGGTGATAGGGTAATGAAGGGTGGGTGGCAGTCGTAAAAGCATGCTCCGTTGCCTCCCGTCTCAGACCGGTTCCTTCTCTCTCTCCCTCTCTTCTCCCCAGTTCCAAAGACAACCCTTTTCCCAGGTCAGAGTATTGATCAACGAGCAGTGCGAATTTAGTGGGCCATTGCCCGATGCCGCGTTGCGAAGTGCAGTTTGGTCAATCGCGTTATGGGTAAACAAGGCAGCGCAACCAGCTGAATGATGACGATCGAGAATCGCCACTGGGAATCGCAGGCTCAACGCGTTCTACCGGCAGGAGATACGCAATGCGCGCACGTCCAAACGAGGATAAAGAACGGGACTAAGGATGCTTGCTGAAGGTGGGCAAAAGCGAGAAAAGTGGCTTGTCTGCGATGGGAGGCGCGTGCGCGTGCCTACAGAACGGTTGCGGGGCGGAAGTACTCCGACGCAGGAAGCTTCTCCGATGACTCAGGTCGGGGAAGGTAGGACAGAAGTATTGGACAATACAGACTGTCGAGCACGATAGACACGGCGTGGTGGTAAATACGCTGATGGGCGGGACAATAATGGCCAAGAAAAAGCAAACAAAATGGCGGTACTGGGTGTGGAGCAGGATGGTTGTTGAAGCTGAGAATAGAATGCGGTGGGCGGCAGAAACTAACTGGTTAGGCGGAGCACTGACCGACAGGGAAGAGCCAAGCTCAACCGAAGATCTGGAACTTTGGGCTTCGTCGCGCTAAAGTAGCAGAAAGGCCCCGACGCTGGCGACCGGGCGGAGACCTTGAGTGAGCTCACCTCGCGTGGCAGAGTCTTCCAGTGACACAATGCTTGCCGTGAGTTAATATTAAAATAACTGCCGCCAGCCTATTACCATCTCCTGATCCGCAGCCCACAAAGAGCCTCCTGCCTGGCTGTTCTTTGTTGATTGTGGTATTCCGCTCGTTTCCGCCACCACCGAACCAAGCAGACGGACTCGCTACTGCTACATGTAATACGACATACGCCTATCAAGGAACATGGAAGCTGTCCTGCTTAGTCATATCTCCACCCTCAAGCTGCCGCGGGTTGCAAGAGACGTAGCAGACAAAGAACGATACGCGACATTTCACCGCGCGGGGAACAGATTATATATAGATATATAGATGCATTGTTCAGCGAATCAGCTCCATAGTTACTCTACATACTAGACCTCTCATCACAGAAAGACAGGCGGAAAAGAAAACAAGGTTCAACACAAAGCTAGGAGATCCATCCCGCGCGCATCACAATCTGTCACCTATGTCCAGAGACAAGATAGACTGTCCATATCGCATTCTCGATTGTTATCAACGTAAAAGCAGGGAAGTCAAAAGGCTCTGCAAACGCCCCCACAGAGGGGAAAGGTCGTAACAACGCCCCGTCCGACAACCACAGGGAAACTTTGATAGCAGCTCCCTTTCAAAGCTGTCCCCCCGGTCAGCACCTACGGCACGTCAACCACCCTCTCATCTCTTCAATGATTCAGTCCCGACGACGGGCCGCGAGACCGTGATAGCCTGTCGTCTATTTGGCCTTGGCGAGGCCGACGGCACCGTTGCCCAGGTCATAGACGCTGTACCATCTCCGGAGGAAAGCATCGCCCAGAATGGCCAGGGGCCCCACGGGCTCGGGGAAGTCCATGCCCATGAAGGCGCTAATGCAGGAACCCTGGACTTCGAGAATGTAGTCATACGCGCTAATGGTGAAGTTGTGGCCAGTCAGAGTCACGGTGAGGTCGGGCAGAGAGTCGCGCTTCGCGCAGTCGACAGTGTACTGGCCGTTCCACGACTTCGAAGCACCAATCTCCTTGTTGCTGAATGCCAGTCAGAAATGACCATTGTAGGGATTTCTGGAAAGGACATTTTGACTTACAGAAGCTCGGCAAGAGTAGAAGGCAGGGCAATCAGGGAAGTGCCAGTGTCGAGGATGGCGCCAGTGTCATCAAGCTCAGCCACACTGTCACCAAATGCGATAGCATCAAAGTCTACCTCCCAGTAGGCCTTACGACGGAGAGGAATTTTGACGAGGTCGCCAGTGTAGTGCTTCTCGTCGACACCACCAAAGGTAGCCTCCGAATCGTCGCCCTCCTTGTTGGTGTCGCCGAGATAGAAAGCAAACACAGGCTCATCGAGCAGCTTCTGGTTCAGCATGTTGTAGAAAGGGGGAACAATCCTGTTGACCGAGATGGTGTCAAAGCCCAGACCCAAGATGCCGTCGAAACGGCCAAAGGCGAAAGCCAGACCGGGCTCGCTCGTCGCCTCAGCAAAGTCCTGTTCTTTGATCGTGAGATCTCCAATCCGGACGGTATCCTGAGAAACGAAGCCCGACAGGCTGCCCGATCCGTAGCGGATGCTGAATTCCGAGCCGTTCTTCTTGTAGGTGGAAGACGCGGACGAATCATACTTGTTGTGCAGGTAGCAGGCGATGGAACCACACTCAGACGATGGCACCCACAAGTTGGAACTGCCAGTATCAAGGACTACCTTGAAGGATTGCGGAGGGGTGCCGATGGTGATTTCCGAGAAGTCTGTCGAGAGACGTTAGCGTCTTTACTGGCTGACATGACGAACGCACTGGGAGCAAGATCCTACGTACATTGGGCGTTCAGGAAGTTGTCGACCAACACATCATGGCCGGCGTCCGGCTTGATGGAGGTATCTTGAAACAGGTCCTCATTCCCAGATGGCCGGACGCCCAGGTACTTCTGGCCTAGGGAGCGCATGTGATCGTCGATGCTGCGTTTCTCCTATACATCGAATTAGTGATCCTCCTTGTCGAACGACGCAGAAGATGGCAACTCACAAACTGCTCCGACAGAGGCACCTTGTCGAGCTTGAGCCTGTGCACCTTGGCGGTGGCCGAGCCCAGCAGCGCAGCGGCTGCGAGCATCGAAAGGGTCCTCATGGTGAACACGCCGACCGGATCACCCAGGCAGGGTCACTGAAGCAGAATGACAGAAATGGGGAAAACAACGAACGATCGTGGGAGTGATGACGATGATGATGATGATGGTTGTTGATGGATGATGGGAGGGAGAATAAGGATGGGAAGGGAGATAGCTGGGGTAGATAGCTGGTGACGATGATACGGTCGGTTGCTGGTGCAAGGCGGGTCGGGCCCGAGGCAGCCACGACCTGCTACTGGGCGGAGATGCTGGACGGGGCCGGGCAGGCGCATTGGATCACCGGAACCGGGGCTCGTGACTTGGCCGGATGAGCGCTGTGACAGACAACGCACAGTGGCCACCCAGGCCCTTCCCTTGCTAGCAACCCAATGGTCTATCCTAGGGAGGCGCTACCAAGGCATCTAGTCATCTAGTGCCGGTTGGCCTACTCCGTATGGACAGCAGAGGCTGGGCACCAGACTGGGGTTGGTCCAGCTTGGCAGAGGAAGCCTATCGGCGCGGCGATAAGCCCATTGCAAACGGCCCACAGCTATGACGAATAGCCCGGAGGTACGCTGGTGCCTGCACGACGCTCTGGAGGTGTACGCTACCAGCTGCTATTATTCCTCTGCGGTCTGCATGCTACAAGAATACGGAGTATTCTAGGTTTAGACTAGAGAATATGAACTGCGGATGTTGGTAGACCGTCTAGGAACAGGCAATACTCATGAATCCATTATAGCAGGTAGATTCTATGTGGTGTACAACTCCATAGATCATGTGCCTACACCTACAGCGACATCCTCTTCCACCTGACAGGTCCTGCATGCCATCTGCAGACCATCTTCTTCATCGGTAGAAATCGAACCTGTTGCGCACGTGATGTCAGCAGGGGGAATGCTTGTCGTGTTGCAAAGGGAGGTAAAGGGGAAACGAACTTATCGGCTTCCTGGGCAGTCTTGACTTGACTAGCATATGCGTCCTCCAGATCCGACTGGATGATGTGGTAGCGGTTCTTGCGGACGGCACGCAGACCAGCCTCCTGCATGATGGCCGCGATGACCGCACCCGAGAGAGGCTCGTTTCGCACAATCAGCGAGTCGAGGTCGACCTCGGGCGACAGCGACATCTTGGATGCGATGGTGGTGAAGATCAATCGGCGCTCCCGTCGGTCACGGAGCGAGGGGAACTCGATCTTCCGGTCGAGACGGCCAGGCCGCAGCAGGGCGGGATCCAGCGTGTCGGCCCGGTTGGTGGCCATGATCACCTTGACGTTGCTTCCCTGGTCGAAACCGTCCATCTGGTTGAGCAGCTCCAGAAGGATACGCTGCACTTCACGGTCCGCGCCCGTCTGGGCATCAAAGCGCTTTGTGGCAATGGCGTCGATCTCGTCGATGAAGATGATGGCTGGCGCGTTCTCCCGTGCCATCCGGAACACATCTCGGACCATCCGGGGGCCTTCTCCCAGATATTTCTGGACAAACTCGGAGCCAACAACGCGGATAAAATTGGCAGTGGTGCTGTTGGCGACAGCCTTGACGAGCATAGTTTTTCCTGTACCCGGGGGCCCATACAGCAAAACGCCGCGCGGAGGGTCGATACCTAGAAGTCATGTCAGACGGAAAAAGTGTATATAAAACATCTACGATGCAATTTAACATACCGATCTGCTGGTACAGGTCGGCATGCGTTAAAGGAAGCTCAACCGCCTCTCGGATTTCCTGTTTCTGCATATCCAATCCGCCAACATCAGCGTAGGTAACATCAGGCTTTTCATGCGCGCCTAGCATGGCGATTGATGAGTCTGCCTCTGGTGGAAGGATATCAACCAGAGCGTTGGAGTGACGATGCAGGGCGACGGAGGAATTAGGCTTCAGCTTCTCGCGATCGAGCGTAGAGAGAATCCGAACGACATAATTGGAGCCCGTTGAAGACTGTACGATACCAGTACTATAGAAATTAAAGGGAAGATTAGCACTAATCACCGCATGTTAATTTGGGCGACGGAAGCGTACTTCTGATCTATAGCCTCCATAAACTGCCCTATCACCAGCGGTACGCTCTGTATCCGCTTTATTTCTTCTTGTGCTCGAACCAGTTCCCTTTTCAAGCTCCTGTGACCAGGTATCAGTAACGAAACAGCTAGCTTCAACTACTCTGGTCATACCTCTGTTCATCTTTGATGTATTCTTCCTGCAGACGGATGTATCTGACACTCGAGTCAGCGACCCACGTCCTCATCCGTAACCAGCGTACACATACTCAAGCTGCCTCTGCAATCTTTTCAGAGTCGCATAGTCATCACCGCTATCGTTCGCAGATCCCTCGAGGGCATCGATGGCCGAAATCGTGTCCGTTGGAGCTGGTCGCTTGTGAGGCGCCACGCCATTCGCCGGGTTCTCAACGGCAGCGTCAGCCATGACTGACGGGGTTTACGAAAGAACGAGGAGATAGAGCAAAGACGCTGGGTAGATAGAATCAAATATTCTGGAAGAGAAAAACTAGGGAGAGAATGAGAGGGCTGAGACGGGTTATCGTTGATCTCGGTGCTCTGAAGCTTTTGCCAGGAGCTGTCTTGGACGTTAACACCCGACGCCCAAGCATCCGACCTTGTCACGTGACATAAACGCGAAGTTCTTGTTTGCCTGACAGCTTAGCCAGGCATCAAGGCAGTAACAAAACCGCCTGGCAGAGGACGTTGGGATTACTCCAAAAGAGCGCCCAATTCCTTCGAAGCAAGTGATACTGCTTCGACAGTGCTGTCATCAGACACTCGTTGGAAACAGATGTACATTCGCCGTTTCGAGAGTCGTTGGTCGTGCTTCTCTACCTGGCGTAGTAGTTGGATCCACATTTCCTCTGATGAGCATCCTTCCTACGGGGTAATTACTGCTCCATCACTTCATATCAGGGTACCATTTCTCTGGTGGCTGAACCGCTCTGAAGCTAGGCTTCAAAACGGCATTTGATTTGAGACGAAACAGATTCACACCGAATCTAGTGTCAAACGTGTGACGTGAAAAGCAGACGAGGTAAAGGAAAGGGCAGTAAGTGTTCCAATAATAGAACGCATGAGGCAATTCCCAAGTCCCGTGCTCGTCAGGTCTACCGCTTCGAGTCCTTAAAAGCCTGGATTCGGCTCAAGCATCAATATACTAGATACCAGTCTGGTGATTCGCAGCTGGCTGATTACTGCACATAGCACAGGGCACAAATACAAAGTACGGAGGATTTAATACAGGAACTACGGAGTAGTGATGTACAGATTGCCAATGACTACAGCCGTCGGCCCATCGTGATTCGAGACTTCCAACCGAACTAATTAAGATCACTGCAGATCCAGCGTTGGCCCACTCCCCTTCTCGGGCATAACTGATGTTCGCAGCGCAGCTGAACCTATTAATAATCGTACTACTATTGCACCATGTGCGAATAATGGTTCAGCCCGGAAACTCAAGCCACGGCGAAGTTTGAGTCGGTTTGAGCCGGGCCTGAACGGGATTCCGTACGATAGCAGATGTCAAGGCTCAAGACGGCGGGTTGGGTCGGACTCCACAGGAGGATAAGAATCCCGTGGGAGTCCAATCGGTTGCCGCGGCGGAGCATATCAGGACGTGGCAGGTGGGACAAGGACAAAGACAGTGACGGAGTGCTTGTTCTTTTGGCCAGGGCTGGTAACGGGTTCCGTTGCGCTGGGGGCTTTAATTAGTACTTTATGATCAGTGATACTAGCAGATGGCCGTGAACGGAGCGAGCGGGGAGATAATATATAGCCAAGCAGGCCCCTGCCTTGTAGAAATTCCTGTAGTCCTCATTGTCGTCCTCCTACGGCCCCTACGCGTCTGCCCCTTCTCCTGATCCTCGTATACCCTGAACTTCTTCTTGTTCGAGCATCTCCAGACCGAGATGGGTCGATCTGTGGGCACTATTGCTGCTGTGGACCGAGAGGTTCAGGGCAGCCATATCCAGATCCGCTAGCAAAAGAGCCTCTGGTAGACAGCACCGATGTTGACCATCTGTGCAATATGGATAACAGATGCCAATGAGGCCTCTGCTGCCTTCTGTTGCCTTTCTCCAGAGCGGCCAGAGGCTCTGTTACGCCGCCTGGATGGGTGAGTTGTGTCCCAGAGGGCTCGTGACGATCCATGCAAAAGCGGCACTGGGAATATGCATCTTGACGCAACAGGCCATCTGGATCCTGGGCCGCATCTGCTGCTCACTCACTGTTCTTGTGCTGGAAGAGGAATCCAGAGGCTGCCTCCAGAGGTCCAGAGGAGCGTGAGCGCCATTCAGCGTATTTGTGCCCGTTTTTGCAGCAGCAGAGCGTGCTGGGTGGTGGTGCGGGCGTCCAGGCGGCAAGCAGGCGATTCCCAGGCCGGGCTAGGGCGCAGCCACCCGCTGGAACAGGCCCCTGGCCGCGAAATCTCTGCTGCGATCATGCAGCGCCGGTCTTCCACTGCACCGATCGCTGCTCAGTCTTGGTCCCTCTCTTTGAGTACTGCTTTCCCGTGAAACCAACCCGCCCTGTTGTCCAGCCCTGAGCCTCCTGCTTGCAACTGGCTTTGCCACAGCGGCCTTTCCATTTGCTGATCTTCCGCGTTCCCTCTTCTCTCCGGGTTCTGGAATTCGCTTCCCTTCCCAGGCCTGACGCCTTATCCTCTCCACGGCTGTCCCATTCCTGCGCCTCCACTTCTTGTCCCCGAAAGGGTCCTGTGGTGCTTGCCCTTTCTCTGTTCAAGGTAGGCTGGCCTTTTCGGCCCTTCCCCTGATCCCTCGATGTCTTTTGGCACAGCCTGGGCCGGATTTTGCCTTCCCAAGCCTGGTTGCATGACCACACTTGCCACGCACTGGCCTCCCTCTCCCATTCCTCAGCACAACACACAACACCCTACGCGCTGCACACCCAGTCCCGTCCACAGCTGCTGTTTTGCCCTTCCGCATGGCTCATTTTTATTTGTCCCTTACAGCTTGCGTTGCCGTATGCTGATAGAATAGCCTCTGCGACACCGTGCCTGGCAGTTGCTCACCCTCTTTCCACGGCCGCAGCCTCTGCCCTCCTGTGCTGCGCGTGGCCGGCCTCGCCCGCGGCAGTCCCGTGACCTGGCCCTCCCATCTCTTGTGCTCTCACACCGCTACTGCTATTTTCGGAACCCCGATCAACCTCTTCGTCCGCTCGCATTACGGCACTCTAGTCAGCCAACCTTGTCGGTATGTACCTGTCTTTTTCCTTGCCGTCTCTCCTGCTTTGCAGAGTCTTGATTCCCCTCGCGTCATGTAGACAGGAGTCTTGCGCTGCGACACCTGCCGCTTGATCCTGCCGCGTGTCGCAAGTCGCGACTCTGCTCCAACCAGTGCCCTACACAACACCACCCTGACGCGTCTAGAACTTTTTTTGGACGTGACCTTATTTCCCTTATGCATGCAAGATAGATGAAACTCGCCTTTACCATGCTTCTACTGGAGTGACGCGCGGGTGGTGGATCGCCGCGCCCTAGTTGATTGATGGTTTGCTAATCTCTTCTCTTGCAGATGGGTTGGTCGCTCCACACGACATGAATGCCTGGCTGTCCGACGCCTCGAGCATACCAAACCATGACAATGGTGCCTTCAATGCTACCATCGATCCCTCGATGGCCTTTCTCCAGCCTTCTCCTTCGCCCCAGGACCCCAACCAGTTTCAGCGCATGTTCAACAACGGCGTCCCACGCAACGTCTCTCCTGGTTTTTACAATCCTAACCAGGTAATACCGTCCAAAAGGCCTCGACCAGAAGATGGTATGTCCATGTCACCACGACAGGCGCCCGGCGGATTGCCGGTTTCGCGATCGCAGACGCCTCACCAGGTACCCTTTCCAGGTTTCCAAGGACCGGCCAACGGAACGCCTCAGTACGCTCATCATCCGAATCCGTACCAGCACCTCCAGCAAGGAGGTTCTGTGAATACGACTCAATCCCCCGTTGTACAAGACTTCGACCAGCATGGCGTGCAGAGAATGCAAACGGCTTCTCCGAGCCCCTTTTCCACGGCTGGACCTCCTGTTGGATCTCAGATGTCAGCGTCGCAGTCAGATCAAGGAAGCAGGGTGAACACGCCCCAGAGTAGCTCGTTCATGCCTGGACAGCCATTCCCTCAGGGCATGGCACCGCAATTCTCTCCGTCTCCGGCGATGTCTTCGGCTGCTACACCGGCATCGATGCAGGCCCATTTCAATAACATGCCGCAAGCCTATTCCTCCCAGGCCATGGCCGCGCAGCAACAACGCTTATATCAAATGCAATTGCAGAACCAGGCGCGGCAAATGCAGGCAAACAATCCGGGGATGGCAGGGCGTCCTGCTAGCGGTGGGATGAATCCTATGGCCAACCCTCAAATGGCAGCACTCAGGCAAATGCAGCAGAACATGGCGCAGCAGAATATATCAAGACCTGGAAATCCTGAGGCATTCATGAGATCACTCCAGAAATTTATGATGTCACGCAATCTACCTTTGGATACCAATCCTATAGTCTGCGGGCGACCGATTAATCTGGTGCAACTTTATGCCACAGTTATCAAGTTGGGCGGATCAAAGAAGGTCACCGCTGCGAATATGTGGCCCGCGATTGCTCAACAGCTCCAGTTTCCACCCATGCAGTTCCCAACAGCGGCACAGGAGATCCGGGATCACTATCAGAGGAACTTGGCCGCCTACGAGCAAGCCTTTTTGAGCTCCCAAAAACAACTGGCGGAACATCTACAACAACAGAATGCGTCGCAACGGCAACCCGGGGATATGAGCGGAATGTCGTTCCAGCAATCGCCCGTCAAGCCTGGACCAAGTTTTGACCAACACTCCCAGCAATTTACATCTTTTCCCCACGCCGGTGCGCCAGTGCAAAACAATTCCCAGCAGAATGCCACCAACGGATTTATGACTCCACAACAAGCGAGACCTCAAAGCAAGCAGCAACAGAATCCTCAGCAGCAGCCACCGCCGCCTCCACAACCTCAACAAAATCAACATAGGCCTAGTATTTCTCGCCAGTCTCAGCCACCGGTCTCGGCTCCTGATCCGTCAGTGTCGGCGCACGCGGCTCCATCGGTGCAGTCCGGCAAGCCCTCTGTTTCAACGCCGGGTAAGGCTTCGGTTGGTCCAGAACAACCGTCCAATCAGTCCTTGTCGCATCACATTGAGGACCCCTTCAAGCCCATGGTACTCCCCGAGAGTAATCGACACGGGCCAATTGTAGTGGACGAAGTTTACCAGCTCGGAGAAGACATCTCGAGACTAAAGCCCAATGTGCCCTCCTTCCCCGAACTCGGTGTGATCGACATCCATGCCCTGACGATGAGCATCAAATCTGGTCTCCATGCCGAGATGCGCATGGCTTTAGATACCTTGACGACAGTCTCCGCCGAACCCGCAATTCAGATTTCTCTCGAAAATTGTGACGACCTGGTAGACACGCTGGTGGAATGCGCTGAGGATCAACTCGAACTGTTGGCTGAGAATGCGGCGGAAGTTTCCGATGTCATGGTGTTGCCCTCCTATGAGGAACTTCTGCGCGCTTGTCGTCTCGAGATGTCATCTCTTGTCGACATCCCTGAATTTGGCAGCCTTGACTATGAACTCGATCGGGCGGTGGAAAGGCTCCTTTGTATCACCTCCATCATCAGAAATTTCTCATTCACGGAATCAAATTTTGCAATATTGGCCACACCTACAGTCGTCAAGCTCTTCTCCACCATAATCCGATATCTGGGAACGCGAAACATGCTGTTGCGGACGAATCGAAATGTCCTGGACTTCATGAAGGATACTGTGACATATCTCAGCAATATCGCGCATACGGTGCATCTGCCGGGAAGGGAAGAAGCCCTCTGTCTGTTACATTTCCTTTTGTCTTTTGCGCCATTGCCGGCACCCAGCCTTGGTCCGGATGGAGTGATGTTCGCGCCGTACAATCCGACCCTTCACAAATATACTCCCACAGCAGTCGACTCTTTAGCCAAGCTTCTGGCTAGAGATGAGCCCAATCGGATGTACTACAAGGCCATATTTGCCGGTGAGGGCTCGGGATCCCAGCATGAGCTTCTAACCCGTGCCTTCGGACTGGCAATCTGTGGTATTCCGGACCAGCCTCGGAAATCGCTTGGCTTAGCGGACGTGCGCAAGGTGTTTCTCATGCAGGGACTCTTGGCTGCTGAAATTTTAACCGGTCTGGCTGACGGTGCGGTGGCCCGAGCATGGCTTGAGTCGACTGATGGATTTGCAGTCCATCTTCTTAGGCTATGTTGTATACTGAGTACAGATCGCGGCTCTCCCGCCAATCATCGCCAACAGTCTGCAAGGGGCCAGGCTGATGAAGCTCTTGCATATAGTTCAATCATCAATCGAGGCCTGAGCATTCTCCGTCGATTGGTTGAAAAATCCAAACAAGAGGACGGGACATCCCGCTTTCCACCGGGTGTACTTCCTAAAAGAGAAAGCTTACTGGGGGCCTTATTGACACCCAATCTGGACCCAGGCGTTGTGAAACAGCTAATTGCGTATGCTGGACTTGGGGATTAAACGAGGCAAAGTTACAGGCATGAACAATACAGGAAGTGTCTTTTTTTTCCTTCTTTGATACCTCCTTTGACCTTTCGAAATGTACGTTTACTTTCCAAGATATGCTTTCTAGTGCTTGTGAGATGACTTCTGCTACGTGCCCAGATACCGCCTTTGTTTTCCCCTGTACAATTCACGGATTCTCCGACTTTTGCATGATGTCATTCCGTATCTGTCTAGTTCAAAAAATCAGGCACATGGCGTCGACAAATTTACTCTTTTTTTTCTTGTCCGCGTATAATGTATTTTTTCATTTCTATTTGTTTTGGGGGGACAAGCGAAATTCTGGGATTCAGGAAAACTGGGTGATGGCGAACTTTTGAACGGTAGCAAGAATTCAAACAGAAAACATATTCGTTAAGGGAACTAGTATAAGGCCTTATGTATGTATGTAAGTGTAAAATTGGTGTTGATTCTCATGTCATTTGATTCGTTTGTTCTTTAAACAAAAAAAAATACTAGAGCATGAGATACGTATCTCCATGATAACGAAAAGCAGAGAGAAGAGGAAGTGTTGTAACCTGGTAATTGCATTTCAAGATTCATCTCATGAGCTCGATTTACCTACTACATGGATAAGACAAGCCCAACCCGGGTTCAGCTAGGAGGTACACGGCAAGGAGAATCGTGATACAGATAAGCAAGCAAAGAAGAGATAAAAAACAGAACATGTGCGGCACAGAACAATCAGTATCAAAAATGAGGACAGGAGATGCATGATGCAATACCCTCAGAAAACAAATAGGAAAAAAAAACCCCTTGCAAAACCATAACGAGGATAGAAAAAGGAAAAAGGGGAGAACAAAACAAATAAACAAGTAGTGGACTTCCTTGTCCCCCTTTTTCCCACTATGTACTCTGTTTTGTTTTTCACCATTGTTTGTCCTTTTTTTTCTTCGGCTCTTCAGTCATTCGGCTCATGACGTGGTCTCTGGTGCAGATCACAGTTTCTTCTTCAATGGGGGGTAACCCGGGTGGGCAATATTCACCGACATAAGACTATCTCATGGCCGGGAAACCCGGGGAGGAGAGGAAAGAAAAGGGAGAGAGGTCTGTTTAGTTTAGAAGTTTCGTTCGAGAAGGAATTTCTGAATCTCTGGTTTCCTCCAGCCCTGTGGAATGAAACTTCTCGTTAGCAACTATGGTTTTGGAAGGATACAGTGCTTTTTATTTTTTGCAAAAGGTCGCATGCAAAAAAGCTCGGATGTCTATCGAGGACAAAGCCGTACCTTGACAATGATGTGCCCATTTAGTCGATTGACTGTTACATCAGGGCTCTTCTTAGCGCCAGGTTCGCCAGATTCAAGGCCCAATGCCCTTGCCAGGTCAGTCCTTAAAGCTTCCACGTCTCCTTCCGTCTTCTGAATCTTGGTCAGCTGCTTGGTGCCACCAGCCTTGGTGACCAAGTACACAGGGAGCTGGTTTGAAGGCGTGCGGCGGACAAAATAAGGGAGATTGGTCAATTGCAGAGGAGGAGCCTGTGTCTGGTTTGATTGAGCGTTCGCTTGGCCGTTTGAGGACTTGTTTGTCGTCTGAGCTGTCGTCTGAGCTGTCGCCTGGGACTTGCGGGAGAGTTTCGCTAGGAAAGTACGGGATTGCTGGTAACAGGGAAACGATCTGGCAGAAGATACTCGACAAGCCAATTGAAGTACGTTTTCTGTAGCTTGTCAGCAAAAGATTTCTCTCTGTAGCTGCGTCCTAAAAGCACGGATGCTAGCGGGTGCAAGGACGGACATCACTTACGAGATTGTGCATGTCTGGTCGGCGAACAGATCATAGAGAACGCCCTAATTGATCCCATAGAAGAGGAGAATGGCGATGCAGAGACGGGCAAGAGCTGCTGTCGAATGGCTGACGACATCGACGAAGACGCAGCCATCGTGAGAACCTCGACGGAGAATTTCTCCAATCACCCCCCAAACAGTTCGACTGCCCCGATGACCACACCAAACGTATCGACGGATGGCACTTCGAAGCACCTGGACTGCCGACTAGAACGTGCCTCTTGTCCGACAGAGCCGCGGGTCGGAGATCAGGCTCTTGGTCTGCTGCTCGTCGATGAATTAGGTTCAAGAGGTTTCTGTACGCGGAGTTTTTGCCGCTCCGGAACCACGCGACAGCCCGCCTAGTGCGGATCGGGACTAGCGCGGGTGCTCTCTTTCCCACTCGCATTTTCGGCAGGCAAAAGTGTCGCACACTGACCAGAAAGGCAGAGAGAGACCTCCCCTCGTTCCCTGCACCCTCCACCTCTGCCCCTCGAACCGTCTGCCTTCTCGCTGCATCCTGCCATCTTGTCGCCATGGCAGACAAAGCCCCTCCGTCGGCAGAGACGCTGCTCAAGGGCGCCGCCGCCCACCCTCCCAGGTCAGCGGAGGACATCGCAAAGGAATACGATCTGCTGCCCAAGTTGATCCCCTACCTCGACCGCCATCTTGTCTTCCCTCTGCTCGAGTTTGTCAGCGGCCAGGATGACGACAACATGGAGATTACTCGCGCCAAATACGAGCTTCTCAAGCATACCAACATGACCGACTATGTTGCGAACTTGTGGCAGGAGATCAACAACTCCGATACCATCCCCGAAGAATTCGTCAAGAAGAGGGAGGAGGTTCTTGCAAAGCTGCAGCAATATCAGGAAGAGAGCGAGAAGATTACGTCGCTTCTGCAGGATGACGCCGTTGTGGCCAACCTCCGCAGCGACAAGGTCGCCAACTTGAAGTTCCTCGAAGAGCAGCATGGCGTTACGATCGACATGGTGAATACCCTGTTCGAATACGGCCGATTCCAGTACAGCTGTGGTAGCTACGCGAACGCTGCAGAGTTGCTCTATCAATTCCGTGTCTTGTCGACGGATAACGACAAGGTCTCCTCCGCCACGTGGGGCAAGTTCGCGTCTGAGATCTTGACCACCAGCTGGGAGGCCGCCATGGAAGAGCTCCATAAAGTGAAGGATTCGATTGAAACCCGTCTCTTCAACAATCCTCTGGCCCAGTTGCAGCACAGAACCTGGCTGATCCACTGGTCTCTTTTCCCTCTATTCAACCATGAACCCGCCCGCGACGTCTTGACCGATCTCTTCTTCTCTCCCGCTTACATCAACACCATCCAGACCAACTGCCCGTGGATCCTGCGGTATCTGGCGGCCGCCGTCATTACGAACCGCAGCCGTGCGCACAAGAACACCAGTCTCTACCAGAAGCAGCTCAAGGATCTGATCCGAGTGGTGCGACAAGAGGACTACGAATACTCCGACCCGATCACCGACTTTGTCAAGGCCCTTTATGTCGACTTTGACTTCGAAGAGGCCCAGAAGAAGTTGAGCGAGGCCGAGGAGGTTCTACGCAGCGACTTTTTCCTTGTTTCCGCGGCAGACGCTTTCGTGGAGTCGGCAAGACATCTCATCTCTGAGAGCTATTGCAAGATTCACCAGCGGATCGATATCAAGTATGTTACCAAAGCTATGTCTCCGAGGTCGTTATAAACTAATCCTATTACTAGGGATCTGTCCACCCGTCTGGGTCTGAACCAAGACGAGGGCGAAAAATGGATCGTCAACCTCATCCGGGACACTCGAGTTGATGCCAAGATCGACTACAAGGAGGGAACCGTGATCATGAACCACCCTCCGCAGTCTGTGTACCAGCAGGTGATTGAGAAGACCAAGGGAGCCTTTTTCAGGACTCAAGTGTTGAGGTGTGTAGTCTTTTCTTCCGCTTTCATTCTAAAACAAACTGACTCGTGATTTAGTGCGGCTGTTGCCAAATAGATATGATGGCACGCGCGGGATGTGCCGTCTTTCTTTCCTCGTTCGATCCTGGTCATTTTAATTATCACCCTTAAAGTGCGGGCTTCCTGGCATAAGGCTGGCGTTCAGGCGGTCCACCTTTTTCTCTTTGTAACTTTTTTTTCTTTTTTTTCTCACATCCTCTTTCCGCCTCCATTCGAAGATTTATACCTTCGAGCGTGGCGGTTTATAACGTTTTTTTAGGAAGCTCAAAAGTCGGTTTCCGCACTGGCCTAGGTATTGAAGATATGACGGTGAAGCGAAAACCCTGTGGGTTTGGAATAAAAATATCATGTGATGGATGTATGTGGTTATGAAACGAGATAGTTTAGTCTATAGAGCCGGTATGAAGAAAAGGAAGGCTTTTTGATTGTGTCTTTGTCGTATAAGTCTCTGGATACGGTTATGAACTCTTTCTCTTTACACCATTGACCACTTGAGAATGTGAGACGGGCCGTATATCAACTGTGGATGTTCTACAGACTGGCTTGCCTTGACGGTTTGGAATCGGTTATCATTTGTTGTCGCCAGTCAACTCGGAGGATACAGAAAAAGTCGACCAAGACACAACCTCATTTATGTGGCAGCAGTTTTTTTTTTGCTCTTCAACAAAGCTCTGTTCTGCACAGGGGCAAGGGTGGCGTACTGGCGTGTTGTCACTGGCCATCTCTGGCTTTGGAATTGCTCGAAAATCAGTTGACGAGATCGGGGAGAGATACCACAGCGCGATTATTCTCTTCTCAGATGGAGGATAAGATTGGTTGATTGCAAGGAGAGAAGAAATGGGAGGGAATGTGAAGAGTTTTTAAAAGAAAGAGAGAGACGAGAAAGATTGACTATCCTGGAGGATATCGAGCAATCGGACCTCCACCTATCGCACCATCACAAAAGAGAAGAGTTGTGAAGAGAACACCGAAATAAAGCGACGTATTGCTTTTCTCTCTGTGTTCTTTTGCTGCTGCGGACCCCGGTCGAAGGATGATGCTGTTGAACAGATTGTCGACAGCAGCTCGACGAATTCGGTCGAATTCGACTCGTCGTTTCCTGGGGGCCGCGGTACTGTGATCCCGGCAAAATAACAAGAGAGCTTGTCCTTCGTTAGATGACATATCAAAAGGAAAGGAAAAGGAGAGAGAGACAGAGAAAGAGGTAAGAAGACCACAGGATCAACAGAGATCCTGCATAGCACACAACCAAGCATCTACACTCCTTGACCTCATCGTCACCTGTTTCTGCGGGTATCGTATTGCGCAGGACGTCTTCGAGGACGCTGGTTGACTGGGATTATCTCATTAATATATGGCTCTGATGACTGCCTAGAAGTACCGTCACCACAGGCGCGGCTGCTCATTCTGGCAGCTTCTTGCCGTTCGTATTCTCGAGACATGACTGCCAAGTCGTTGATTTGCTCCTGTCCACGAAGAATCAGTTTCTGTTGTTCAGCTGACCCTGGAAGCCACATACGCGCGTCAGGGGTGCTCCATGAATCAGATATCCGTCTCGCCCCTTTTGAGAATTGATAGTTAGGGCTTATCCCGCGACGAGGATACAGAGGCTTTTTTTCAGTATTTTTACCTGATATGTATATGGTCTGGCTGTGGCGTCTGGGCCAAGAAAGTATTGGATATGACCAAGAACGATATGTCGTGAAAGACCGTATCCTGGGAGCCAATATTGTTGAACTTGCGACATTGCTTCAGCCGCAGCGCAAACCCAGGAGACAAGAGAAATCACGACAACAAGCACGAGACGGAAAGAAGCACCGAACGGAAGACAATACTATCGAATTGTTTGCCATATAAGTATGTATACAGACAGAGTGGTTGATGGTGATGTTGAGATTGTTTATAGATCGAGCATGGGCTGACTAGCCGTTTATGTACCGCGGGACCTGGCCGTTCCAGATCACAATGCAAGTGATGAACTTGAGACGGTTACAAACATTGGATTCGAACCATAACGATCTGATCTAGGCGCCCCCCTTCTCATGCTCATCCATGTCACTCGCCACCGCTATCTTCAATTCTCAGCCATTGACCTCACCGGTATCGGGGGCGGGCAGGCAAGTGGTCTGGAGGGGCACTCCTGCCGCCTCACTTTCAAACGCAACCACTGAAGCAACCACTGAAAAAAAAGTGAGGCTTCGTGCCTACTGCTGCTGCAACTCAAGCCGTGGGGCCCCTTGTGCCCGCCCCGGAGATTCTCACAGCCTATTCTTGCCTTCCTCCGCGATGAACCTGCGGCGCCAGCTTGGTCCTGCACCCAGTGAATGTCGTGGCCCCATGGAGCGAGTGTTGCCTTGGGTCTCGAACTCTTTCTAGTCAACCTTGCAGAAAGGTATGTACAGTACATCTTAGTGAGTCCGACTTGTGCACAGGAGTCCCAATTGAGCTTGTCTTGTGTTGATTCTGCAAACTGCTTGTTTTATGCTCCAGGACGCCTTGGGGAGTCGGTGACAATGATGCGCAGAGCTGAACCTGTCTCATTTTTGTGAAATCTGTATTGCCTATGTGATCTTTTTATCCGGACAAAACTGACATGTACAGAGTAAATTATTATCGAGTGCACCCAAGCAATGCCGTTAAAAGCGGTCAAGAGAGGCCTCGAGCTGTTAGCAATGTGTTACGCAGAATCCACGTGGAACCTCGAGACCTAGAGGGACAGATATGATCACAAAAGAATGGTTGTCTAAGCTAATTTCTTCAAGATCCCCCTCACCTTTGCATAACCTTGGCCAATGGGCAAACTACGTATCTCAGGATTACGATATAATACGACATAACGTTCCGAGAAGCATGATGGATGGTTGATGCTAACACAAACGATCAGCCAGCCGGGCGTATTCCTATTTGGACCGAAATAATTGATCTCACGTCAGACTTCATTTCCCAAGGATACTCCGTCCACCTACAGGCTGCTGAACGGAGTGCTGAAAGCTTCAGCTTTGGACGCCCTTTCCAGAATGTTCGTTCCGGCTCGGGAAGATAATTTACCGAAAAAATATTTGCGACATCTCGTTTTTTCCCGTTGCATTTTTGCCTTCATCCGTCCAAGAAGGACGAGTGCCTGTATCCACATGCCTTACTCTGGTGGCAAGTGAGGCGCCTGATCAGGTAAGCATCCCTAAAATGGTGACTGATCTACGGTGAGGCGCAACAAGTCCAAAAATAGCCGTCTTCACCATCAACATCTCTTTGGACGAGGGCAAATTTGAAACTGGAAGGCAGGAAAAGGCGCTCGATGATCGAGAACACATAACGTTGTACCGGTGGGCAACATGTTGACCACCTGAGCAAAGCACCAGGAATGACGAGGGTAACGTCTCGAATAGAATTCACGAACTCATGCGGC